CACCAATTTCACCTGATCTTAATCCTATCGAGAACCTCTGGACGCTTCTAAAGCAGAAGATATATCAGATTCGGCCCGATCTATTGCATATGCGGAATAATAACGAAACGCTTGATATCCTGATCGATACGGCACAAGATGCGTGGGATGCGCTTGATCTAGGGATGCTTGAGCATCTATCAGAGACTATGCCGCATCGGGTGCAGGCAATTATAAAGTCAAATGGCTGGTATACTAAATATTAGTGGTGTGGTGCTTGAATTTATGGAGTTTTATGGCAGGCAGAAAATATGGCAGAAAATAAGGCGGTCTATAGGTGGTCAAATACTTTTGCGGTGCCACTGTATACAGCTTACGCATGTTTCATACGTTTTGCATTATTACCATTCAGACCCAAAACAAGTTTTTAAATACGGAAATAGCCATATCAGGATTAGCGTGTTACGTGATTAGGGTTTGAAAGAATGTGTCTCTGTTTCCCGACATGGAAGGCAATAACGGCTGGCACTGTAGCGTGAATCATGGACTTCACTTTGGAACACTTATCCACTTGTATACCCAAGTGACGGGTTTAGGCGCTTAATAGGCACCAGAAAATCCACACCTTGACACTTTCGGTACTTATACTGTATTTGGTGGCTATCTGTGGCTCTGATATCTTTATTTTCAACTGAGGCCGATCGAAGTTTCTCCTTTCAAAGCATTTAGAATCATCGAGCTTTACTAAAACGCATATAATACAAACATATTCTGCCCCCTCAAACCGGTGTCAGATGCGTACGTCTTACTACATAATCGGCAAGACGTGGTAAGTGATTATTCGTTATATATTGCTATTAGATCTTATAGTGTTCTGGGATCCCCGCGTCAGCGTGGATGTTGACTGGCGGCTACGAATGTGGCTAGGTCTCGACTGTTCTGATTAAGTCTAGGGTACCAACACACACATTGAAATGTGTTTAATGGGGATAGGTGAACGTAGTTTTTCGATCCTATATCTGGCCATAAATTTAGCGTTATAACACACTTAGCTACTAGAAATCTGACTCTCTATTCTACCGGTAGCGAATTCATAAGTAACCCTTCACGAACCGTATATTTACGATATCTGGTGTGTCCTGTCCGCTAGCTATAGTCCGTATACCGAGCATATTATTAACTTTTATAGTATCGGAAACGCCACCTATTATATACCTAGAAACAGAGTCTTCAGGCGGGCGTACTGTTGTAGAAGTTATAGAAAATTCTTCCTCGTGGTCTCCCTCGAGAATCTTAACCTCGAGGTCGACCAATCTCTAGAATTCGTTAATACGGAAACTAAGATTGCGAGTCTTATTAGGAGGCTCCAAAACTTACCAACTAAGCCACTGTCTCTATATATTGATCTTGAAGGGGTCAATCTCTTAAGATATAGCAGTATTTCGATCTTACAGATCTATATCCTTCCACTTAAAGAAATGTATCTAATCGATATATATAGTCTCTAAGAGAAGGCCTTCTTATAGAAGACGGCTTCTGATAAAGGCTAGACTCTACTAGGTATATTAGAATTACCCTATATCCCTAAGGTCTTTTTCGATATTCGAAATGACTTAGATACTCTATTTAGTTATTTCAATATCAAACTTACTGGAGTTATTAACCTTTAATTAATAGAATTGGCGACCCGCTATTATTCGAGAAAATATATTAGCGGTCTGGCAAAATATATCGAGAAAGATACTCGTCTTACGACTTATAAGACTCGGTGTTAGAAAGTATCTAAAGAATAGGGGCTGAAACTATTCGCTCCTAAGTATAGGGGGAGCTATAATATATTTAACGTCCGCCCTCTTCCGGATAAAATTAAGGAATACTGTGTATAAGAAGTTTAATTCCTACCTAAGCTATAGGTATAATATTATCAGAAGATTTCCTCGTCTTAGGCTAGGAAGGTCATAACGGAGACTAAAAATAGAGTAACGCTCTCACAAATAGCCACCTATAATAGAAGAGGGAAATAGAAAGCTCTAGCGCCTGTAGGTTAGTATTAATATCGTAACTGATATTGTGGCTTTCTACAAAAGACAAATTTGGCGTCGTGTGATTCCTCAGTGAAACTAGCTTAGTAGTATACTATAAACTGACGGATCATAGACATAAAAAAAGAACTGCGTATACTGCTCTGGCCAGTCTTAAGATTTTAGCGGGCGGCCTATGCTCGGTCTCGTGCTTAGAAGGCGAAGAAGCTATAGGAAAAAAAAGGCATCTTTGCCTACTAGGGTTAGATCTCTATATAGCCACTGCAGCCTTCTATTAGATGTCAAGGAGTGTAAGCGAAGACTGCGTGTGACGAGACGAGACGATCAACACGTACAGCAAGAGAAGAGGATAGAGGGGATCTTGCTAGCTTATTACTGTAGACTGGCCCTTTGTTATCTTTGCATAAAAGATTCTATCGAATTCCAAAGCTAATTACGGTATTATAACAATGACTCATCCACCATTACAGGGATACAATACAGTCTCACAGGGAATACTTGGGGAAAGCTAAAATTAGACTAGTGTGTTTCAAGCTAGGGTTCGGTAATGAAAGTCTTAAGAGTGTGCGGTAAATCTGATTTCGAATGTTACTGTATGTGTTGATCAATCTCTCTGAACAGAAAAGCCAGGATCAATGCAAACCGTATCGCTTTGGCTGCCGGGGAGTTTGAGGTAATCAGAGGAAAGCTTAGTGGTAGAATTTATGCTGTCTGCCTTTCTTAATTTCTCCTATATGAGCTTCTCCTTTTTATTCTATCAGTAACGAGCGTAGCGAAAGGTGTCCGAGAACAGACCTTTAGAATATCTTCCGGGACATCTTGTTCTAGCAATGGGCGTAACTCGTTTGTAGCAGAGTTCCAAAGGCTTGTGAATTTTGTCGTCCTGCGATATAACGTAGGAATAATTAGTTTATGAATATTGCAATCATTTGACATGACTTACACAAAGTCGTCATTTATGTCCGAGAATCGGATAGGGAAGTTTTCCAATTTTTGGATATGAGCTCTGACTGCCTGTAGCTCTGTGTTTATCGAGGCAGTAGTAGCTTCGAGCTCTTCGTTCTGTCTCTGCTCCGATAATAATATTAATTTTAATTTCGATCTAGCCGTCTTTAATTGGTCTATTATTTTGTCCTTTTTATTTAGATTAGCTTACAGTGTACTGATGTCTTTGGCGGATTATAAGACTTTAGCGACCTCCTGTAAGTAAGTCAATTCTAAATTCGCTACTTTTTGCTGCAGAGCCCCTAGGGTCTTCGAGTATTCGGTAATTTTACTTTCCTTTTTGTTAAGAATTACACGAAGCTTTTCGATCTGTATGGCGGAGTCTCTCTGTTTTGCTCTTTCGTTTATATTCGCAGTATATATATTATCGATAGTAGTTCTTTTTGTCTCCTTAATATGAAGAATCTCCTTTTAAAGCTTCTTTAACTCTTTATCTTAAGAGTGGATTTGCCCTCGCTATTGCTTAATTTTATTAATTACGGCGGATGCGAACTGGGATTCAGAGCTTAACGCTAGTATACCGATATACTTAATAAAACCTTCTAGGCTGCTACTGTTGACCAAAGACGGGGTATTATCTTTGCTCGGATCTAAGGACGATGGATTGATAGGAGACATAACTAAGAAGGCTTTAATAATTGGTTAGAGGGGAACCGGAAGCTTTAAAAAACTGTTCGGCCACAAATTTCTGTCAGAGAAGGGGGTTTATACTATATATTGGTTATTCTCTCGCGAAGGCGTTCGCCCTGCTCACCTAGTTGTGAAGCTAACAAACCGAGCCTTATAATAAGGGGAAAGAATAAATAATACTATTTATGCATATAATTGTAGGGCTGTCATATAGCGTGTTCTCGAGTATATGGCTTTGGTGCACGCGAGTCATTATATGCATATGTCGAACAGTTAAGCTAGGACGTGTTATATAGAGTATGGTTGCATCACTGGGGCTGCTGTTAGTTTGACAAAAAAAGAAGGGGGGGAGGTGGGGGGGGATCTTTAACGAGATTTCCGACGATATTCAAAATAATAACGGATTTGCAGCTGCGAGGGGCACGCCAAAGGGCCACCGAATAGGAGGTTATAGTGGGACCTACGTTTTTAGTAAGTTGATTAATAGTGTGGCTGTCCGGCTAAGAACCGCCGTCCGTATCCCTGTCTAGACTATTATAAGACTAGTCTAAGCCTAGAAAGATTAGAAGAGGAGGGAAATAGTACTAAGCGCTAGCTTATATAACGTATACCCTTCTGTGTCGCCGGTGCTCCCTGGTAGGACATACTGTGACTGATTTCCTCTTAAGAGGATTCTCCTATAAGTAGAGACCTCTCGAAAGAGGTCTCTTATTCTCGGCCTTCTAAGTTACCCTTACTTTTGAAAAGAGCTAGCTAGCACTATTATTTCGTTAGAGTCCTCTCCTATCACTACCTATAGGATATTCTATATAGGTTTGTCGCAGACACAAAAGTAATCTCTTATCCTAATCTTACTTTGTTAGATTTCTCTTAGGGCGCTATATGTCTTATCTGTAGTTAGCTCTCGTTCTAAGGAATATAGGTATATAGGTATCTTAAAAGGGCTATCTTATAAGCGCCTAGGTTCCCTTCTATCTTTTACCCTATCTAAGACTTGAGATACTATCTATAGAAGTTCCTTCTCCTTTACTCGACCTTGTGCCGTAAGCTTCTTCACCTTGTGCTCAGAAACTACAAAGAAGGCATTACTGCTATTAGCAGTCGCTGCGCGGAAATATTAGGTTGGCCTTAGGCTATGCAGATTCTTATCGTACAGTGATAATTCTTCTATAAATACTTTTGCGCCACTCGTTCTAGTAGCGATAGATCCGACGGATTAATACGGAGACGGTCTGACCGTCTCCACTCTTCTCGCTCGAGGGACCAGAGCTAGATCTTAATCTTATTTTAAGGGATCTGCTCCTTAATCGTCCTTAAAGATATATAACTGGCTATAAAGGATATTTAGATAGGGAGATCTTTAGCAAACTCTCTAGCTATTAGAGGAGAAATTTTCAAAATTTCTATAGCCGGTTCAGATATTTCTGGGTGGAGAGGTTCTACTAGCGCTTTATAGGTAAGGGTGTCTAGAGTAGCTACGGTATCTAAGGTATCCCGGTGCATAGACTTCTCCGGTCGGTTTTTAGAGCTCGACGAGGATAGATATTGTCTGTTTGCTAGTCGAGAAGTTTCCTTAGCAAGCGGTTACTCTGGTAAGCAGAGTTCTTTATTAAGCCGCTTATTTTTTAATCTCTCTTTTAATTCTTCCTATTCTTCTTAGGCTCTCCTTAAACTAGTAACGAACTTATCTAAACTTCCCTGTGGGAGTTAGCTATTTACAGACGAATTTCTTATCTCTGGTTCTGGAGACGCTCGTCGTACTTCACGATTAACCTATAACTAGCTATTAAAAGTATTTTCTTCGCCAAACTCTTTAGCCGTTACTTATTTTTTCCTAGTCCTCCGCGAATAGGACTACCTCCAGAGAGACTCTTATATAGTCACTCCTACTATCTTTAAACCCCGGCATAACAGAGACTTAGGAATATTACATAGTAAGCGTTATTAGGTCGAGCGGCTCTGGCTAGGTTTTAGGCCCGATAGAGATATAACGTTCTTTAGGCGGACTACCCTAGTCTAATATAGCCTAGTCTAGGTTCTCCGTATTTAGTAGTTCTAGCTCTATTGACTTTTGATCTATATCCTCTATCGGGGTTAAGATAGGTCTGTATATTTGAAAATTTCGCCTTTGTCGACGCCTCGTATCTTCCGTTGCTCCGTCCGTATTAATTGCTGAATCTCACTGCCCTATCGTTCTTTAACTACTTTAGCTAACTGCTCTTATAGCTCCCCCTATTCTCCGTAGGGTAAATAGGGGCCTGGTACTAAGGTATAGTTAATAGGCTAGTTATCTTCTTCGACGAATATTAGCGAAGGAGGTATCCCTCCTATTCCTTAATCTGGATCTGTATCCTGGGATTAACTAGTATTACTAGCTATAAGCTATGTAGACTTCCCAAAGAATATAAAGAATATATAATAGCGAACAAAAAAGCTAGTAATATTATTAGTAACCTCAATATTAGCGTACAAATAATCTAAGAATAGCAGAGGTCTATCTTATTTATAAGTCTGAGTTTATGGCTCCCTAATATAAGTCTTTAGCTTTATTGCGCTATCCGCTAGAAGACCCTAGTATTACTCTGGTTAGTTAGGAATAGCCTTAGCAAAATAGCTTACGATCTAACTCACTAAAAGTTCAAAATTCTGGCTATTATATCGATATTAGTTAGGCTTTCGGGCTTATAGGAGAGCCGATCGTGCGATCTAATAATTAGGTGAACTGTGAATTAGCGTATTAATCTCCGTAGACTAAAAACTAAGCTAGTGCGCGAGTTTAGCTATCTCGTAGATCGCCCTCTTATTAGGCTTAGCTTGAGTTAATTTTACTAGCAAATTATTATCGCTCTTTAGGTCCGGGGGCATTAACATATAGTGCCTTGTTATATATAGCTATACTTATAAGTAACCTATCTCGAGATATTCTATATTAGTTACTAGCTAGCGTCGGAAAGTAGACTTAGAAGTCTGGATTAAAGAATCTAAGGCCCTTAGATTCACGGTTCCCTCTTCTAAGGATAGAAGAAAAATTAAACTTATAATTCTCTAGATTAATATATCGATCGCGCCACAGAGCCGCTTAATATAGTAGGTGTGGGAGATCCAGTGGGAGATCTAATGGGAGATCAAGTCTTTTATCCTTTGATGAATAAAAGAATATTTCCTTAATAGGAAACCTCAGGGTATGATATAATGATTGAAGAAGAATTATATTTTTCTTCTAGGGAATTGCGGACATATTTATATCCAATCAACAATATTCTAGGCCTATATCAGACTTGCATTGTTTTAAGTCTAGGCCTGTCTTGCTTTGAAATCAATTATAGTCTAGGCATCATTTTTAGTCTAGACCTATTGTCAAGGCATCATTAATAGTCTAGACCTATTGTCAAGGCATCATCAATAGTCTAGACCTATGTCAAGGTATCATCAATAGTCTAGACCTATATCAAGGCATCATTAATAGTCTATCCATAGAACACCTTTTAATAGACCTATTATAATTAGGTGGCTTTTCGTATTTACCTGACCAATTATAAAGATCATAGTCTTCTTGGATGACTAAAGGTAATGCTGACAGTCCTTGATAATGCTGACAAAGGTAATGCTGACAGTCCTTGAATATGCTGACAGTAGGCGTATAACTCTAGGTACTTAAAGTCTTTAAAAAAGGTATATAAAGATAGGATCAGACTATTAAAATTCTGTATTCGGGACTATATGATCCGTCGCTCTTTGTCGCCGAACTCAGTAAAGGCTTAGCCGCTTAAGATTATCCTATAGGCTATTTTTCTATCGGTACGTAACTAGCTAGGCGCTAGTAGCTATAGGTATTCTACGGTATTCTAGTCGATCTTCTTTATCGAAGCGTGATCCGAAGCTACTAAGGAAGACTAGAAGTTTTAGATATACTTTAGATAAGCTATAATTTCTAGGATCAGTGAAGAGCTTAATTAGTACGTTAAAAGTAAGTTAGGTCTCTGAGGCTCACTTTAATATATACGGAGGCTATTAGCCTATAAAGTATACTAATCCTTATCCTACCTAGCTAAAGCCTAGGGATTATTAGTAACCTATTAAAAGTACTTCGGATACAGCGGTTTTTCTTACTATCTAACTAATCTAAGTGCTCCTAGTTACTACGCGATAAACGTACAAACTATCGCTCTCGGAAAGTCTTATTATACTCGCCCTTAAATATTTTAGTCTCGGAGCGTAATTAGAAATCTAGGGAATATCTTATAAGGGCTTAAAAGGGGAAGATACCTAAAATAATATTTATAATATTATTATATATAAACTCTATAATTCGTAGCAGATTTAGCTATATTTATTACTTAGTATTTATAAAATACTATAAGTAATACTTAAGGGTTTAATTTATCCTTTCTATTTAGCTATCTATCTATAAGTAAAAAGCTATAGAAAATCGGAGTTTTTCCTTAAATAAAAATATAATTTTAATTAGAATTTATTGGTAAAGATAGGGCCTCTATCGGATATAATTCCTTTTAGTAGGCTAAACTAAACTTTAATATTATAGTATATTATAATAATAACGGAACTAATATTAATTACTATTAAGATAGGGACAAATTAATATTATTTTATAAAATAATAGATAATAACTAATATTATATTAAAGGGCTTATTTTTGTGAATCACTAAGGGTAGACCTATAATAAAGTTTATAGAGATTTCAGTAAATAGTTATAAGGGTTATAGTAAGGATTTAAGGCTACTATATAGCCTATATTAGGGTATTATAGTCCCTTAGTGAATAAAGTATATCCTTATATATTCTATAATATTTAGATATATATTTATTTAGTAATATTTCTGTTATAAGAGCTCTGTTATTCTATGTTTCCTAAAATATCCTACTAAGGGATTATTATAGTAAACTTCTAGTAATTTCTATCTTCAATTACTCCTTATAAAAATATAAAGATATATTCTATAATATAATAGGCTATTAAGGTTAATAGACTATTCTTTTATATATTATTTCTCTTATAAAATAGCTATCTTTTAGCTTTAAGTCTTCGGATTATTATCTTAGATTCTCTTTACCTAGATTTATAGATTAGCGCTTATATACTCTATATATATACTCTTATTAATATTAGTACTCTATATTATATTTTAGGGTAATTATTAAAGCGATTTAACTTCTCTTAGATAGCTTAGTTAGCTATTTCTATATTATCTTAGCTTTAATTTACTTAGGTATTAATAGGGATTTATATATAGAGCTTAGGTCCTAATTATTATACTTTAACTAAGATTTACTAGCTAAGAGGTCTCTTAGTTTAATCTCTAAAATACTTATAATTCGCTCTTAAATAAGATTTAGAAGCTTTATTCTTAGAGCTGTATCTTTATTTAGCTATTATAAGAGGCTATTAATAGGATTTATTTTATTTACTTAGTATTTAATTATAAAATTAAAGGGGGTAAAAAATAAATATTATTAGGCTTAATATCTATTTATTTTTAGCTATTTTATAAAGTCTTAGAGATTTAAATAATTAGAGAGAACCTTAATAGGGTACTTACTTTTTTTTAAATAATATTATTATTATTTAAATAAATATATAATAGTAAATAGTTCTTAGTCCTAAATATTATAATTTAGTTTTACACTAATAAATTTTCTTAACTAAAATACTATAAGATACTATTACCCTTTATTATTAGGTTATAATATTATCCTAGCTATCCCTAAATTAGATATATTAATTTTAATTTAGATATATCTTATTAGGTCGAAGAATCTAAGGAGTAAGGCTTACTAAAAGATATCTTTTAGTTATTAAAATACTACCTTTTTAATATTATTTAGATTTATACTCTCTTATTTCTTACTATTCTAGCTTCTCTTTAAAAGATCAGTAAGAGGGACTATAATAAGAGAGTATCCTTTAATAAAGCGTTAGTAGAAGTTATAGAATCCTAAGAATACTTAGATATTATAGAATATTTTAGGTATTTCCTAAGATACAATAATAATAATATATTATAGGTCTATTAAGATATCTTAGCTACTAATTATAAAGCTAAGAAATTCTACTTAGTCTTAATAAAATATATATTTAGATATTTTTATATAGAGCTATACTTCCCTTAGCCTTTTAAGGACTTATCGTAAGTATTTTATATATAACTTATAGTCTAATAAAAAGATAAGGATATTATCTAGGTATATAATATAAATTATATTAAGTAAGCTATATAATATAGTATAAATATAGTTTTAGAAGGTAGTTAGTATATTAGTAAGTCTAAATAGTATTATTATATATTTATAGTAGCTATATTATATTTAGAAGACTATTTTCTATTTTTTGCTCTCGTTTATTTAGATTTAGTAATATATATCCTATATATTAATTTTGCTAAAGTATTTTATACCTAAAAGGCGGTTAAGGAACTCTAAAATAAGGGATAAAGAATAGCGATTCTTAACGGAGACTTTATTTAATCCTTAGTAGTCTATATAGAAGTATAAATTACTATTCTTTTTAGGTATAAAAAGGACTAATATCCCTATAGAACTCTTAGAGGGTTAAATATATCTATTTATAAGGTTTTTATTAAGATATCTCCTTAATTCCGCGAGTTTAGTTTATAAGAGAGAGTATATTAGTCTATAGGGGGGGTAATACCCCTTCCTTAAGTTTAATAGTATAATTAGTTAACTTTTATATAGGTAGAATCTTTAACTAATTAGCTATAAATATATTATAAAATATCTTTAGTTTATTTAATAATATTAGTTTAGATATAGTCCCTATTTCTTTATTATCCTCTAGAAGCTATATATCTTTTATAATATAAATATAGGCTTAGTTTTAGTAAGCCTTAGTAAATCACTAAGGGCTAAGTAAGAACTCTTTTATCTTAAATTACTGTTATCGGTCTAATAATAAATTAATTTAAAGGTCTTATATTATAGTTATTAATAAAAAAGAATAGGGCTATCTTCTAAGTATAAGTCCTTATCTATAGCTATATATTATTTTATAAAGCTATAGGGTATCCCCCTTAAGTTAGTAACGGTAATAAGGACTTTTTATATCCTATAAAAAATAATCTTTTAATTTAAGATTACCTAAATAGTTAGAGTAATAGCTAAGATATATTCTAAGTTATATTCTTTTATAAATTAGTAGCTAACTAAATCAACTTTAGCGTGACTATCTAGGTCTATATATATAATAAGGGTATTTTATACTTAAATTAGGATATAAAAGTATAAGGTAGTCCTTATCTTAGGGTTTAGAGTTATAAATATACGGCTTACTTTAACTTATTCCCTTTTTTTAAGTTCCTTAGGAATTAAATATATATAAAATAATTATTTAGTCTATCTTTAATATAATTTAGGGCGATATAGCTATATTTATAATATCTATAATATTAGGGTCTTAATCCTAAGTATAATAGATTTTAGTCTTAGTTTATAATTAATTTATATATATTATTTAAGTTATAATAGCTATGGCTTTCCTAGAAGCGTAAGGAGCCTAGCTTAGTCTTTAAAGATTATTAGTCCTTATATCTTTAGGAGGTATTATCCCTTCTCTAATTATATATATATTTAGATTATATAAGGCGTCCTAAGGGGTATTAGTACTCTTAGGTTTTATTAATAAATTAGTAGCGTTTCTTAGCTATTTAAAGTAAGTTTTAGAAATATCTTACTTTACTAATTATTATATTATATATTTCTAATAATTATTTCCTAAGAAGATATTCGCTTATATAATAGTAAAAGGCTAAATTAAGCTTAGAGTAATAAAATATTATATTATCCTTTTCGCTTTTTTATTTAGAATATTATTTTAGGCTATCTAAATAAATATAGAATTAATTTAGATTATCTTATAGTCTTTAGTGTACCTAGCTAAGGCTAATACTTATATTGGCCTATAAGATAGCTATATTATATGGGAGAGTAATTATTTAGTCTTTAAAAGCTATTTATAAACTCTTAAGATCTTATTACTCTTTAATAGATTTTATACTTATATATTATAGCTATCTTTAATAGTAGTTATATTTTATTATTATTATACCTATAAATTGTCAGCATATTTAAGGACTGTCAGCATTACCTTTGTCAGCATATCAAGGACTGTCAGCATTACCTTTAGTCATCCAAGAAGACTATGATCTTTATAATTGGTCAGGTAAATACGAAAAGCCACCTAATTATAATAGGTCTATTAAAAGGTGTTCTATGGATAGACTATTAATGATGCCTTGACAATAGGTCTAGACTAAAAATGATGCCTAGACTATAATTGATTTCAAAGCAAGACAGGCCTAGACTTAAAATAATGCAAGTCTAATATAGGCCTAGAATAACGAATTACCCTCACTTTATAGACTACTATTTATAAGCTATGTTCTTTATACTATAGTAAATTATGACTAACCTAAAGGTAATCGAGGGCCCACTAGACGCTAGCAAGACTTTTTAATATAATTTTCCCCAAAAATAATTAATAGTCCCTATAAAGCGAAAGCATTAGCTTATAAAAGACCTTTTCCTATATTATAACCTTAAAATTAAGTAAGAAGACTATTAATAGGAGGTTCTCCGTTAATAAGACCTAGATCACTAGCACCGACCATTTAGTACGCCTTAAAAATAAGTTACGCGAGAAGGGCTTATCAAAAAGTATAGCGGAGAAAAGAAACTCTTTTTCAAAAAGCTTTCGAATACTCTATTTAATACGATACTAATATTTAGCTTATTATATAGATAAGGAAGACCGGTTAGGTCTTTACTTTAACTTCTAACTCGGAAGGGTGGCCGCTCTCTATAAACTAGCTAGTATATTAAACTTTATATATATTTTTTTTATTTACCTATTAGTTACTAACCGAGAAAGGCCTTAAATCACCCACTATTAATATAAAAAATAACGGATAACCTTACTTGGCAATATAAGAAATAGGGTATCTCTACTAATAAAACTAAGATCCTTAGTTCAGATAATAGTAGCGTCTAAAGCGTCAGAGAATAATAATATAGATAGCCTACTATTATAATTTCTAATATAAGAAGTCTAAAGTAGAAAGTGTGTGCGAGACTTATCCCGGGAGAATTTAGGTTTTAGTATAATATAGCAGATCGTGACGTGAAATTTCTCCTCTGCTATAGTAGCTAGGCCAGATCTACGGTGGGACACTATTCACAGTTCCTTACCGAAATTGCAGAGTTATCTATATAGGATAGGGTATATGTGCCAGGGCCCTTTAGTCAATTGTATCAGGAGAATGCGTAGTATTTTGACCACTAAAGCCAGGTAAGCATGCACAAGCCTTAAGGATTCCTAGGAAATCAATGGCTTCCAGGACCACTGTGAGGGTCTCACGTATCTGTTGATGAGGAGCGTGTCTTTCGGATGAATGATCAATATTAAAGAAAGCTATAGTCGACTCTAGATACAAGACGTAGCGCGAGGAAGCAAAAGAAAGATAGCTTCCTCGCGTTCAGGGGAACATGCTGCTAGGGAAACGATCCCTGCTGTGCGGGGTAATTATTTTATCATGGCATTCCGTGAGCCCCAAGGCGTTTGCCTGCGATCATTCACAGAATCTTAATCTCACAATTTCTCCCTAGCCAAAATTCCTCGGAAGGGCCGTGGGACTCCCAAGGGCATTGAAGATCATTACAGGTAGGTTTGAGACTACTTCTGCTGCTGAAGAAGTTCTACTTAGAAATACGGCCATGAAAGCATCCTCCCTTATTGGTTTCGCCCAGATTAGGTAAGTACCTTAATACCAAGTGCGCCAAAACAGTGAAGAATACGAGTCTTCAAATTTGGCGTAATGCCCCATTTTGGGGCTTTAAGACGCTGATCTGAAAAATGCAGCTTAAGGTAATAGGATCACACTTATGAGACTATTTACTCTGTGCAGACCGTGTCTTAAGTCATTATTAGGTCTTTGATCAATTTTCTGCAATCCTGACATTTACCTACGCCTCGGTTTGTGATCGAAAGATCAACTCTGGACCTTTATATGGCGCCAAAAAGATTGGATAGGTGAAAAAACCTGGAGGATGCAATCCAAAATCAAAATAAGGTCCATTGCAACGTTGCAGCTGACAACGCCTATGATGCTAGCTTTATCTCTCCGACAGCCGTGATGAGGCCATATCCAGAATAAACCTTTCGTCGAGATAATAGTCTTGGTCCTACCGCGTTCTTGAATTCCTTACCACGATGTAGGAAGCTATTCATATGGAACACGCCTCAGATACTGGGCGGGCGCCGCTTTCTCCGCAGAACACACCTCGCGTATTTTCTGCGTGGAGTGAAGCACTCAAAGTCGGCATTGTTACAGTAAAGCTCAACTTAGGCTTGCCATTGCTGGTGAGTAACCATTTGGAGGTGTTCGAGAGAGCGGCATGAGATGGGAAGGAAAGATTGCTTCTTCTGAGGAATATTTCGCTATTAAAGGCATCACTATCGATGCCTGAATAATAATTGCAAGACATAATGTTAGATAAGAATCCAACTGATTTTCATTTTCATTTTCTGACATGGATTCTCTTGTAGTTCAGAGGGATGATTCACTTATTGCATTGAAGAGAGAATAGGTGAGGCGATATGTAACGGGCTATATGTAACGTATTCTCCCCGGGTTGAGTTACAGATTGAAGATACCTATGATGAAGATGACGATGGTTCTACTTGAATATGCAGTCGAATTCCATGTAACTGTTCAAGTCTACTTTTCAGAATGAAGGGAATTGCGGAGTGATATATTCTATCCTCAATACTCAAGTGCCGAGGTCCAATCTCCTTATCATGCGCGTGCAGGAACGCTAAAAGGTGCTGGAGATCGCCAGTATGTACCCGAACCATGGTGGCGCGAGGGGATTAAACCACCCATCGGCTGAAAGGAGGCAGCAAAGCAGTAATGGGTGGAGGTAGGTGGAATTGCCAGGGTGTATATAATAGCTGCCTGTGGCAGACATATCCTGCATGGCTATGCACCGTACAATTACAACACATTCCTCTGAACTACAGCACTTGTTAGCTAATATGGTCCTCTATAGCGGATCTGTCAAATGAATTACAAAACGTGATGCTGCAGCATGTCAGTAATGACACCCTTGTCCGGCACTACGGCGTCGACATTTACGTCGATGCTTAGGCCACTGTTCGGGTATGCCCGTTCAGAAGCAGCCCATGCGTTTCGGTTGCTCGATGAGTCGGTCCATTAATCCCCGCAGACCATACAGACTACAAGACTTGAGCTCTATGAATCATGTTCCGTGCGTGATTACTTTGGAAGAGTTGAAGAAGGCGCGAGAGCAGGCTCGAGATGTGAAAAAATCACCTTTGAAAATGCCGAAGCTGCTCTTTAACGAGAATTTGGTGATGATCCTTCGCAGAGTGGTTCATTGTCTCGCAATCCACGGACGCTCAATAAAAGGTGGAAATCTCAGAAGAGGACTGTAGAAAAGCTACGCGAGAAATTCGAACGCGCCGAGGAGCGGTATGATCTCTCGGTGCGGGATTTACGGAACGAGAAAGGACGGCAACGGAACCGCTTGATACGTGAAAATCTGGAGCGGTATAAGAAAGATCAACCAGTGATCGACAGCGATTGAGAAGGGACTGCAGAAAAGACCATAGATTCATTATAAGACATTGATCAGACAAGCATTTCATAAGAAAGTATAATTCTATTTGCAACCAATTTCGCTCAGCCGCTACACCGTCTCTCAGGACGCAGCCAACCTTCACTCGGACTGGCTATACCGTCTCGTCGATATGAGAGGATTCAGGAATGGCAATCTCAGCTCCCTTGTCACTCTCAGGCCCCTTTCTCTCTTGCAGATGCTCAGCAAGATGACGCTTGGGCAATTTCTTCGCCACGAGAACTGTGTCGAAGATAGATGTTGAAGACTCGAAAATCTGGTCAATCTCTTCCAGTGATCGCCCCGATGTTTCGGGGAAGAGAAAATAGGTAGTTAGCACAAATATGGCATTCAAAGTGAAATAGACGAGGAAGTATTTCCAGCCGATCTTGGTGAAGGCTGTTGGAGTCACCTCAGCGACAAGAAAATTGAAAAGCCAGGAGATGGCGGTAGACAATCCGCACACGGAAGCTCGTAGATGGGTAGGCGCTACCTCACTGGCGTATAGAAACGGAATACCAAGGAATCCCATAACGTATACAATGACGTAGAGATACGAGATAAACACAGCAGCTTTGAGAGCGGACTTATTTTCCGGATTCGAAGTGAGACCAGCCATACAGGCGAAGCAGATACTCATCCCGCTTGCGCTAAATAGCATCAGTTTGCGTCGGCCAAATTTGTCGACCGTATAGGCACAGAAGAATGCTCCTATAACCAGGGCAATCTGGGACGAAGCCGCTAGGATACGGGAGACTGTCCCACTAAAGTGCAATTGGTTCTCGTAAATTGAAGGGGCATAGTATGTGATCGAATTGATGCCGCTCATTTGGAGCATCATTTGGGCAACGGCAGCAATGACCACACGATGGAATGTTCGCTGAGGTCCCATTTTGAACAAAGGACCGAAACTACCTTTACTAGTGCGCTCGATGGAGATTTGAATGTCTTCGATCTCTTTGTTCACAATTTCTCCGTGCGGCTCCTCGTCGTGCAGAAGCCCGAGGATTTCCCGCGCTTCTTCCCAATGACCCTTTTTGCTTAACCAGCGAGGACTCTCTGGTAGGTTAAATATGCCGTAACAGACGAATATCGACAAGAAAAGGGTGAAAACCAGGGTGAAACGCCAAGAGACCGAGCTTGGCTGTGTGTAGCTCATTCCAAAGGCAACCCATAGAGCCAAGGCAAGGCCAGATCCACAGAATATCCCAAAGGCGGACACGTGCTCACCACGATTTTCAGCTTTCGAGACTTCGGCCTGCCAGACAGAGATAGTGGCAATCATTCCGCCCGTGCCGAGTCCCAAGACAACTCGGCCAATAATGAACTGCTCAAAAGCAAACGAAGACGATTGTACGGTAGCTCCAATGGCTTGAATAATACTGGCAATGAAGATTGTTCTCCGACGACCTAACGCATCACCGAAAAAAGTGCAGCCCAGGGCTCCAAACACACCGAAAAGGGTGTACATGGCGACGACAGTTCCTATTCAAGGTTAGCTTATCTTCCATAAGTAGATAGAGAGCTTACCCTGAATCTTCGCGTTGTATGACTGCAAAGAGCCCGCTGTCGTCAAGGTATCCATTCTGGGAAACTGCTTGTTGAAGGTAAGGTCGGCGAGCACACCACCAGCGGACGCTTGATTGTAGCCGAAGATCATTATACCAAGCCAGGCCTCAGCTCAAATGGCCAAGTGCAGTTTAGAGCCTCGAAGGCCCCAGAATCGCGCCATTAGATCGTTTCTGAATTCTGCAGATTGTGGGAGGAAAATAACAACACTTTTGGTACGACTGACAATGTGAGAACCTGGGTTTATAGAAAACGGAAGACTGGGGCTCCGTCAGGGGAAATAAACGAAGACTATAGCAATTCCAAGCTTCGGCACGCTCGATGCCCCTCATGTTCCCCACAAAATATGCAACGCGGGGAAATAAGAGCCGGTCGCCAGACTATCTACAGGTTCGCCGAGGTAGTTTCACTCTTCCTGTCAAGTTGCATTAGTAAAAATATCGGGTCCGGGTTAGGGTGTGACGGAGGGGTCCGCGGAGGAAGTGTCTCCGAGCGCGGAGAGAATATCCCCGAGTTCGGTTGCGCGATTAGCCAGTTGTTCATATTTGCGTAGATAGTCAAACTGACGCAGCAGTAGTTAAAACAGAAGAACACGACCTAAGTTTCCATGCGTGCCCCGATATTTCCCTGAAATCAACTTCTGGAATATTTTTCGATCCAGAGAAGCACAACCCCGGAATGAATTGAAACAGGCACTTCGTGGTGGGGTGGGCCCGCCCCGCAATTGGAGTGAATTCTTCTGGCTCTATCACGGACAGAAAAGCTCCGTGATCATCCCCAGTCCAAACAAAGCTGTCGCTGCAGGTATCGGAATATGATATCATGTTCTGTAGCCATTTGGTTATTGGAATTACTCCGAATAGTCAACAGGGTTTGATGCTTAAAATGTAGTCAATATTCAAAATATTCTTCAAGTTTCACTGTTTGGTTCAGGACAGTCTGGGCGTTACGTTAAAACAAGGGAGATAATTCAGATGAATAGTGGAGATTTCTGGCCGCACTGCTTAGTACTGAATGTATTCCAAGCCATTCAATGCCGTGAAGGAAGGTCTAATTCCCGGTCCATGGGTGTTAGTGTAATCAGCACACCATATGTGCTTCTATGTAGACTTTACTTGTAAGGCGCTTGATTTATTATGATTACTTTGTTGTGAGGGATGAAATACGACAGATACATGCAATATATACACACAAAGAGGCCAGATTAAAGATTCAAGTTAAAGAATCATATCCTAAAATCGGACCCGAGATGGAGAAATCACCAGAAGGGAGCATAGTAGCGTCCATGAAACCGAACAATGGATCTACTGGATGAGCTTGTTCTAAACCCTCGCTATGCTCGCCCATCTCTGAAAATTCTGGACCGCCAAAAGTCGGAAATGTGCCGAAAATAAGATCCAAATCAAAAATTTCGGTAGATGGGGCAGGTTTCAAAGTTTGATCTAATTCATTAAAATTTGATGACTTTCCTCAGTGCATGGAACAACTTACCAATATTGAGATTGATATTATTCGAGGCGACAAGCTTTTTGATGATTTGAATGGGTCGTTGTACACCAGGGTTAGTGATGGACATCATGCTCAAATACTCAAGATTTGCAACCAAGCGCATGGTGTGTTCGCCAAACCCATTGAGCTCTCCCGCTGCATTCCGCACATGAATGGTGCATGCTACATATAAAGAATAAGCCATGAGGTATGGGGCTTTTGAAAGGCCATGTGCATCTTTGTAGGCTCGCACGATCGCCGATATTTGGTTTGCCCCTCCAGTGCATTGTTCCCAAGAGTGCTGGGGTACATTTGCAGAGCGTAGATGGCCATCAGAAATGAATGGTCGATAAAGCAGGATGATGAGAGAGTGATATATGCCATGTAGAGTCATTACATTCGGCGAGGAACAAATCTGCGCATTCTCGCTCCATGGCTGCAGTTCTAGCTGCGAAGGCAAATTTTTTCTCCATTTTTGTAGCGCAGCCTTGACCATCTGTAAGCTTGAAAGTGCGTTAGAGAAGGTCGCTCTGACTGCATAAAACCGATTGATCACCACAGTCATAATTTTCGATAGAAGGCATAGCTGTCGGAAAGTAGAAACGGAGTAGATAGGCGACGGTAGCGGAGCAGATGACAAAAAAGTTTCTTTTTCTTCAAAGGTGTCGAGTAATTCCCGAGAGACCTGATGGTCATAGACATTGATTGCCACTGGCCGTCCGAGATAGAGGCTTTGAAGTTTATCGCATATAAAAGCCCCCCAAAAAACTCGTCTTCGTATCTCAATCTCTTCGGGATCCTCAGTCGTCCCTTGAGGGTCCAGGTGAAGCCCTAAATCGTATATCATGCGAACTGCATAACCAGTAAAAAGCCACCCTTTTGTTGTTTCCCCGCGCGCATTATGAGTTGACCCCAGGAGAAGGAGGCCGACCACAGTGGGTATAGTCGGGCGGATAAGAAGCGAGTTCTGCGCTAAGATTTTCTCGCAGATGTCGAAAAACGGGTTCTCCTGCCCCCGGGAGTGATCCGAAAATTTGCTGGAGCAAGCGAATATTGCATTAAGTAGGAAATGAGATGAATAGCAGCCACCTTCTTGTATATCACGCATGATAACAGGCCGATATGTCAAGAGAAAAGTATGGTGTTGTCGAGCCCAATGTACATTCAACAAATGTAAAGCTACCTCAGTGGGCACACCAGCAATCTCGGGCAAGGTAGATAAATGGTGCTCCGCTTGTCTTTGCAAAGCGGCATTTGCGACGAGACTGTTTCGCCTGTGCTCTAGGTCCTGAATATGTGCTAGTTTCGGAGACTGACCCGAACTCGTGAAAACGTGTAACGCGGATGACGGGCCAAAATTACCGGGATTGCCCGACTCATCAATGGAGAGAAAAGGAGTGACATCCGACTCATCAATTTCGGAGTCTGATAAAGTCAAGGCATTTTCCTGCCCTTGTTGGACATCTTCGCTGTTGCGAGTGTTGCTATTTTGTCCTAACTCGGTAACGGCTTGGAATGCCCCAGATTGCCCGTCATCGAGTGAGGTTGATGCCAGCAGTGTATCTCGAGTATCAGCCGGGGCATTCTTCAGAGTTGTAATGAAAGATTTAAGGACAGAAATTTCACGTTCAAGATCATTGATCCGAGCAAAAGTAGGTCTAGATCAGCGGTTATTATTTAGTATTTTCCGGCTCGGCTCAGCAGGCCTTGGGGAAAGACGGAGTATAGAGGCAGGATACCTTTTCCTAGGCGTTTCGTTTTGATATAAACATTCACGATTGAGATTGACGCACATCTTGCAGCGTGGCTGCGCCATATCACATCGGGTCTTCCTGCTCCGGCATAAGGAGCATGCCCGCGATGTAATCTTCCTTTGTGCAGCGTTAGATTTAGCCGTCATGGTGCATGTCTTTATCTGTCGCTTCTGGTTATCGTATTCGATCTGTGCCAAGACTATCCGTTCAAGTTGGCCTTTGACGGCAAATTTCCCGAATTGATTGACCCCTCGCGAGCAGCAGCGGAACACGTGACAATTCCGCTTCGTCACCATGAGCCTTGATTGGTGGACGGAAAAAGCGTTATTCCTGATAGTTATCTGTATTGTTTGCAATTAGTTAACTAACGTGGTCGGTAAACGAGTGTGCCACCGAACCAAATTTTCTCATCTCCGCGCGTCCATTTATCTTCTATCAAGCACCATGCCTCCAATACGCGTCAGATCTAGCCAGGATTCTATCCAGCAAGAAAGTCGCCTCATGCTTGCTATTCAGGCTATAAATAGCAAAGAAATTATTAGCACTATTCGGCAGGCTGCAAAGCAATTCCAGGTCCCCCGTAATACGCCCACGCGTCGCCTACGCGTCGCCTACAAATCGCACTGAATGTCGCGCAAAGCTTCATAAATTGACACAAATCGAAGAAAATATACTCTAGCAACGCATACTATCGCTAAATTCACGTAGAGCAGCCGCTACCCAAGCTCATATACGAGAAATTGCGAATATTCTACTTGCGAAGCGCGGTTCTACCCCCATTGAAACCGTCGGCGAAAAAAGGGTATATAACTTCACCCAGCGCCGTCCGGAGCTTAAATCTCGCTTTTCTCGACGATTGACGGAAGGTAATTAAAGAAAGGCTATGCATCCAAGAGCTGTTGCAGTATCTCCGTGTCGTCTGGAATGTGAACAACCTCTCCCATTGCGCTTCTTAGGAATTTTTGTTTCTTTGTAGGCCAAGGCCTTCCACAAAGTGTGACACGCAATATTATCCTGAAGCAATTCATCTCCCAAGCATGAACGCATCTCCATTCTATGGTTAGTATTTCGTCACTAATGTCAGTGAGCAACTGGCTGACTTACCTCTTCTGCATAGGCAAAAGATAATATAACTGGGATTCTGGCGAGAGAGAATCCGCTATCTGAAGGACATCCGCGGGCCATTCATTAGTATCGCCGATAAGACATCTATCCACCGCTTACTAATCATCCAACCCTTCGGTCTCGCGGTTAAATAATTTGTAATCTAAGTAGCGAGAGTGTAGGCTCTGGGATTACTTGTTTTGAGCGGGAATAAAGAGCTTCTCGGGCGGCTTGTGGGAAGTATTATCCTTATAGATATTGAAGGACGCCTTTAATACGAGCAATATCCCGATAGCCTTTTCCGCTATCCACGAGCTATTATTAAAGCGCCTCTGGACGCGTTCTTTTTTGTTCTATATAACTCCTTCTGCCTCACTCGCGTCTTCTGAGATATTATCTCGTGGGGACATCTCACCGGAGGGCGAAGATTCTTTAAGCGTAACCATAAAGTATAACATTAGCACCCGGTTATTGCTGTTAAAGCCGATAAACTTAAGGACGTGGGATACAGAAAGACTAGTTTGTCTTTTCACTCCACACACTATGGCTTCGAAAATGGTTGTGGGGTCATTATCGCTCTCGGGTGACTTTTCAGTATATGCCTTTCTGTAAACAGAAGCGGTTTCCCCAGAGATACTTATAGTAGTGAACTCGAAGCAGTTATGATCAAGCCTGGTGCTTATAAAAAAATGGATAGAAACGTTAAATGAAGACAATATTCGATAAATCAAGAATCCTATCTTAGGTATAATTTAGAGTAGTGGATATTAAGGATATAATCCGAAGGTAGAGAATAAAATCGTTATTTGAGGTATATTTATATATAGCTATATATTTCCGCTTATATATTCCTACCAAGGTATCTAGGAAACTGGATACCATATATTGTATTAACCCGGGTGATATCGGGACTCCTCCCTTTCTATAGAAATTTCCGAAGTCTGCAGATTCTGATATATCCACGCATTAAAGATATGCCGTGCGCACTTATACGGCCGATTGAGCCCCCAAAAAGAGCGATATAGGGTCTGTAAACGCCGCGTTAATATCCAGCCCACCCCTTCGTATCTACTAAGGACGTAGCTGAAATACCTATAAAATTTTCTTAGCGCAATTAAAATTAATTATAAACTTAAATAGAATCCACTAGTATAACTCGTGGGCAAATTTTTCTTAAACCCGAGCCTACTTATATTTCACTCGAATTACTGGGACGATTCCTTTGTACTGTAATAAAATAATTATCCGATATATTATAAAGATTTCGTAACATAAAGCCCCTACGGGCTAGGGTAGCTTTGTGGCATAGCCCCATCGCGGAGTATATAGGGCCTTTATTCCTAGGAAAGCGAAAGTCACACTTATAGTTTAGTTATAAACCGCGAAAAGTAGAAAGCCACAATAAGGCCTATAGTTTAATAGTCTAGATTTTTATAAATCCTATGGTATATATTAAAAACTAGAACTTACCGGGATATATATAAGTTTTAGGACTTAGCTCAGAGATCGACAATCGACTAAATATAGGATTATTCTGATCTTTTCAAAAGTGCTAGACGTGATAGCTTAGATCCTTCGATTACTTAATAGCGCTATTCCGGCCCAGTTACGCTCTTATAGCTCCTATAGCTACGTTATTGCTTATTACGTGTGAGTTATATATCCACGTATAAAAGGCCGTAAGCTTCTTATAATCGTTCCTTACTTTACTAAAGTATCGATCCTTTCTAATTTAAAGTCTTCTTTCCTTATCTTAATCAGTTTAAAAGTATAGTACGTATGCTACTTAATACACTATCCTTTAAGACCTCCTTAGTGAGGTTTAAAGATATTAATATACCTATTTCTATTCTCTAAGAGAGGAACCCCAAAATCGATAGGTTCAGCGCTAGCTTTATTATTTTTGGCCAAATCCTAAGATATCTGTCTAAGGTTTTTATTCTTCTTATCTAGCGTAGATACGACGGTTTATTTGGTAAGACCTTAGAGGGGCCAGGAGGTAGACTTAACTTCCTCAAAGACGTTACTATAATAAGCACTGCTTTACGTGAGACAAAGGAGGAAACTGGTATCGAAGTTCCCCTGCACGCTATTTTCCCGCTTTTATGCTTAACCGAGTTTTAGTATAAGAACTCTCGGATAGGTTATTATATATTTATTACGCAGCTTTAAGTAGAAATTCCTATTACTCTATCGGAAGAGCACCTTTTCTCGGGATTTTTCGACGCGGACGAAGTTCAGAATTTCGAAATCTTCAACGAAGAGAAGAGTATAAATAAGCGAAAGGTTATACTTAAAAGCAAAAAGAAAACACTCTGTCATATCTTTAAAAATAGTGAGAGTCTAAGGAATAGTGATAAGGAGATAATAGCGGATGCCTAATTATATTTTGCTATTATCTTTTGGGGATATTATAAGGCGTCTGCACGATATATGCTACAGAGACTAAATTTATTGCTAAAGGCGGTTTCGCTTAGTGTGATGAAATTAAGAGACCAATAGTTTCTGGAGCTAAATATATTAAATTATACACGATATTGGTCGTCTGAGTACCGCTTTACGATCGCAGTTTGTACTTGGAGACAGATAAACAGATAAAGTAATCTGGATTATGGCATTGGCTCTGCATAATTAGTGAAAGTGAAAGCATATACTGGTATTCTGGAAATATGTTAAAGGGTTCTCGATAGAAGCAACCGTTCTCTCATAATTAGACTGGTAAGATCTTTGGCGATATTTAATTACAGAATATGTTTGACTCCAGTTATATCTTGGTATTATCCGTATACTGGTGGTCTAAGGCTTCTACTGTTTATTAATTGTTTAAATGCCTTAACGTTTATGCCTCTCCACAGAAACGTAACGGTCTACTTCAAACACTTTACACCAAAATTATCTTAGAATGTTTCTAGCGGAACGTGATTGAGAAATTGTCTTACGTACGTGGATAGCCGAAGCCACTTTTGAAGGCACTACCTTTCTTAAGACCTTACCGGAGCCTTTTTTGCGAGTTTCGAGTTATCACTAACACTTTCTAAATATGATTTGCTTATTCTACGCTATTATAGCCTCTACGTCGCTTACAGACGCCTTTCTAGGAGTTAATCTTCTTTTGCTAGGGTTTCATGATCAGGAACTATAAGCAGGCCTTCTAAGTGAGGTAAGTCCTATATACTCTTCAAAGGCTATATATCCTGGCTTAGAAGAAAGGAAAATAGCACGAAAACCTATCTAGTCTCTATTATGGATACTCTGGATTTAGTAACTTCAAAATCTAGGGAGAACACTATAACTGCGATCTCCGCGCTAAGCTCTTTTTAAGTTATGAGTGCTATTAAGAAAGATAGGTAAGCCTTAATATATAGTTTATTTTATATTAATCTAACTATATAGACGAAGAACTGCTCTATTATCGTGTGTTATCTCGTCGACTATAGCTATATCTTACTATATTAGTGTTAGGGAGCTTTAAGTCCACGGAATACTGAAGCTAAAAGACCTTAACTAGATATAAGTGCCTATCACAGCCTTATATAAGTAGCTTGCGAAAAGTAGCGCCCTAACGCTATCTTCTTCTTATAGTTTAGCTATAGGGGAATCTACTAGTTCCTAAGATATATTATTAAACGCATTACTTACTGTCGACGAACCGCTTTCAAAAGAGAGAAAGAGCTTAAATAATATAGTTCTTCCTAATATTTTCCCTGTTACGGGTGCCAAATTATTCTAGGCTAAAGAGGTATATAAGTTCTTTATAACTGAAGTTTTGTATATAAGCGGCTTTGCGATATTAGTGTTTGCCTACTTTCTTTTCTGAATTACTGCTTTTTCTTTGCTATGGCTTTTTCTTTGCTATGGCTTTTTCTTTGCTATGGCTTTTTCTTTGCTATGGCTTTTTCTTTGCTATGGCTTTTTCTTTGCTATGGCTTTTTCTTTGCTATGGCTTTTTCTTTGCTATAGCTCTTTCTTTGCCACAGATCTTTCGTTCTCAGCGCCTAAAAAGTAGTATACTTAAGTAAGGGCTTCCCGTCAAATAGTCTTCTTCTTGATTTCTTCTTAATTTATTATTACTGAAAATATTCGATTAACTCTAAATAAAACTACACGTTAGTGACGCTAGTATACTATTTCTTGACACAAAGCCACGGACTATAAATTATCTGGATAATTCATAAAAGTAACCTAAAGTGATATTAAGTCTAATAGGACCGGGAGCTAGGTTACCGCTAACGCCACCTTTATCGAAATTTTCTCGAGTGTAGGTATTATTAACGGATAAGGTATTAGCAGTAATAGATAAATAAGCCAGAGTAAGTATATTATATATTTTTATTCCCTGTACACCTAAATCTGCGTTTTAAGCGACGATAGCAGAGATATCGAAACCAGAGTTACTAGAATTTATACGTGAGCCAAAATCGAACTCGCCCTAAGTGAAGGCGAAAGCACTATTTTTATTAACTTGGATATATATATTAGGCGAAGCTACCTAACCACCCTAAGAATCTTCGTTAAAGGTAATATATCGCGTAGAGCCGGCTTTAATAGCGAAGGATCTGTAAGCTTTGCTACACTATCCACTAAGCTTTCTATTAGGACTAACTTTATTCCAAAAAGCAATATTTTATCTATCTATTTTTAAAGCTATATCTGTCGACGATCACGGACGAACGGCTATTTAGTATACTATAGCGGGCGGATATCTTCGAAGCGTAAAATACTTAATTAAGTATCTCTATATAAAAATTATACTTAAAGATTTAAGGTATAACTACGTAGGATATTGCTAAAGGTCGTAGTTAATAGTATATTTTTAGCCTTCTACAGGCTAAAGTATAAGTTATTCTGCGGCGATAAATAGCTTACTTTAAGACAGAAAACTATCGTTTCTTCGTAGGATAATTTTGATTCTAGGCTAGGGATATCTATTTTCCTAAGAAGAGACTAAATCCTTTAATATATACTATCCGACGGTCTCCACTAATAGCTGACATTAAAGATTAATAGTTCTGAAGTCCGCTTTCACTTTAACCGAGATAGCTTGGGGTTAAAAATGTTAGTCGGGACAGTCACTTCCGTGCGGCGCTTTACCGGCGATACGCTATATATATCGTTATTAGCGGAGCTAGTTACTCTAGGAAAGAGTTTTTGTTCCTAGACTTAGCTATAGTTTGACTACTTTAATTAGTAATATATAACTATTATTGCGTTCTTAACTGATACGGAGGACTAAAAAAAAATACTTTTGCGAGGTCGGCTACCTAAGAAGTCTTAGTAACACTAGTTAAGTTAAATTATCGATTTACCCTCGTAGGTAGGATCTTTTAAATTTAGCCTAGTAATAAATATATTAAGCCTATAGAAACAAAATTATAATAAAAGAGCACGACGACGCTAACTTCACACTTCGCTCTAGTCCGATATTATTGGAATATAGACCAATGCTACATAGAAAGATCTATCCTTATATTCAACATATAAGACCAGATTGTATTGATCACGTGACCAGATGTTTCCTTCTATCAAAATGATATTTTGACCACTTCTGATTCTGGTCCGCGGCCCTCTCCCGAATGATAGGCAGGACCATTTTCCTTCAGAGGTAAATGGTCCGCCTTAGGCATGAATGGTCCGTTCCTTCGGAGGTGCCTTCGGGCATGTCTTGCCCGCGGACTTCGACCATGGTCTTCGAACCTCGGTGAACAGACTTCGACCCTCAGTCCCCTCAAGGATAGGCGGACCACTTTCCCTTAGGGATAAAATGGTCCACCTTTGAGTATGCATAACCAGATACTGCGGGGAAGCTTTCGGGGTGGCTGAAACCGTCGATCCTTGACATCATTCTTTTGGCTTTTCCTCGGTTCCCTTCTTTGCCACCTTTATTATGTTGCTGTCTAGTATTTGTATGACATTTTAGACATCATTTCTAGGCTATTCTAGCCTATAAATATGTCCTTCTTTTGTAGCAGAAAGAATCAAGTCAGTTTTACTTTCCTGAAGTTATTTTCCACTTTCCAAAAAGTCATCTCTACCTTCTTCATTTGATCCTCAGGACTGAGGTTCTGTCTTCGTTTAGGCTATATCTGCTTATAGTCTCCTCTACGACCTTTGACCTTCTTCCTTTGTCTGGCACCGACCTGGCCGGACTAAGGTTGATCCCACGGACTTAAGGGGCCACGATCTGCTTCGTGGTAGCTTTCCCCTTATGCTCCAACAGATATTAATTCGCGGTCTATCTTATAGCTAATCTCTATATCGTATCTTTCTCTAAAGTAAGAGTTTCCCTATACTAGCTCTTAATATAATATTATTGAAGACTATTTTAAGGATAGCTACGACAGAAACTTAAGAAATAAATAATATTTAGTATAAGGTTTAGTAAAGTTGTTGGGATATAAGGGGAAAGCTACCACGAAGCAGATCGTGGCCCCTTAAGTCCGTGGGATCAACCTTAGTCCGGCTGGATCAGTCGGTGCCAGACAAAGGTAGAAGGTCAAAGGTCGTAGGATAGACTATAAGCAGATATAGCCTAAACGAAGGCAGAACCACAGTCCTGAGGATCAAAGGAAGAAGGTAGAGATGACCTTGCAAAGTGGAAAATGACTTCAGGAAAGTAGAACTGACTTGATTCTATCTGCTAGAAAAGAAGGACGTATTTATAGGCTAGGACAGCCTAGAAATGACGTCTAGAATAACATACAAATGACGTACAAACACTAGGCAGCAACATAATGAAGGTGGCAAAGAAGGGAACCGAAGAGAAGCGAAAAGAATGATGTCAAGGATTGATGGTCTAAGCCACCCTGAAAGCACCCCGCAGGATCAGGCTATGCATGCCTGAAGGTGGACCATTTTACCCCTAAAGGAAAGTGGTGCGCCTATCCTTAAGGGGACCAAGGGTCAAAGTCTGTTCACCGAGGTCCGAAGACCATGGTCGAAGTCCGCGGGCAAGGCATGCCCGAAGGCACCCCCGAAGGAACGGACTATTCATGCCTAAAGGCGGACCATTTACCTCTGAAGGAAAATGGTCCCGCCTATCGTTTGGGGGAGGGCCGTGGACCAGAATCAGAAGTGGTCAAAACATCATTTTGATAGAAGAAAAATCTGGTCACGTGATCAATGCAATCTGGTCTTATATGTTGAATATAAGGATAGATCTTTCTATGTAGCATTGGTCTATATTCCAATATAAAGTGGTAATTTATCGCATTTACTATGTGTTTTGAAGATGGCGGGTTGCTTGTGGTGGCGGGTCGCTTGTGAGTTACGTTAGTTAATATCTCCGCTTTTCGTAGCATAACGTATTAATACAGTTAAGGCCCATAATAGGGAACCTAAGAATATTTACCTAATAGAGATAGTATTTAATATTCCTGGGATCGAGCCAGCCCCGGATATAGAGATTCGAAGGCAATAAAGGTATTTATATTAGAGTCTATCAGATAGATAGCGGGATAGAGCCTATATTATAAAGGAAAGAGTAGATAATAGGATATCTAATATCTTATATAAGTTAAAAGACTGGTTAATTAGCTAAAAGTTCGAAGACTAAGCCAAAAGTTACTATAGCACCGCGAAAATACGTTATTTCCTAGCTCCGCTCCCAGGAGCACGAGTAGGTAGCAGTGCGGTTATTGTCGGAGCATATAAAAGAACGGAGAGATAGAATAAGATCGAATAGGCCGGTCGGCCTAAGCATTAGGGTAAGCGATTAGGCTGCTCAGGGAGTAAATCAGGGTCGCTCAGGGAGCAGCTTAGGGTTGCTTAGTGAGCAGCTCAGGGCGGCGGGGTGACTAACTCACCCTTTGCTCCGGGAGCCGATCACTTCCCGAGGCGGCAGTTTTACCGTCACCTTTATTACTAAAATAGACTACCCCCCTATATCGCCTAACCTTAATCTATAGGAGAACCTATAGAATTAGCTTAAGGATTATATGTCTTCAAGATACGCATTATACGTATCGTATACATTCAATATAGGCTATTATAACCTTATACCTATAATCCAGGAAGGATAGGAGGCTCTGCCTACAGATATGCTAGAAGGCCTAGTAAATTCTATGCCACACCGTGTTCAGGAGGTAATTGATAGAGATGGAAAGGCGACGCCGTATTAAAACATCTGAATACAATGATTATTCATATATTACCGGCAGAATAATAGTGGAGAATGACATTTATTCCTTGGTCACCTGTATGCCAAAAGCAACTTCAAATTCCGGTTGGAGTACCTAATTTCAAGTCTCTAGACTGTTCAGATGCATTTATATCCGAGAGAATACATCGATTTGCGCTATGGCATAAATACACAAATGCCAGCTGAGGTATATGTTCATCCCATACTGGAAACCCTCGAAATCAGTACCATAGAACCAAATGGACCCTTCATTGATCGAAGGTGTACCGAAGCCACTCTCCCACAGCCCGCAAACTCTCCCATCGTACTGTCTCATCCTTGTCGGCCATCAGTTCCATCACTCGCGTCTTCAAGCCGATCCGCTCTAGTTGCATGCGGCGCTCGGGAAGTTCCTTCACGAGATGCCCCACGTCGTTACAAGCAATGGCTAGAACCTGCTTATCATTGTCCCAGCTCTTCGACAAGATTTCCGCAAGCTTCTTCGGCAACGCACCGTTGGACTCATCCAAGATCCGGCGAGCATTTTCCTTCCAGAAGGTAGGGTTCCTGTGAGGGGGCGACCAGCGCAAGTGGCCAGTCTGGACCTCCGCAGCATATTCGTCAAATGTGGTCTGGGTCTTGGTGTACTCTTCCAGCATGGAAGACAGAGCGTTCAAATCTTCAAGAAGGTCGGGGTCGGTCAGGTGGCGACCAGTCAGGTTGGTCAGGAGTGCAGGCAGGCGAACAAAAACAGCCACGGGAAGCAAGGTCGTACGGTTGCTCGAGCAAAGGTTGTAGAGGGTTGAAAGAAGCAGGCGAGTGGTCTTCTCTTTAGGCGAGAGACGGAGAAGTTGGGTGTAGAGTTGAATGATCTCATAGTTCCTGGGCAGGGGTTAGATGCGGAGCACGGTGCTGTCTAAAGGCATGTTACTTACTCTTGCAGCTCTTCACCCACAAGTGCACTCTCAAATGCAAGCTGCCAGATGACAAGTAGCACTCGGTAGAGCAGCTGGAGGCCAACCCCGCCGGCAAGTCCAGGCTCAATGCCACGTGTGCTGCTTCCAGAAGTGCCACCATTCTCCTTCACTCCAGCGGCAGCACGAAGAGTATCGATCAGGGGGTCCAATGTCTCCTTGCGGTGGTTCCAGAAGATCTCGCGCGAGCGAGTCTTTCTGAGGAGCTCTGAAAATCCCTGGACACCAATATCCTGAAGTCCACTATCGTGATTCTTGGTCAAGGTAGAGAGATAGGTATACAGCTGTGGGAGAGCTTCATCATCGCGAGGAGCGGGTTTAGAGGTGGAGACGAGACTGTGCGACACGAGTGCCGTGAGGAAGGTGGATGTGAGCAGCGGGATGGGATCTTCAGCGTTCGTGGAGTGGTGCAGGAACGGCAAGAAAGGCTTGTAAGGTTCAGGGTGCGAGATGAGGGAGTCGGCGAGCGATGGGACATCTGGTATCATATGTTAAGTACTGTGGGGCTCAGTGCACTGTATTGACAGCGAGACGTACCCTGAATCAAGTCCGATGCCAGCACCAAGATGTATTGCACAATATCGGTCCTCCGAGAGGCCGACTCCAAAACACTCTTGCCGTGGGAACCACCAGCGAGAAGGCTTGTGTACCCAGGTAGATCTGCTTCTATTGTTTGAATGCGCTGCTCCTTGCGCACCTTGTCCACAGCCTTGATCTTCTTGAGGTGGTCATCGGTGATGTTGCCCGCGCGGACAGCGCCCTCCCACGGAATTGGCCGAGCGCGGATATTATTCTGCAGCGAGCTGAGGTAGGTGGGCGGCTCCAACGACATTATGATCGGACTAGACCCCGGGCCAGAGAAACAAGATCCGTTGGAAGGTGGAAGGTCGAGAAGGGAGAAGCATGGAGCTTGGGGGATGACGGAAGCACCGCCAAGACTCGTGGTGGTCCCCAACCCAAGCCGTTTCATCTTGAGCCTCTTCTATTCTTCATCTCCCCTCTTCTCTTTTACGTACTGTATCCTACGGGTAATTCTCTCGCTGTGTGTTTCTCGTTCACACTCATTCAGGCACGATACTCTTGTGTGACGTCCATTTTGCAACGTGATCGTTGCACTGAAGTACAATCTAAGACGCTCAGTCCTTCGTTCCCGTCTTCTATTCTGTCACTCCTTCTCGATTGGAGTGCATTGAGCCTCCTCCGCCCAAACGCGCAATTTGCGAGTCGAACAAGATCCGAGCCTTGTCCGCGCGGCCCCCCACCGAATCCATGCACACTAGACATATGGCAATCGCTGCCTAGTCGTCGAGTCGCATTTTCGATCCAACGCATTGCTCATCATGGCGCAGAATTCGCAAACCCAAAAAGCAAAATGGGGCGTGGGTAACTTTTTTCAACAAGCGGTGGCCGGTGTCGAATCACGCCTAGACAACATTTTATTGGACGACGAGGAAAGAAAGAAAGCGGCGAACGCGAAGCCCGCCGAGGCGAAGAGTACTGAAGCACCTGTCACTAAATCTCCTGCTAGCTGTATGTGCCTTGCGTCAACACTTGCTTGCTTGAAAACGACTAATGTAATATCTAGCAATTTCTCGCAGTGCATCAACTGCGCGCCGGAATGACCGTCTTCAAGAACGTCTGGCGCGAGCCATGGTCAACAAGAGCACCTCAAATCGGACTTCAGAATCCTCGCCCGGTCAGGTCTCCTCTCCTGAGGCTAGCCCGCGACCGAGTAGTGATGCGCGTTCAAGTATGGATATAGATTCCAGTCTTGCAACTTCCACGGCCGTTACAGACGCCATTAAACCTCCGACATTGACAGAAGCAAACCCCGCAATGGAGGGCTCGGCGGCGAGAACAAGTGAAGACTTGTCGGTTTCTGCCAGGCCATCTGTCGACATCAGTATCACAGAATCAAATCCCAGGGCTTCTCGAGATGCGGGTGAGCGGGATCAGGAGCTGCAGAGCACTGATCACGATCCAGTCGAAGCAAATGAGGCACGCAGTGCTCGTACGTCGGTTGAAAGCCAACGGGCGAGCCTCGATGCGCCTCCGGAGATTCGTGCGGGCGACGACTTCGAGTCTCAGAGACAGGAAGAAATCCATGGATATATTGAACGGATTGATGCACTCCAGTCAAAGCTCAAATATCTTGCCAAAGAGGCAGCGGAATCAGCCAAGAATGCTGCGGCTACTGCTTCCCCAGGTAGTGCCAAGAAGCAACTGCTAGAAAAAGACGAAAAGATTGCGCTCCTTCTTGAAGAGGGCCAGAAGCTGTCGAAGTCAGAAATGGACCACCGCATCGCTCTCAAAAAGCTTCGACAGCAGCTCGCCGATAGTTCGAAGGCTCAACTTGAAATGAAGAAGAGAACAGAGAAGTTGGAAAGGGACCTACATAGCTCTGAGGCTCGAGCAAAGCGAGCCGAGGCCGCGGAGAAGCGAGCGAATGACTCCTTATCGTCCCAAAACAAGGTGGCCAAGGACCTTGAAGCCGTGACAAATGAACGCAACGCCCTCGCTCAGACAGTACAGGAAATGAAAGGTCAGCTGAGCCGGGCCGCCGCCCGTGCTGAAGCCGCTGAGTCCAAAGCTACGTCTGATGCATTAGAAAAGGAAAAAAGCAGAGCCAATGATCTGGAAGAAGAATTGTCTACTCTCAAGATTGAGCGTGACATCAGCCTAGAGAAGTCAAAGAAGGAGATCAACGAGTTGAAAGAGAAGATCGATCAAGAGAGAGAAAGGGCGCGCATGCTTGAGGTTGAATTGAAGAGTGAGCAGTCAGTTCTAGAAAGCAAGATGGAGAGCCTTCGGTCTCGCGCAGAAGAAGCTTCGTCCGGAACAACTGGAGAGACTCAGGCCAAACTTCTGCGCCAGATCGAGACCCTTCAGACTCAGTATTCCGTTGCCAGCGAGAACTGGCATGCTTTGGAGGGCTCTCTGCTTGCCCGCTTGGCCAATGTGGAGAAGGAACGAGATGATACGAGCCGCAGAGAGGCTGATTTGCGCAAGAAGATTCGAGAGCTGGTGAGACCACTGCAACAATGCCAACGTTCGTGGAACGGTCGACTAACAACATTCATCGTAGAACCTCAAAACCAAGAAACTCGAAGAAGATGTCGAGAATGCCAAAGAAGCCGAGCGGGAAATCGAGAGCAAACTCGAAGATCGTATGCAGGAGTTGCAGAAGATGCAGCAAAAATTCGAGAGAACAACCGAGGACCTCGCTGCGGCACAGAAGGACGCGATCGAGCAGAAGAAGGTCTCTGATGCGACATGGTCGCAGAAGCTCGAGGAAGAGCGGGCCAAATGGCGTGAGCAGCTCAGTAGCTTGCAACAACCACGAGCCGTGTCACCCGTTCCATCTACCCGCCGGTCGAGCAACCTAGAAGCTATTCCATCTGGTCTCTTGGATTATCGCCCGGGTAGCCGTCGCTCATCCACATACCCCTGCGGTTCGCCCGACATTGGCACTCCACCGCGCCAGAATTCGTACCCGCGTCTATCAACCCGGGAGCACTTTCTCCACCGCCGCTGAACACTGGGCCTCCATCAATGATATTGGAGACGCCTTCCATTACCTTCGAGCCGGATGAATTTGAGACTGCTACTCCCGTCACTCCGTCTGCATATGGAGGCACCCACGCTGCTGGTTCTCGCGGTATCAACGACATCATTTCCGAGTCGACTATCGGTGCAGGCCCGTCTGTGCAGCTGGTCGAGCGTATGAGCGCTACGGTTCGTCGATTGGAGAGCGAGCGTGCTGGATCTAAGGACGAACTTGCACGTGTCACCAGCCAGCGCGATGAGGCTAGGCAACAAGTTGTTGACCTCATGCGCGAGCTCGAGGAAAAGAAAACTTCCGATTCTCGTGTGCAGGAACTTGAAGCAAAACTTGCTGATATCGACCAGCGGTATCAAACAACCCTCGAAATGCTCGGTGAAAAGAGCGAGCAGGTTGAGGAGCTTCACGCAGATATCGCTGATCTCAAGAAGATATATCGCGAGCTGGTTGATAGCACGATGAAATGAAGAAGTAACTTGAAGTTGGTGCTTTGCTACTCTGGTTCTCATGGATCGGAAGTTCGCTTGGCTCGGAAGTTTAATCACGTTGATATGTATATAGATGATTCCATTGCACACATAAACTCATTGCACTGATTTTCCAAGGCTATTGCCGTTGGTCTTTGCTCTCGCAACTTTCTACTGCAGAGATATGAACGCTTCACGGGTTTTTTGACCGCCGGAGATAAGACCCAACTTCCCTTCTCGACAAATTTCTTTGCCCATCTTCTTCTTCACTTATCACACTGAGCGAACTGTCTGCAATCGTATTCATGGTTTTCCCAAATCCTGCGCGTATTACGTGCAGAATGTGTCGTGTCAAGGTACCATGCCAAGACAGTAATCCCACATCCAATGCTCAGAGCCTCTAGTGTGATTCCACTCGACCAATTTGCCATAGATGTCCAGAGGTCGATCGATGATAAATCTGGCAGACATGTCGGCGTGTAAATCGCCCTCAATACCGAGACCTTCTCTGCGAAGGACCAGCCGAGTCACTTCCCAGCACGTCCAGACCAGCATTTGCACAAGTCGATGGTCGTGGGCCGTAGCATTGCACTTCATTTTATTCCTTACTATTCCACTGGTAGCATGCATCTTCCACGACTGAGATTTGAATTTAATATCATGGTTTGTTTATTGACGCGATATTGAACACTACATGCCTTGCTATTAGAAGACTGGCAATTCAGATTCCACTCTTCAGACAGCCTTGACATTCTTTCCCGCTTGCTTCTTCTGGCAAGACGAAGCAGTCTGAGAATGCCTTGAAAGGTGTGGAAAGGCTTCGTATAGGCAGTATTGAGAAGATGCGGAGGAAGTTTGAAACTTTACTTGGTAAGACCATTGATTTTGTATTTTGTCGATGGCCATTGATGATGTATGAGCTACGTCTGCAAGACATCTGAGAAATTTGTAGATCATTGACGAGGAAGATTGAAGCAATGAAATGCGGTCATTGGGATTGCCACGCCTCATTCATGGCATTGTCGATGTAGGCTAAATCAACCTAAAATTCCAAGTCCAGGACTCCCTACCACAACTGAACTCGATTGCTTGCACTGCCGATCCTCGGTCCCATTTTGGTGCTCATACCAAAAGAGGCCGCCATCGCCGAGTCTAGTACAGCCTTGGACCTGCGAAAAGCGACTACTGGGGAAATTGAGATCAGAGGGGGTGGCGGATTTATATTATGTTAATATACCATAATTGAATGATCTCTTGCTAGCCCTTGGTTAGCCAGACGTTAGTTCGAATAACCATTAGTAAGAGAAATCTTCTCGCAGAGCCTGAGGCAGCAAAAAGAAAATCTCGGTAGCCGCTAGCGCACACCGCCCTGCTGCTGCAGATATAAAAAAGCCAAATCCCCCGATCCTCTTTCTCTTTCTTAAGCGACTCTACGTTAGTACCTCCTCCCCTACACGTTTTGAATCATTCTTGCTAACAACAGCCACAGTTCAAAGAATCACTTTAGAGTAGACGTCCCACCATTAAGCTCTTTAAAAGAGCCACAGAATCTCCACCCTTGCTGATGACTGCTATGTCCTCGATGCCCTAAAGTGAAGCCATTTGGACTCCCGCCTCGACTGGCACGCGTGCTGCTTGCAGCGTCTGCGTGTTCGGTCCAGGGAGTGGTGATGATCTTAACCTGGTCTCGGCGTCTGACTTCGGTCGGCTGGTCCTGGTGGGTGTCGAGGAGGTCTGAAAGGTCCTGATTTCTCTATTTCTTCTCTATAATGTCGGGGATAGACTTAGCGGAATGACGGTCAGGATATAGCCTGTGTTGGTCTTTATCGCTGTGCACTTGCAATGACAATAAAATTTTCCTTCGTATCTTGAATATTTTTTTCTCGTATGTCCGGCAAATTTCTCACCGCTTCTAAATACGTCGATCGAATAAATCACAGACTTCCTCGAGTTGTTATTCATTGTGTATTCAATTCACTGTAGTGCGTTGAACACGAAGCTAAGAGATACGTACAGCTGCTGTAATGTTCTCTGTCTATTTGAGGGCCCTGGTCTTTCATGATCCGGTTGAGTCGATTGATTTATGTGCTTTGTTTGATCTAGCAGTACCTTGATGATCGGTTGAAATGGATATATTCCAGGTTCGAAGCCTGTCATGGTGTCTTGAAGAGTCTTGGAGCGCTACGCAGGTGCGACCGTGCATTCCAAGAATTCATTGAAAACATGCCTGAGGTCTATACATATATCAGCCGCCATCTCTCTCTGTCTCCTGCTCTCTAGCGACTTCAATTCATTCCAAGCTTCTATGATCTCGGACCCTGGTCTTAGTCAACCTATCTGCACAGGTCGAACATCGGTGACATTTGGTCCTTGCAGACACGATCAGGGCCTCAGGGGCGCAGATCAACAGGGAACCACGGCTACAATCGATACTTTGAAGGAGATAAAACAGCGGAGACTCTTTTTCCGGATATAAAACTTGGCATCAGCCTCGCGCGGAACCCTGGGAAGGGCACATTTCGGCATTAGCACGCAAGTGTGGAACATAACAAATTCCAAATCTCAGATAGCGATGCCGGCGGAGCGGAATTATTGCAGGGCAGGGGCCAGGAGGAGGGAGTTGAATAGTGCAATTGGCTATTATCCAGGAACAATGGAGTTCACCTGACTCCGCTAGACTCCACTAGATCGAGTCTCAGCTGTGTTTTGTCCACAATTGAACTTTTTGTTTATCGGGTCTTAGATACCGAACAGCCCTATGGCTTGACAGAGTCTTTGCTGCCAATTACCACTGTCCTATGCCGTGAGCCACAAAATTGTAAGAGATGAAATAGTTGTAGAGAACTCTAGTATGATCCTCTGGGACTCCCTGACGATGCAGGTGGCTGCTGAAGCAGAGCGGTATTGACTTTGGAATGGAGGTTTGATCCAACCTACGGGCGCAGATCCCGATCGATCTCGGGGTTGTTTTGCCAGCGAGTTCACTAGGGGCCATGTTCCATCTTTTGAGAGCTAGTGGCAAGAATAGTCGAACATGTTCAATCCCATGTGGCATGGATCGGAGCACGTTCTGGTGGCGGCTGCTGGCGGTTCCTGGCGCATTGCGCTCGTAGCCTTGGGGGACGCCATGTGTTACGGAGCGAACTAAACCGGAACGTGTGACACCATCCGGGTACCATAGGTAGAACCCCTACTTAGATCCGTCTCACTAGATGCCTCTATGAAACAAAACACCTTGCGTAGTCCAGTTTTATATATACCACTCTCGTCGGGAAATCCAAGGTCAAACCGTAGGGTATTACTCAAAGCGGACTAATCGAGGATTGTAAACCATAGGATCCAACAGATAGAAAAAGAAGTGAAAAAAAGGGGCAGTCCCGCTCTGACCCACTTGGCGCAGGTACACTTGACCTGCATGGGATTAGCCCTGCATCTCACGAACCGCTTTCTTCCACGTACGGTAGGGCCGCGCGACTGGAAGCGAGATGTCTGCATGTCGCCAGCTCCGAGTCCCATGGCAATAGGAACGCCATGGGTCCATTTGAGGTCACTATGGGCGGTCATCGCGTGCCTGTAGGACTATTTACGCCAGGACAGTCCGGAAATAGCCTGGCGGATCCAGGCCACATTGGGTATAGGGTCGCGAAAAAGTAGCGCAACCCCTGAACCGCCCCTGTCAAAGTTCTCCGTAGAACACATGCCTGATGTGGGGTCCGATCGCCGTCTCTTTCCGGAACCCTCAGGTCAATGGAGAGAGAGAGAGAGTACGAGCGGGACATTCTGTACCTACCGGGACTTGGGACTTTGAACTTCTAACATCCTAACTCTCACCTTTCAACTGTCCACTGCCACCTTGAGAATCAACGAATTCCGCACCATTTGCCTCATCTGACACTGACCTTGGTATTTGCGTTCGCCGATCTTCGGTTGCATTACGACACCTCGTCTTATGGGCTGTGAGCCCCCCCTACATTCTTACCCCTCAACCAGCCGTCTACCTATTCTTTCTCTACATCGCGTGACGACTCCGATGCTAGAGCAACGACGCAATGAGCGTTGTTGCCAGTAGACCAGCGAGCCCTGCTGTGCCTTACACTATACCTGAATCCAATTGCAAAGAATACGCCGTGACTGCTCAACCAGCATCGCGCTCATCCTCCGTCTCCTCGTATCGAACGAACTATAGCGCGTCCACCGCACCCACCGCGTACTCACCTTCCTCCCCGACCTTGTCATATCGCCAATTTGATTCTTTCGGCTCCATTGACAAACCTATCGACGTTGAACCTATCCAGCGCCGACTGCCGCAGGAGGTCTACGATGTCATCCTGAGCAGCTTAGAAACGTTGCACAAGGCACCGCACCAGACAGGTTGCACGACATGTTTCCAACGAGACCTTCACGCCTGGTCCTTGACGTGCCGGTCCTGGGAAAAGGCTGTCCGAGCCCGACTGTAAGTCGAGAATCACCACCGTTCTAAGCGCTATTTACTCATGCGATATCTTGCCAGTTACACCCAAATTCACATCGTCGGAACGGATTCCCCGGCTCAATTAAAGAAGTATCGTCTCAAGAGAGGCAGTCGATTGAAACTGTTGCGCCGTACTTTGCGTGAACGGAAGTTGCTAGCCAACCTCGTCCGCGAACTCAGGGTTCCACAAATGGACTTGCTCTTCACAACTACAAAGCACAGCGCGCAATGGGATGAATATCGAGATTTGATCGCGTCCGTGGTCATGGTCTGCCCTAACCTGGAGCGCCTGTTGGGTCTGTCTATTCCTTATCACCACGAGTTCGATCGTCTCACCTACGCTCTTTCGACGCGCAAGCGCTTGAAGGAACATACTTGGGTCCTGGGCGAAGCCGCCGAAGTAGCAGAGGTATCTCCCCGCAGCACTTCCTGCCCTGGAAGCCTGGGGCCCTCCCAGATGTTCGAATTTCTGAACTATCATGTCTCTTGGACAAACCTGGAAACCCTGATGCTGTATGGCTTGAACGGAAATGGAGCTCTGGAACCGAGTGTCTTCCTACGCATGTTTGATCTCTTGCCCTCACTAAAACATTTGTGTATCACTTCCTTTAATGAGGACGCGTTTGCGGATAGCACCTTATTGTGTCTGCCGTCGCTAGAGTCATTGAGATTGGAAAATTTGCCCGGCGTCACCGAAAGAGGTCTCACACAGTACACCTCGCGACCCGAGTCCCGATCGCTCAAATCACTTGTCCTGGTCGAGCAGAACATTGAGTCTTTGCTGGTCATTTCCAAGATACTTTCCTCTTTAAGACAGCTTGAGCGTTTCAAATTCGTGCAGGCAGAAAAGTGCCCGATCATGCCGGATGAGGACATGATCCTGCAACCGATCCTGGCGTCATCAAGCCTCAAGTTCCTTCACTGGGATGTGGCCTGTCCCGACTCCGGCACAGCGCTCACCCAGCTCAGCAGTCTTCCGTTCCAGAAACCTCCTAAATACACTGATACCCCCAACTCTCATCTCGCGCAAAGCATCCTGGCTGCTGGGTTCCCTGTCCTTGAAACACTCCGCGCCCCCAACGACGTGGAGCCTCCGGGTGCTCTGCAAGCAATTTGTCGACCTATCCTGAACGGCCAGGCTTTGCTCAGGCCAGATAGGTATAGTCTACCCTCGCAGCTCACACGGGTCTGTCAGCACTCGGCCGCTCGCCCTGCCCGCAGGGAACAACCTGACTTCATCTCGGATTCGCGCCCAGACCTTCATCGACATGGCTATCAAGGACACGGAGCATGGTATGCCCGTTCTGATTCAGGATTGGTCCGACAATTATGTTCCTGACCACGCCCCCGCTTACGAAGAAGACGATCCCGAGCCCGAGGTTGACGACTATGGAATTTGGGCTGCATCTGAGCGGTATAAGAACCACCCACCCAAGCACGACGGTCCCAAGACTGTCCACGAATTCCGAATGCCTGCTTTCATGGGCCGTTCTGGTGTCAAAGACCCCGTCACTGGAGCATCGATTCCTCGCTTCCTCCTGCGCCCCGATATTTCCGGGCAAGAATCAGATGGTGGCTTGATTGGCTGGAAGCACCTCCTTGCGTCCAATCAGTCATTGTCATATGCGGCTGGAATGGGCGTGCATTGCTTCGATAGCAAATCTATGCCCAACATACCGCCCCCTCCCCCTCTCGAGGATCAGATCGCGTCACCGACTTCTACCACTTCTCGATTTGGATGGGGCAGCCTGGGCAGTCGGTCCACAAGCACTCCGGCTACCCCAACAACCCCAATCACACCCATGAGCAACGGCTCAAGCTACGCGTTGCCCTGGGATAAAGATACCTGCACCGGGTCCTGGAACCACAAGATGGGTCGGGACTGGTGGTTCCATATGGAACGGGATCGCCCAGGAAATACAGAGCTCATTCACGCGATGCAGCTCTTCTAAACTCTCATTTTACTCTACTCTCGTCTCTATTCTCACGCCATATACCCCTCACTTGGATTCTTTCCACGATGCTTTGTTTTTATGTTTCTTCTCTTTTTGCAATACATCCCATGCGGCGGGTCTCGACGGCCGGCGTCTGGTTCTAATGAGCACGACAGGCTCTCTGCAAATTCATGCATTCTGTTTGTCTTCTTTTTTTTCTCAAGTTTTTCTTGTACCTATATGACACCCCTTTGAACAGGGCTACTTTTCATTGCGTCCCTCATATCTTGGATGGTACGTCTGGCGCACTAGTATATAGATGATTTGTGTCTATTTTGTGTTTGTGTGTCCGTTGACGATCTGTACAAAAATTGTATCACCACTGTACATCACTTTGAAACCTTGCACCGAGAATGTATCGTTCCTACTTGATCGAGAATCACTACACATGAAAAGTCCTATCACACCGTATCAAAAGCTTCTTATACTTCATTAATCCTTTGTTGATATGACTCATCCGGGGTTTCATCGGCCCGATAAGCGAAATGGGAACTGATAAGCATCGCTGCCCCTCAGAAAATATCTCTCCACCCCCACCATTGCCTTTCGAGCTTCAGATCGATCAATTATGGATCCGGCAAAGCCCACCGAGCTACCTGAGCGGCCCAAAGTGGCTGCCTCGGCTGAAGGCGCCCCCGCCGAAGCAGGTCCGTCTAAGAAGGCCTTGAAGAAACTCCAGAAGGAGAAGGAGAAGGCCGAGAAGAGGGCCGCCGAGGGCCCCAAGCCCAAAGCTCCGAAAGCCCCCAAGGCTCCTAAAGCTGCCAATGAGGCTCCTGCGCCCCGCGACCCCGATGCCATGTTCAAGGTCGGCTTCCTGAACGACGTCTACCAGGAGAGACCCATTTCCGAAACCCATCCCAAAATCCGCACCCGTTTCCCGCCCGAGCCCAATGGGTTCCTCCACATCGGACACAGCAAGGCCATTGCTGTAAACTTCGGCTTCGCTCGTTACCACGGAGGGGAGTGCATTCTGCGCTTTGACGACACCAACCCCGCCGGCGAGGAAGAGCGATACTACAATGCTATCCGCGACATTGTGTCCTGGCTCGGCTTTAAGCCCGTGCGCGAAACACACGCCAGTGACAACTTTGACCGTCTCTACGAGCTCTCTGAGGAGCTTATTCGCCGCGACGGCGCTTACGTCTGCCACTGCACTAAGGCCGAGGTTAGGGCTCAGCGAGGTGAGGGTGAGGGTGGCCAGCGAGGCGGTCAGCGTTTTGCTTGCCCCCATCGCACACGACCCATTGAGGAATCTCTTGAGGAGTTCCGCGCTATGCGCGATGGCAAATATAAGGCCGGAGAGGCTGCTCTGCGCATGAAACAGGATTTGGAAGACCCTAACCCGCAGATGTGGGATTTGTTCGCGTGGCGCATTCCCGAAGGCGAGAAGGAGCACCACCGTACCGGTTCGAAGTACAAGATGTACCCTACCTACGATATGGCCCACGGCGTTTGCGATAGTATCGAGGAAATTACTCACTCGTTGTGCACAACCGAGTTCGAGCTCTCGCGTGTTTCTTACGAATGGCTTAACAATAAGCTCGATATCTACCGTCCCATGCAGCGTGAATACGGTCGTCTCAATATCACCGGAACTGTCCTGTCCAAGCGCAAGATTATCCAGCTAGTGAAGGAGGGTCACGTTCGTGACTGGGATGATCCTCGCCTGTATACTCTCATCGCCTTGCGTCGCCGTGGTGTCCCCCCTGGTGCTATTCTCTCCTTCGTTAACGAGCTCGGAGTCACCAAAGCCGTCACCAACGTGCAGATGGTTAGATTCGACCAGAGCGTCCGCCAGTACCTGGAAACCACCGTTCCCCGTCTGATGGTCGTTCTTGAGCCTCTCAAGGTCATCATCGACGACCTTGCCGACGACCACCTCGAGATGTGCGAGGTTCCCTTCTCCAAGGACCCCGCATTCGGCACTCACACCGTTCCCTTCACCAAGACCGTGTACATCGAGCGCTCCGACTTCCGTGAAGTTGACTCCGCCGACTACTTCCGCCTCGCCCCAGGCAAAACCGTCGGTCTCCTCAAGGCCCCCTATCCCATCACCGCCACCTCCTTCGAAAAAGACTCCAACGGCGTCGTCACCGTCGTGCACGCCAAATACGAAAAGCCTGCCGAGGGCGAGCCCGCCATTCGTCCCAAGACCTTCATCCACTGGGTCGCTGAGTCCCCCGCCCATAACAGCCCTATTAAGGCAGAGGTCCGCGCTTTCAACCCACTCTTCAAGTCCGAGGATCCCTCGGCTCACCCGGGCGGTTTCCTTGCCGATATCGATCCCGATTCCGAGCAGATCTACCACGGCGCTATGATTGAGACTGGCTTTGAGGATATCAGCAAGTCTGCGCCTTGGCCCAAGGATGCGGCTGAGAGTGATGTTAAGAATAACAAGCATTCCATCCGGTTCCAGGGTATGCGGACTGCTTACTATGCTGTTGATCGTGAGTCTTCAGATGACTTGTCCAAGGTCATCCTCAACCGTATTGTTACTCTGAAGGATACCCAGGGTAAGAATTAGATGGTGTTTGTTGGGGTTTGGTGGTTAGGTAGGCGATGTTAGGGGGTGTTTACATGGATTCATGACCATTGCATTTTATTCGTTTTAGCTAGGGTTCGGAAAATCGAGACTACATATATATCACGTTCTACCAGGTCATTTCTGGAGAACTTATTGATTACTTTTATCGTTTCTATTTCTTCAGGGCAGTTTGTAAGCCTCGATAGTACAGGCTGTAGTGTGAATGATAAATACCTATGGACCTACTTCCCATCATGATCTTCTTCTATGGTGAACATTGCATCTGCCATGTGCAACTACTTGCTCTCAGGCCACCAATCAAGCTGTCTTCGTGCGCTAATGTCAGAGAATCTTTATAGAATCTTTATAGAATCTTTTGGGCCTAAGAATCCGAGAATACAGAGAAAGTCTTGACATCACCAGTCTAAGATCATCATGTCATTTGGTTTAGAGGCAACCGCCCACCTGCATAGCGAATTACCGGCTATCCAAGCCGCAGAAACGTACATACATGACCGAGACCAGAATAAAGGAACATGATACGAAACGAGCATAGAGAAAGGAGAAACAAACAGGCCCCATGCCCAGAGACATCTAGACATAGATGCCCATGTTGGTATCCTTCTTCTTGGCCTGGACCTCGGCGATAGCATCGACGTAGTTCTCATGGCCAACCTTGCTCATTCCCTTCCGCAGGGCAATCATACCAGCCTCAACACAGACAGCCTTCAACTGCGCACCGCCGAACTCGTCCGTTGACCGGGCCAATTCAGCCCAGTTGACACTGTCCTCCACGGACATCTTGCGCGAGTGGATCTGCAAGATGTTGGCACGGGCTTCCTCGTTAGGCAGAGGGAACTCGATCTTGCGGTCCAGACGACCGGAGCGCAGCAAAGCAGGGTCAAGAACATCGACACGGTTAGTCGCGGCGAGGACCTTGATACGGTCGTCGGACGCGAAACCATCCAACTGGTTCAGGAGCTCCAGCATTGTTCGCTGCACTTCACGGTCACCGGACTTCTCGGAGTCGAATCGCTTTGTGCCGACGGCGTCAAGCTCGTCGATAAAGATGATTGAGGGAGCCTTCTCCTTTGCCAAGGCGAAGCAGTCGCGCACAAGCTTGGCTCCGTCACCAATGAACATTTGTACCAGTTGAGGACCAGCGAGCTTGAGGAAAGTTGCGTTTGTCTCGGCGGCGCAGGCTCGGGCGAGGAGTGTTTTACCGGTTCCTGGAGGTCCGTACATCAGGGCACCTGTAAAATGCAAGTAATTTCGTTAGTTTGCGAGGAATATAACACAATGTGATAAAGATGGGCTGACATACCCTTCGGTGCCTTAATGCCAATCTTCTTGAACCGCTCGGCCTCCTTCATGGGCCAAACGATAGCCTCAACGATCTCCTCGATCTGCTTGTCCAGACCACCAATATCCGTGTACTTCTCTGTCGGCTTCTCGTCGACCTCCATCGCCTTGACGCGGTTGTCATATTCGGCCGGTAGTGTATCCAGGATGAGATATGAGTCCTTATTCACACCGATCAAGTCACCAGGCTTCAGCAGCTCGTGGTCAACCAGGCCAATCAGCGGAAGGAAGATAGTTTGACGGGTGGAGGTCTTGATGACGGCGGATTTGCCTACACGAGTGGCGTCCAGGTCGATGTTAGCCCCTTCCTCTGCGGCTTCGGCCTCCACGTCGAGGTCCAGAAGCTCGACGACGTTTCCAACAAGATATGGTAGTTGCCTAGTAGGGAGCGAATTGATGTTAGCATCGATAGACTGCGATGTTGATTTGGCTCGGGCTTTTCAAAGCTCCGCGGAGCCCTCTGTGGAGGTCGCGATGAGAACCCGCCCGAGCCATCATAGGAATCGTACCTGTTGTTCTCGATTTTTTCTTGGTTGTCCTTGACTTTTTCCCTCATCGTATTTTGCTCATGTGTCAACCGCTGGAACTCGCTCTTCATGATCCGCATCTCGTTCTCCAGCATCCTTCGTCGCTTGACGATGTCTGCTGTGCTAGAGTGCAGGATTTCCTCATCCAAAAGCTCTTCCTCATCATCTTTCTTCTCGGCGTCTTCCATTTCGGCGTCATCGTCGCCGCCGGGCTTCTTGCCGTCATCACCCTGGTCCTGCTTCTTGTCTCTGGTCTCACGCTCCAGGTCGTCGAGGTCCTCGAGGGTGGACATGATGGGCGGTAATTCAAAAAGGTAGTGACTATTGGATAGAATCAGAAATGTCCTAGTGAGAACCGGATGGACGCTTTGGAGAGGGTTGGTGAGAGTGAGAGGGCTCGCAGAAGGTTGCAGAAGAGCTGTCGGTGGCCGAGCTCCATCAACGTCAGCCATCACGTGATGATATCAACAGTGTATTCTACATCTTTGCTAATCTGCTTCCAAGGTACAGCACTCAAGCTAAGCACTTATTGGAAATTGTGTCCAACGGGACTTTGCTAGTCTTGACTTAATAGATGGAGTATGGGTTGTCTTCCGTCCTCGATGCCCACGTGTTTCCAAGATTATTCAACACCTTCTCTCGCCCGTACTTGAGAAGGCGGAATCGCGAGACAAAGTCGTCATTATTGACTTTTCGATATCGTCAGTAAGACCTTTGGTGTTTCATCAACAGAGATGACGAGGCATCGTTGGATACGTACCGTAGCCACCACACATCCTTCTCTTCCCGGTAAATTCAGAGCGACCATGCAACATTCGCCAATTATCAAAGACTGGAAGGTTAGTCAATTTGCTTATGTAGAAGTGTCTGATCGACTCAAACTCACTCAGTGCAGTGCCAGGTTCGAGTTGCCTCCATATTTGGCGGTTCTTCTGATGCAGGATCTTATTGTAACGTGCAGCCGCCTTGTACCACGATTTCTGCTGATTGATATTCCAGTCGCCTTTCGGTGCCCGATCATAATTGTTCCAGCGAATTTGATAGACAGTATTCATATCCGGGTGAACTGAAAGCACTGGGGCGCGAGAAGAAGGCTGGATACAGACATCTTCGTTCCCACTCGCATGCCAGGGGTGCCGGTAACGTATCAAGACCTGGTAAGAACGAGGGTCTTTTTCACGAAGTTCCCGAGCAGCTGCGTATCCATCAACCAGTAGGCTGGCTCCGCCATCTCCATCTGTGTGAGACAAAAGATGAAACAGCTGAAGTCTTGCGGGGTCCGTGAAATATGTGTTGTCAGTATGAGCGCCCAAGAACTCGTTAGTATATGCGGTGTCCTTGAAAGTAAGATCGGCAGTGAAATCCCAAAATCCACCTATATTTCTTGTTTAATTGATGCAAAGCAGAAGTCTCCGATAATTTGCAACATACCGTAGTGTGTGTGACGGATAAACGCGATCCTTTCAATTAAAGTCTTGGTTGACTCGGGGTCGACGGGCACCCCCTTGACAAAGCAGAATCCCCATTTCCACTGGATTTCATCAGTAAGTTGACATTAAAAAGTTTCTGGTGTGAGTCTCAGGTGGTGACTAACTATCTTCTTTAGCCACTCCAGCACAGATGCATCGTTCGACATTACATCTTTGTAGTTTACCTCGGGGTAGCCTTTGTTCTTGTTGTCTTCACCGAGCGAGAAGAGGAGTGATATCTGCAATTCAAAGTTGAGAAACAAAGTGTCAAGTCATTTTCACGACATTTTGTAATTACCTGACATTTGGCAATCCTTCAAACGCTGGTATTTTCAAAGGAGGATGCGTGTTTTGCTGGTGCGCGACAAGCCAGTCCCATGAATAGGTGCTTTCATGATCATCGGACCCTTACATTTGCATTAGTCCCAATACCCCTCTGGCGGCACGATCGGCTTGACTACTCACATTTAATTATCATGTCCTTTTCGTTGGCTTCAGCTGCTTGAACCTTGACGTTCGAGGGGATCTAGAAACGTGTAAGCCCCGAAGCTGGTATGTTTTCCCAGGCATCATACCTTGAACGTGTCGACGATCCTTTGCTTCGTATCCGGATGGACACATGTGGAGCATTGGCAATTCTCTCTAGTTGATTTCACTTCGTCAATCAGAGTCCCCTCTAGATATCGTTCCTGGAGACTCACCTCAGGAAAAACGGCCCACTGTAAAACCATGTCAGTATCAATTAAATTCAGACAAGACTTTGACCTATTCGAGAGACTGACAACTGTAAATAGGGCCGTGCATTGCGCCCCAATTTACCTTCGGATTTGATCACCACGTGTCCCTGTGACCGAGCCTTGTCGGCGTTGCGCTGGTCCTTCGCATCTGTGAATTTATTGATAGGTAGGTTCTCCATCGGATCTCTTGTTTTTGCTTTATGAGATATCGCGCGGACACCAACAGGACCCCGCGAGCCGAAGGCTCCCCAAGTGGGGTAAGGAACCACGCCTCGAGGGCGGATAGTCTTGCGGTAACGAAGTCAGATCATACGGTATAACTTTTTATATAAATGAAGTCTTCAGTTGATCAACCGCATGTAGGACGTACCAATTGGCTGCAGTGCGATGCATAGTATCGTGCAATGTGGGAGCTGGTTTGCAGATTAGCCTCGGCTTCGCGATTACGGGTCAATTGAGCATCATACCTGGCATTGCTCTTGAGAGCAGCCCCCCGAAGCACCACGAAGCTACGCACACTCATTGATAGGATCTTGGAAGCTAAACTTGCGTTTCTGGTACTTGAACGTTGGAAGGCGGAATGGACATGTGAATCCGGGGAGAGGCCTGAGCGGACGCCGAGTGTCACGTGGGGCGTGACATTGCTTCTACATGTTTGTTTCAAGCATTTGATCGGATATTTTGAATTATGACGAGGCCTTTGAATCGATCGGAATAACCACAACAGAAGCGCTCCGTTTAGATGCTTCAAATGAGTTGATTCTTGGGCATATCCCGCAATAAGTTTTACACTCGCCACCCACCCGGGCAGAGATCCATTTCCAAATTCGTTTGTTAAATTTGAGAATGACTAGAGCTTGCTCTTAATCCCGACCACCTTCAACAAAGCGCGACCGTTGCTTAAAACAACCTTGCCATTTTGATTTTTAGTGGTAAAGCGGACCTCCTCAAACCCGTCGGCCTGAGCATTGCCCATCCGCCAAATCTCAGTGGTGAGCTTGTCCCCTGGGCGCACTGGAGAAGCAAAGCGAGCCTGGAACTCCTTCATATTTGCGGGGTCGCTACCACCGAGCTCACGCAAGATACCGTGGGCAGCGGAATTCCAACTGAAGAGGCCGTGAATGATCGTGCCGCCGAAGCCCATCTTCTGGCCGGGCTCAGGGGTAGCATGCAGGGGGTTGTAGTCGCCGTTCAGGCTAGGTATCAACAGTCAGTATAACCCCTTCACGAAATCAGATGGGCTTAAACATACCGGTACAAATGGGCAGTCTCCATGGTTGTCTGGATAACGTGAATGGCATCAGGTTTCTTGCCCCCGGGAGGCGGGAAGTTAACTGTGGAAGGTCCTTCAATAGCGTGTCAGTTTACCTGCAAAAGTACCGTGCTGATGAGCTCACCCTTGGGACCACCCCAGTTACCCTGGCCAACTAAGAAACCGCTGGATAAGACCTGAGAGTACACCTCGCCGCTCTCCTTATCGACAATAGACTGCTCAGTCTCGATGACCGTACCAGGTTTGCCCTTGTCATAGACACCAACGACCTTGTTGCGTAGCTCGAACTTGCGACCCGCACTGGTCGGGGGCAGCGGCTTCAGGACGGTAATTTTGCGCTGGCCGTCAACGCCGAAGCGGTGATCCAAGTCGGGAACACCAGGGATGTGAACAGCCTTCTGGCGCGCATAGAAGTTGGTCACCTCCTGATCGGTGAGCTTGAAGGCTAGTCAATTGAGTGCATGTTAGTGATTATTTACAATTAGAGTCCCTTGACGCGTGACGCACGAAGAATCAGGGGGTAGGTGGGGAAAACTGCGAAGTTCGGGTGCAGCTCCTGGGAAATCTCGTTAGACCGACATTGCTATTCCGTTGGGTACCGAAGCTTACGTAGAGGAAGTGCAGCTCGTCGGCCTTGACACCGATGCTGTTGGCGAACAATAGAACGTCGCGCTTCTGCCAAGAGACCTCCTGGGCGGGGAACTCGTGGCCAGCTCCGGGAGAAGACATATTGAAGGTAAATATGCAAATATAACAGTGAATTGCAAAATGTTATGCAAAGACAGAACAGCAAACGAGGGAAGTGAAGCGGAGAAGAGGCCAAAGTAGCAGTGAACGATTGCGGGGCGGCCCTGAGCCGAGGATCTGATAAAGATTTGTTACTGTCTTAGCCGACGACGCTTGGCAGTCCCTCATTTTCCGTACCCTGTTACACCGAGTGCGAAGCTAATATTGGATTGGATTGTAACCAAGTGTGTAGACATAAGAAGCGTCGGAGTTGCTAGACTAAGCATCGACTCGGGGTATATCTATTTGGAAATCGAGGAGCTTCATAAACATCTCTCCGTATCGCGCCGTATAGTAATGCCTTTTCCCTGCCACCCAAAAACAACAAATGTTAACGCCGAGAGATATCGAGCCCGGATAGATGTTCAATGTCCCTGTGCAAATCCATTTTGGCCCGCGCTATGCTGCATTGCACTTGGTACGAGCCATTTTCCCGGAAAAAAAGACGCGCAGCATTGGAAAGTCATATCACGAAGAACAAGTCGTAAATCCCATTAACGAGATCAGCACATGCGGTAAGAGCAGCTGCCCTCAGCGAAGCGGGTGGGGTCGTTGGTCTCGAACTTGTAGGAAAGATCGATGTCCAAGTCACGCTTGTTCTTGTCATTGGGACGGTTTTCGAGCCAGCCGGCGACCTTCTCCCCTCCTCGATGGTAAGAACATCACGCAGGTAGAAAACGGTCTGCTTCCAGTGGGTGTACTTGGCGTGAGGGCCAGTGGAGAAGGTAATGGGCTTGTGGCAGGCGCTGAACTCAATATCGAACCAGGCAATCATGGCGTGGATAAAGTCGCTGCGACGAGCGGTAAGCTCGTAGGGAACCTTGAAGGCAAGGTCGGCGACAGTGACAGTGTTCAGATCGAAAGTAATGATCGGGCAGGGGTCAGTGACGAGAGCCTTCATCTCGACAGTGTCGACCAGAGGTTCAGTGAGAGCAATCTCCTTCATGGGAGAATAGTCAAAGCCGTAAACGTTGTCCCAGACTATGCATTGATTAGCACCAAATGAGAGAACAAGGTACTCCAGGCATATGCTTACATCCAATCTTGTCATCCTTGTAATCGCCGTCCTCGATGGCAGCGACGTACATGGTGGCCTTGTCGGGGAAGATCAAACCACCAGGGTTGAGGTAGGTGTCGCGGGCGTAGAGAACGGTATCCAGCATGGATTCGTAGAGAAGGAAGTAACCCATCCACTCAGAGATGATGATATCAACCTTGGGGAGGGGAGATGAACCTCCTCCATCTTACCCTGAAGGAGGGTAATCTTGTCGGACAAGCCGTTGGTTGCGACGATCTCCTTGGCCTTCTCGATGATGGAGGACATGTCAACACCGATAACGTGCTTGGCACCGGCGCGAGCAGCGAACCTGATCGGTAATGTCAGCCACTGGATGTGCTCTTAATTGGGTTATGGGCACGTACATGCTCAGAATACCGGTACCGCAGCCAACATCAAGGACAACCTTGTCCTTGAAGATGTGGCGGTTTTGGTAGATAGAGTCACGATAGGAACGGGTACGGACATCATCTTTCTGTGAAAGTGAACACATCGGTCAGTAAATCGGTCCGCGCATCTCATCTCACTATAGCGGACTTACCAGCATCTCCTCGTGGATACCTGCACGATGGCGAAGAAAACTCGTTAGTCAAGGGACATCTCAGGTTTGACAGCAGCATTGAGGGTATTTACCGTGGTGATCGTAGCTGTGAGTTGATTAGTGATAAATAACAACATTGAAATAGAAATAAGGCGTTGGATTTTCTTACCTGGTGAAGTAGCGCACCTCGGAGTGCTCCATGCCAACCATGCGATCAGCACTGCTAGTGATAACGCCAGTAGGCTCGGGGGTTCCAGATCCGTCCATCTTGTCACTTGTAATGATATGGAGTGAGAAAAGTGAAATTGAAAGAGAGATGATAAAGGAAGAAAAGGACGATTAGACGAGAGGTCCCAGAGAGTTTGCCCGCGACTTTTTTTTTCGAATCCTCAGGCGCCAAGCTTCACTCCAATTCCCCGCCCGCACTAAACCATATTCGAACGTCACATGCTTTTTCAAGCCCTGATTATGGTAGGGCTACTTCTTGACCTGTATACATGGCTACGACGACTGTACTCTCAGGTCAACAAGTATGAAAGGAACTGTTGAAAAGCGCGATACACTGAGAGATACATATATCTTCGCTAATAGTCAAGCCGAAGTCCGAATAGATTCACCTCCTACTGTGACTTTGGTTTGAGAAGTCTGTCACTGCTGAGAAGTGAAATAAGCATTGTACCTACCCAATTAAAAATTCTTGGTCGAAAAATCAATCCTTAATGGTAACACACAATTCAATTGTGCAGTGAATAAATATGCTAGACGGCATCAAACATGGGACGAATAGAGTGAATGAATCTCTGACGCGGGAGATGAGCTGTCAACAAGAATTGCCAAGACCCCCCTCAAGAGCCTCGCGATGCCGCCCGGAGCTCCGCCATCTTTCCTCCTGCTCACGCGTTCGCTCCTCCTCCTCTCTTCCCGGAAGCTGATCATCATGAATTTGGGCGCCGGCAGAGTGAGATCTTCCACTATCCTAGCTCTAATTTTTCTTGGACTCTTCATTGGCCACACGGCTGCATCCTTAGGTGATCATCTCCCCGACTTCAAAGAATGTGTCCAGGTAAGCTTTTCCCAGACCTAGGAGATCGTTCACTTGTTAAAAACTTCCAGGTTTGTAAAACAGAGAACTGTCAGGGCGGCAATTCGGTGCTACGTACGTTTACCTATTACCTTCGCTTCTTCAGCTTTCCCGGCTAACCTCGTCCAGCATTACACCACCGCCTGTTATTATGGACTTGCCCGGCCGAGTGCGACTATACCTGCCAACATGTCATTACCGATCGACGAGTCTCTCGTGACCCTCCGATGTTGAACCCTGTCGTTCAGTTCCATGGCAAATGGCCCTTCCGAAGAATCCTGGGGATGCAGGAACCTTTTTCGGTGCTTTTTTCCTTTTTCAACTTCATGGCCCATTGGCACGGCATGTCCCGGATCCAAGAATCGATTCCTGCCTGGCACTCCCTTCGCAAGTACTACATGACATTTGGGTACATCGGACTGGCCAGCTGGACGTTCAGTATGGTTTTTCATATGAGAGATTTTCCTCTCACTGAGAAGCTGGACTATTGGGCGGCCGGGGCCAGCGTCCTCTACGGCCTGTATTTGTCCGTGGTGCGCACCCTGCGCCTGGACTTGGAGACCCCAGAGTACCGCCCCACCCTGCGTCGCCTGTGGACAGGTATCTGTATTACGCTGTACACACTGCATGTCTGCTATCTCACTTTCTGGTCTTGGGATTACACGTACAATATGGCTGCCAATGTCGCCGTAGGTATCGTGCAAAATCTTATCTGGACAGTGTTCAGTATCGTTCGGTACCAGAAATATCTCAAGTCATGGACGGCTTGGCCTGGTATGATTGTTGCGTGGATCATTCTGGCCATGAGTTTGGAGTTGCTGGACTTCCCGCCGTGGCATGGGTTAATTGATGCACACAGTCTGTGGCACCTGGGCACTGTGGTCCCCACTGCTTGGTGGTACTCGTGAGTCTTCCCCAAACTCCGTTTTACGTTTGATCCCTGTTCTCATGACTAATCGATTGGCAGGTTCCTCATCAAGGACACACAGGACGATATCGCCGGCCACCGACTGAAGGCATAGGTGGAAGAATCGTACACTCCCCGTTGTGAGGGTGCCATATGCGATCAAGATCACGACCAAGATCAGAACATTCAGAGCATGTATAACAGTAGAGCGTCCCGGTGACCCTGTTGCTAATAATAAAATATAATACTTGAACACCTCCCCACCTTTTGAAGGATGTTGTAATTTCCACGCTCGGATCATGTCGGTGGAGCCGTAATGCCACGTCTCGCTACCACTGCCCAACAACTGCACTTCCTGCTTCCCCGCGCGTCTCACCGCTAGGGCCGTCGCAATAAACTAATCTCCCCTCCCTGTTTCAACTTACCCTCTTTCAACTTCCTCGATCTCCTTCGAGTGCACCGGCCGTAATCTCCTCCTGAGCATCCTCGATTGCTGCAGATTCGCGCCATGGCGTCTCCCGCGGTTAAGAAAGCAATCTCCGAGGCTGCGCTGCAGTACGAGAAGCCCGTGGGCAAGGTGTTTGAGTATGGCACCGCCGGGGTAAGTCGCGCTAGCATTCTCCACGAAGCTCTACCAACTGACCTTCTTGCGCTTGCAGTTCCGTATGAAGGCGTAAGTTTCCTCAGCTTCGATCAGCCGCCGCCTCCACACCTCCCCCCGATCGTCCTTTTGTTGACGTGGGCTCTGACGTTGTGCGCACAGTGACCTACTCAACACAGTCGTTTTTGCTGTCGGTCTGCTTGCCGGTCTACGCTCGAAGAAGCTCAGCGGACAATGGATTGGTGTTATGGTGACCGCCAGTCATAACCCTGCAGAGGACAATGGAGTTAAGCTGGTTGACCCGATGGTAAATACTACCCCCCACCCACACGAATCATGGGCCAATTTTCTGACATGGAGTTATTAGGGCGAGATGCTGGAAGTAAGATCAAGATAGAAGGACGCGCTTGATTTAAACAACCTCGATCTGACAATTGAACCTAGGCTGAGTGGGAGCAATACGCTACCAAGCTGGCCAACGCCCCTCTGGAGTCCATTGCCGATGTTTACGACGAATTGGCCAAGGAGATCGATGTCAAGATGACCAACCCCGCCCGCGTCGTCTTTGCTCGTGACACCCGTGCCTCTGGCTCCCGCCTGGTGGGTGTGCTCAATGCCGCGCTTACTGCCACCGAGGTCGAGTTCATCGACTTCAAGTACATGACCACTCCCCAGCTCCACTACGTGGTGCGTTGCAAGAACACTCTCGGAACACAGTACGAGTATGGCGAGCCCAGCGAGAAGGGCTACTATGAGAAGCTTGCACAGTCATTCCAGAAGGTTATGCGCGGAGTCAAGGTTCAGGGTAGCTTGACTGTTGACTGCGCCAACGGTGTCGGTGGCCCCAAGTTGAGAGAGCTCCTGAAGGTCCTCTCTGGGATTGATATTAAGGTCATCAATGACGATGTCATCAACCCTGATAGCCTAAACTTCGACGTGAGTTATCTTCCACGCTCATTTCGTATATCAAACAATTGACTCCTCTCTAGTGTGGTGCAGACTACGTCAAGACCAAGCAACGCGCTCCTCCCTCTTCTAAGGCCGGCGTCCTTGATCGCTGTGCCTCTCTGGACGGCGACGCTGATCGTCTGGTTTACTACTTCCAGGATGAGGGTAACGTGTTCCGTCTGTTGGACGGTGACCGCATTGCCACTCTTGCTGCTTCTTTCATTGGCGACCTTGCTCGTAACGCTGGAATCGCCCAGAAGCTCAAGATTGGTGTGGTCCAAACTGCCTACGCCAACGGCGCCAGCACCGACTACATTGAAAAAGTGCTCAAGCTCCCCATCATCTGCACCAACACCGGTGTTAAGCATCTTCATCACGCCGCTCTCCGCTTCGACGTCGGTGTCTACTTTGAAGCTAACGGCCACGGCACTGTTACCTTCTCCGAGAATGCCATGAAGACTATTAAGAACGCCGAGCCCCAGTCGCCGGCTCAGCAGCACGCCCTAGAGTGCCTCCAAGCTCTGACTGATCTGATCAACCAGGCCGTCGGCGATGCTCTCTCCGATATGCTTCTTGTTGAGGCCATCCTTGCCCACAAGGGCTGGTCCCCCAAGGAATGGCTGGGCACATACACCGATCTGCCTTCTCGCCTTGTACGCGTCGAAGTCAAGGATCGTTCGATCTTCAAGGCCTACGATGCCGAGCGCAAGCTCGAGTCTCCTGCCGGACTTCAGGGCCAGATTGAGTCTTTGATGTCTCGCTACAACAAGGGCCGTAGCTTCGCCCGTGCCAGTGGTACCGAGGACGCCGTCCGTGTCTACGCCGAGGCCGCAAGCCGGTCTGAAGCAGATGATCTGGCTACTCGTGTTGCCAACGCCGTGAGCGAGGCTGGTGTCGCTGATCCTTCGGCCTAAACAGCTTCGGCGCCGTCATATGGGTCTACCGAAGATCTCGACAGAAAACATTCAACGTCATTTGATGCAGTAATGAAACTATCATCACTATCTCACTCCCTTAGAGCTTGAGTCATACAATACAATACACAAATTTTCGAGTAGACAACTTTTTTTGCTTCTATTTCAGAGCAATGGACATTAAGTCATACACAGTGAGGATGAAGAGCCAAGCTGCTCGGATGGGCCAGCCCATTAACCCTCCTCCTGATCCATCTGGTCGCGACCACGCTTGCCCTTGCCGAACTTGTTGCCTCTCGTGCCCTTCTTTTCGTCATAGGCCTTCATTTCCATAATAGCCTGGCGCTGTGCCTCGCCAACCCGTTCAGCAAGAACCATAACCTCATCCTTGGTGGCATCATACTCATCGAGCTGCTTACCCAACGCAGCCTCGATACGCTGCCAGATCTCCACATCATATTGCGTCACAAAGCTAATCGCAACACCACTCTTTCCTGCACGGGCCGTGCGGCCGACGCGGTGAATGTACGTCTTGCTATCAGTGGGAAGATCGAAGTTGAGCACGACATCAACGGACGGAATATCCAGACCACGAGCAGCAACATCAGTAGCAACGAGAATGTCTCGACTGCGGGAACGGAACTTGCCCAGAGCTCCCAGACGCGAGGATTGGGAAAGTTGACCGTGGAGCGGAATAGCACCGAATCCGAGGGTACGCAAGAGGAAAGCAACGCGCTGGGTCTCGTGCACGGTGCGGGTGAAGACGATGGCGGACTGGCCAACAAATTCGTTGAGAAGGTAGACAAGGTAAATGTCCTTGTGCTTGTGCGGGCGGAGGAGGAAAGATTGCTGTAGGGTCGAGACAGTCTGGTACTTTGACGAGACAGAGACCCGCATCGGGTTCGACAGAGACGCACGCTGAAGAGACTCGACCTTGGAACTGAGTGTAGCGGAGAACAAGAAAGTGCGACGCTCGCGAGGGAGAACCTTGAGGATCTTGTCGAGAATTGGACCGAAGTCCATGTCTAGCAGTCTGTCTGCCTCGTCCATGACCCTATGTCCCCGTTAGCTTAGAAATTCCATTTGAAGCTGGGAGAACAAACAAGTATTTCATTCCCCGGAGGCTAAATCCCTTCGTATTCTCCAGGTGATCAAGTAGACGACCAGGTGTTGCGACAATAATGTGAGGCTTCTTGCCCAAGGCGATAGATTGCGGCACCATGTCCATTCCTCCGACGATAACAGCAGTGCGAACTCCGATAGTTGAGCCGAGAGTTTCAAAAGACAGAGAGATCTGGTAGGCCAATTCACGGGTTGGTGCGAGGACCAGGCCGAAGAGGGGTTGGGGCTTTTCCATGAGAGCCTGCAAGATGGGGAGAGCAAAAGCTGCTGTTTTTCCACTTCCAGTCTCGGCCAGACCGATTAGATCGCGGCCCTGGAGAGCCAGCGGAATGGACTCCGCTTGGATAGGTGTTGGCGCCTTGTATCCCATGTTTTCACAGGCTTCGCAGAGAGAATCGATAACTCCTAGCTCTTTGAATGACTTGGGAGCGGCAGTAGTTGTGTCCTCGGCGCCGGCATCGACTTCATCAGGCTTGGGCGCCTCGTCGCCGGACTGAGAATGGGTAGAACTGGCATCACTTTCTTGAACAGACGCAGGCGCCTCCTTGGCGACCTTGCGCTTCTTGACTGGAGGCATTTTTGGTAACTTATCGAACTTGGGAAAAAGTTGCACTACTCGCGATCTCGAAATAATTTGAGGTGGGTCCGCATCATCATTGATCCGCGTCTCCGCCTGGATTTTTTGGAGACAAAAAAACTTCGGTTTCAACTCATCGAGCTTGATTAAATCAAACCCTTTATTTTTAGTGGTATTTTGCTTTGCATATCTCGCAATGGCAAAGGCACGTGTCAAGAAGCGCACTCATTTGCGTGCGCAGAATGCTTCAGCTGCTTCCAAGGGCAGCGGTGCTATTCAGAGCAAGGCGCCTAAGTCCATGGTCATTCGTGTCGGCGCTTCTCAAGTCGGTACCAGTGTCAGCCAGCTCGTCAAGGATGTTCGTCATATGATGGAACCCGACACGGCTGTGCGATTGAAGGTAATACACCAATTTTATTCTGTTCTCCGGGCTTTTCTAACGCTAGAAATAGGAACGTCAATCCAACAGACTGCGGGATTACACAGTGATGGCTGGTCCCCTCGGTGTCACACATTTGATGCTTTTCTCCAAATCCAGCACTGGAAACACCAATATGCGACTCGCTGTGACACCTCGCGGCCCGACCCTCTACTTCAAGGTCGAACAATATTCCCCTTTGCAAAGATATCGAGCGCTCGCAAAAGCGTCCCCGAAGTGGTGGTCAGGATCACAAGACACCGCCGCTGTTGGTGATGAACAATTTCAATTCGCCCGATGCTACCGAGGACTCCAAAGTGCCGAAGCGCCTCGAGACCCTCACAACGACTATCTTCCAATCCCTCTTCCCTCCGATCAATCCTCAGGCCCAGCCCCTCTCTTCCATCCGTCGAGTCATGCTCTTGAACCGCGAGAAGTCTGAAGACAAAGACAACGAATCCTACGTGATCAGCCTCCGACACTACGCTATCGTCACAAAGAAGACCGGACTGTCAAAACGTATTCGCCGCTTGGACCCTAAGGAGATTCGCAACAGAGACAAGAAAGCTGCCGTGCCAAACCTTGGCAAGCTCGAGGATGCTGCCGACTACCTTCTCGACCCGTCCGCTGCTGGTTACACATCTGCCAGTGAGACCGAGCTGGACACCGACGCCGAGGTGGAGGTTGCTGAGAGCACGACCCGCCGAGTCTTGAACAAGCGTGAAGCCCAGCGCCAGAAGGCTGGTGAGAATACCGAGAAGAAGCCTACCGTTCCCGGCGTTGAGAAGCGGGCTGTCAAGCTAGTCGAACTTGGACCCCGTATGAAGCTTCGTTTGATGAAGGTTGAGGACGGTGTCTGTGATGGCCGGGTTATGTGGCACGACTTCATCACAAAGAGCGAGAAGGAGATCCGGCAGCTTGATCAGAACTGGGCTGTGAAGAGGAAGGAGAAGGCGGCGCGTAAGAAGCTGCAGCGAGAGAACATCGAGAAGAAGAAGAAGGACAAGGCTAAGGCCCGGGCTAATGGTGAGAAGGTGGAAGATGACGAGGATGTCGATATGTATGAGGATGAGTGGCTCAGTGACGACGACGCCGAGGGCGCTGAAGACTCGGATGAGATGGAAGAGTAAGGTCTCTCGGATTTCTACTTTTATACCCTCGGTGGTTCAACTGTACATTTTTCATGGAGTATATGAAGAAAAGTTTTGGAACAAGGAAACCTGCATGGCGCTTTCATCTTGATTTTAGATCCTCATTAATGGCATGACTCGATTTTCTTATTTCTTTCTGTCTATTTCTTGAGTTTCGCCTCGACCAGACGGCCAACCATTTTCTCGAGAATCGCGAAATTACCGCCCGAAGTACCAGCAAAGTAGCCTTGTACGCTCTTCTCGACGTACTTGCCCACAATGTCAATCTCAACGTTGACTAACTCACCCGCCTTCTTTCCAGCTGTGACCACCTTCTCCTGGGTATAGGCAATAAGCATCACTTCCCAAAATCCATCCTCACCATCCACAACCTTAGTCACAGTCAAACTGGCACCGTCCAGGGTAACGTAGCCCTTCTCGACAACGTAACGGAGGACATCCTTATCGCGCGGCTGCAGGCGGAAGACTAGTGCATTCCCGTCGGGTGTGACGGACAGAATCTTCGCGACAGTATCGACATGGCCCTGCACGAAGTGGCCACCCATCCGTGTATCTGCAGAGACAGCGCGTTCGAGGTTCACAAGAGAATTAGTCTGCAAGTCGCCGAGATTCGTACGGCGCAGGGTCTCCGGCGCAACTCCGACCTTGAACCAGGTTTTATCGAATGCCGTGACCGTCAGGCAGGTTCCTTCATTTCAAATGAGCTTGAGGTAGCGTTTCAGGGATTTTTTTTGGCTGGGAGATGTACCGTTGACAGCGATGCTATCGCCCAGGTGACAATCAGAGAGAATCTCCTCGCAGTCGGAGATGGTGAGAGATGTACCCCCGCCCCCACTCGACGAGGTATCGAGGGGCTCTAGGGCCGTAACGGCTAATGAGGAAGAATTGTCAGTCTAGCTTTATAAGAAAATCATTTCGAAAGACTCACTCCCAATGGTCTCAACTAGTCCAGTAAACATAGCTGCGGGGTGATTGATCTGCGGAAAGGCAAAGGTTGGGGTCGGTCGACCTCGGCCTCGGCGCCCCGAGCGGTGTCGGCGTTTTAGCGGAGTTTCGATCTACTCCAGCGCCTTCTTAACTTTGCCCGGATTTGCTGGGGCCTTTTGTTCTTCTGTTTCCAAGTGTGTCAGTCATTTAGCGATTTAGTATGACGGTTGCACTCAGATTTCAGGCTATTGCTCAGCGGTCGAGTCCTAGCTTGCCTCGCAATGCCGTGCGCATATCGCCCTGGCGGAGGTTCTCGAGCTCCGCGTCGACATTGAATGACACGCTGCCGTTGTCGGGAATTCGTGTTTTGGACATGACAAGAGTTCTTGCCGGAGTGAGCTAAATTTTGCATTCTTGTTTCTTTGGCGCGAGATTAATTGATTTGATTCACAGCCATATTGTACTCAGATCTTGGGTGACTTGGGGTATGTGATGCAATTCCAGCTCATACTAGGCTCTTTGCCTGACCAATTTGGATAGAGTCTGAGGTTCCAATAGGTACTAATTCACATATCCAACAGAGCCGATGTTATCAAGGTTGAACACCCCGTGCGCGGTGACGATACACGTGCCTGGGGCCCGCCATATGCGCAGTATGAGAATGGTTCATCCAAGAAAGGCCCTGGCGAAAGTGCATACTACCTTGCTGTAAGTCTATCCAGACAAAAGCAACAATTCTTTATGTACTGATTGGCTGTAGGTCAACCGCAACAAGAAGTCCCTTGGACTATCCTTTCAGCACAAGTCAGGCGTCGAGATCCTGCACAAGCTTGCAAAGGAATGCGACGTCTTGGTTGAGAATTACCTCCCCGGTGGACTTAAGAAATACGGAATGGACTATGAGACTTTGAAAGAGATCAATCCCAAGTTGATCTACGCAAGTATCACTGGCTACGGTCAAACAGGCCCGTATAGTAACCGCGCTGGATATGATGTCATGGTGGAAGCAGAGATGGGGTTAATGCATATTACCGGTGCGCGAGATGGTGCACCCGTGAAAGTGGGCGTTGCAGTTACAGACCTCACCACTGGACTGTACACCTCGAACGCGATTATGGCTGCTTTGATTGCCCGTGGCCGAACGGGCAGGGGCCAGCATATTGACGCCTGTCTGAGCGACTGCCAGGTTGCTACCTTGTCAAACCTGGCCTCCTCTGCGCTGATCAGCGGCCAGAAGGATTCTGGACGTTGGGGCACTGCGCACCGTAAGTATACCATCTCCCAAAATTTGCAGCAAAAGCTAACAACTATCTAGCGTCCATTGTGCCATACCGAAGCTACAAGACCGCTGACGGTGACATTCTTTTTGGTGGCGGCAACGACCGACTATTTGGCGTGCTTTCCGATCGACTCGGATTCCCTGAATGGAAAACGGATGCGCGTTTCGTCACGAATAGTGATCGTGTGAAGCACCGTGCCGATATCGATGGGCTGATCGAGAATACCACCCAGCAGAAGACGACGCAAGAGTGGCTGGAGATCTTTGAGGGAAGTGGAATGCCATATGCAGCTGTCAACGATATCCAGGGAACCTTGAATCACGAGCATGGTGAGTTTCTTTTGGCAGTCATCTTATTCAACCCATTCTAAATTCTATCGATAGTCAAAGCACGAGGCATGATCACGGAGGTCGAGCACCCCGAGTGTGGCCCGATCAAATTGGTCAACACTCCTATCAAGTATTCTGAGGCGACTCCCGGAGTGCGCACGCCACCGCCTACACTCGGTCAGCACACTGACGAGATATTGGGAAGTATGCTGCAATACGGAGAGGCGGATATTGCCAAGTTGAAAGCAGAGGGTGTGATTTCATAGAGACCGCGTGTTCATTTAGGGCGAGATGAAAGTTGACGTCACATTGTACATAACCTTTACATAGATGTGATGATCAACTGCAGTATTTCTTAGCTATCTAGGTATCAAAAACGGGAATATCGGTACATATGTACGTTGATATTATTCACATCTTCATCCTCGAGGCATCACAGCTTAGCTCCTGGCGAATTGAGCAATTTCTCCAGCCCACTTCGCACGTTGCTCGCCATGCCACCTTTTCCAACACGCATGGTTTCTCGGAATACAAAGACATGCGTATATGTTCCAACCATCTTAACATCCTCCTCGCCCTTTCGGAACACGCCAATCTCCCATGTGACACTCGAGGAGCCTAGTTTGGCTACGCGCAAGCCCACCTCTAAAATATCTGGGAATGCAACAGAGGCAAAGAAGTCGCAACTTGTATTGACAATTAGTCCGATTTGGTCCGTGCCGACTGACAAGCTGGATGGTTGGCCTTCGGAGCTCTTTGGGGCTTGGGTTGTTCACACTGAAGGGGTCCATGCCGCAATGCTCGATGAGGTAGGAATTGGCAATCGTGTCGAAAAGAGCCGTGTAGACAGTGTTGTTTAAGTGCGCGTACATGTCATTGTCGAACCTGAAGAGTATAATTAGTTCAGCCTCCAACATTCCATGAAGCGTACTCTTGATCGCAGCTACTTACCATCTTGTCTGGTGAAGCTGATGGTAGCCATAGTCGCTGCGTTTGCGAGCCTTTTTGGCTTCAAAGTCAGGAGGCGCCATTTTCAAAGGGAAGCAGGGCTAGATAGTGTCAATGAAAGTCTTCGGTCCCCCCCGAGATCAGAAGAGTTGCCCACATCGCATCTCCGCAACCGAAGTACCGAGGTCTGGCCGTGATTAGGTAAGCTGGCGATGCAGCGTTCACTTGCAAGTTCACGCCTTTCAAGGCCGAGATAACCTAGCGGGTCTACTTTCAACCTTCAGCTTCCCCATCTGATCCCCATGAAAGGGATGTAGGTACACATAGATGTTTGGTCTGGAAAGGGAACGTGGGGGAGATCCACCGTGCCTGAGCTTATCGCTAATCGCTCCAATTTTTTCTCGCCCAAACTTTCTGCCCGCCAAATTCAATTTCAAAGATATCCTTGAACACCATTCCCACTGGCTCCTTCACCCCGAGTAACGGCATATCTTATACGGCGAGGCAAATTGCCCCAGCCCCAGCCGCCCCTCATGTCCGTCGTTACCTACAAACCCCCGCCTCCCGACCCCGTCAAGCCGCCTCCAAATGTGGTGGTGACTCCCTGTGACCCATGGCCTGCACCTTACTACATGGAGGGTGGCCTTCGCCGTGTTAAGCCGTATCACTATACATATAACACCAACTGCAAGGAGCGATGGCGGGGTAGGAATTTGGAGGAGATTTTCCTCTCAGAATTCCGTGACCGAAAGCCAGAATACTACAAATGGGCCCTCGACCAGGGTCTCGTCGCCGTCAACGGAAAGCCTGCTGGACGGGATACCGTGCTCAAGAATGGACAGGTCGTTTCCCACACCCTTCATCGCCACGAGCCTCCGGTGACGGGGATGCCCATTGGTATCATTCACGAGAGCGAGGACTTGATCGTCATCGACAAGCCAGCAGGTGTTCCTGTTCATTCCGCCGGCCGCTACCACTATAACTCGGTCATTGAGATCATGCGCGCTCAACGTGGCCAGGGTTTTATTCCGAGACCGTGCAACCGGTTGGATCGATTGACTTCGGGCATCATGTTCATTGGAAAAGACCCCAAAGGTGCTGAGAAGATGGCAGAGGCACTGAAGGCGCGAACTGTGCAGAAGGAGTATCTGGCGCGTGTCAAGGGCAAGTTCCCCGATGGCATTGTCGTTTGCGACCAACCGATCATGCAAGTCAGCCCCAAGTTGGGTCTGAATCGTGTGCGCGCTACTGGCAAGACTGCCACAACCAAGTTCCGCCGTCTGGCTTACTATCCCCCAGAGGCTTCAGTAGCCTCTGCGGAAGAGCATGAAACCGTTCGTGCGGCCACTCCACCCCCAGCCGTCTCCAACGAGGACGAAGGATACAGTGTTGTGCACTGCTTCCCTCTCACTGGCCGAACCCACCAGATCCGAGTGCACCTGCAATTCCTGGGTCATCCGATCAGCAACGACCCCATCTATTCTAATCGCCGTGTCTTCGGTCCCGATTTGGCTCGAAATGAGACTACCGGAGAGCGCGATGAGGAAATCCTGGAGCGTCTTCACCGGATGGGCAAGACTGAGATTGCGGAAACGGCGACTTATCGCAACCACTTCACCGCCGCTCCTAATGTCCCCGTGGATACTGATCCATCCATCGTTGCGAATATCATGTCTCGCGAGCAGCAAGCTGCCGCGGAGGATTATGAGAAGCGTAAAGGCGAGCGTCTGTCCGGCGAGGTCTGTGACGTGTGCGGAACCGAATTGTACTCGGACCCGGGTGTCCATGAGTTGGGTATCTATCTGCATGCGGTCGCCTACTCCGACAAGAATGGCGACTGGGGATATCGAAGCCCGATGCCTCATTGGGGAATGCCCCCGCCTGGCATGGATGGTCCTCGCGAGGTTCCTGATTGGGTTCCCGGCGAGGAAACTGTCATCGGCCATGGAACCGTGCCTGATATTCGCGATGATGACGATGATGCTACTGGTGATAAGAAGCCTGCTGTGAACGGCACTGTTCTGGTTGAGGGTGTCGGCATGGTCAACCTCGATGACCCGAGACATCATGTGAATGGAACGAATGGAAGTTCGGCTGGTGAAGTGCCGTTGGCTGAAACATCTACGGCAGCTTCTGGTCCGTAAAATCTGTCGTTTCCTTTTATGTTTTGATAAAAGGTCCATGAATATCCGCTACCATAGAATTGGCCTGACATCAAGAAGATACCCTTCCTGAAAGTGGACATCGAAGACTCAAATCAGTGAAAAGCATTTCAGGTGCATCAAAATTGTGAGTTTATAGAATCTGGATAGACTTTGATGCTTCAATGTATACAAATGATAACGTAATCCACACCAAACCCGCCACCACACCAAACCCGCCACCCCATCCACTTATTCTTTATTCATGAAGCTTTTATAAAACCACAACGCCTTTATATTCAATTTAAGCCTTATCCGGACATGCGTAAGCCCTATGGCCTGGCTTTCTGCATAGACTACATGCGTATTGACGTTTACTGGTGTGATTATCGGTCACTGAAGGCCTCTGGGTGGGTGTTGCAGATACCACCCCACCACCTTCTATTCCACCTGGTAGACCAATACCTTGCTCATGGGCTTCATGAACGAATAAGCCCTCATCGCGCTGTATTTTCCGTTTAGGCAATGCCTTTCTTTTTATCTTTTTGTAGTTTGCAGCGCGTAGATCTGTCACTTCTTGCTCTAATAGAAGGATACGCTTCATGACTTGTTCGCATGCCTTATAAGCCTGATCAAATGCCTCTTTTGTAGGCGTAGGTAGGCTATCAGACCGATATTTGATAAGCCGTCTTGCTGATGCCTTATACTTTGAAAGCTATTTGATATTGCTTAGTGTTTCGGGGCAATAAATGCTTGATCGGCTTGATGGTCGGTCTGGTGTAGGCGGACGAAGCTGGATATTAAGCCTTTCAAGGACTTCTGCCGCATTTAAAGGGATCAAACCGGTCGCTTTGAATGCATTCTGGATACTTCTAGCCTGAAATGCATCTTCGCGCGCGCGTGGGTAGGCTACAAGGAAATCAAGCTTATCGATATAGTTTATACCCATACGCGTCTATTGGTCCACCAGCTGACCGTATGATCGCTTTAGAACTGCGAAACAGCCTATATCTAGAGTCTATAATAGATATGAGCTATGCGGTGGCATACATATAGGTATAACGTCGTGTTCAGTGCATAGACGATCAAATTCAGGCGTAAGGTGGCTTCCATAACTATCAAGTATTAATAGCCTATACCGACCACGTATACGACTTGCGGTCAAAGGAATAAAAAGCGTTCGAAGCCAGCGAAGCCTAATTGCATCAGAAGTCCACCTATTTAGACTAACTTCGAAGCGCTAGTCCCTTAGGGTATCGTGGAACCATAATTTAATATAGCGCTTGCCTTTAAATATAATTAATAGCGGCAAAGCCTAGCCTAAAGTATTAACTATTTTTACTGCGGTCACCTATTCACGATTACCTGGCTGCAATACTGATCGACGGCCATAATATTCAGCTCTAGTAACTACCCTTGCGGTAGAAACTAGGCCCATTGCGAAGCCGGTTTCATCGAAATTATAGATATTATCAGGCGGGATACCATAGCGCGTAATAGTCTCCCTAACCAGCCAAAACCATTCATTTAATACCCGCGGATCCTCTTGCTCAGCCCGTGAATAGTTATATCGACGCGAGAAACGTGTTTAAATAGCCGGTGTACGCTTCACATAGTTTCCGACCCAGTTCACACCGATAGCATTAGATCCGGTCGCCGCAAGAAGAATATTAGCCATTCTGCGTATCATAGCATGCCTCGGGGCTGCACCACGATCATCTATAGATAGAATCCACTGGGTAAGCGTATCCTTATCTAATTGGGTTATTTTATAGGTATGGGCGCGTCTGGTAGCCTTTGAACTGTGGCCGCTCATCCGGTCGCGTAGCGTGGTTCGCGGTACGTCATAGACGCGTGCAGCGGCAGCAATAGAAGGAAGATCTTTATTCTGAATAGCCTGGATTGCAAGCTCGATTCTACCCTCTTGCTGGATAGAATTCTGCTTCTTTTCAGACCGAATTGGTGGCATAGTGGGCGTTTCAAAGTGGTGGGGGAGGTAAAGAGGTAGGGAATTGGATGGGGTGGCGGGTTTGGTGTGGATTACGTTATTCCTCAGCCGAAATGTTTCAATGATAGAAAACCAGTATTCCATGGGGCGTGATATGACAGGGTTCAGCACGGCGCCAGGAATCTCCGTGAGATTTGAGCTCGCAACCCGAGCTCTAAGCTGACCGTCCCGCTAGAGATGCCCATCTCTTGAGTGAATAGAAAACCCTCTTTTCTCACACCAGCTTCTCTTCAAGACCTCACTGCACAAACTAAGTTACAAATGGCACACTCTTCCTCATCCAACATCCTCCTGGACTTCCTCAACGGTACCTTCGTCGGAGATCCCGCCGACGCCCGCGCATTCTGCGAACGGACCATCAGCCCCAACTTCATCCGGCTCCAAGCCGGCGACGACAAAACGGACTTTGAGAGAGCGGTCGCGAAAATTGCGTATTTCCGCGCAAATGCCACATGGGATCCGTCGTTGAAGTTCTTCACGCAGGACGGGAACAAGATCTCTGGCCGGGTGGTTTTTGTTTTGAAGGTTGGGGATGAACCGGCGAAGAAGTTGGAACTGATGATTATGGCGGAGTTGAATGAACAGGGACTCTATGAGAGGGTTTGGGAGCAGGTTGCTGAGTATACTCCAGGAGAGGAATAGATCTATCACTTATGTGAGCCCAGGTCATGAAATATATTCATGTAGATCGCGGGTGGATGTGTTCGTCGGTTTCTTTCTGTACATCCAGTATTCTAGATGCCGATGTTGTGTTGTAGAGATTACCCATCGAGTCTTGTTTTCTTGAGCTGTACTCACACCAAACGTCAAGTGGACGCTTGATCGTACTCTCATCTAATTGGGAATGGCGAGGTTCTGTGGCGCAGTCTTCTTATCTGCGTTACGCCTGGTCACCATAGCAAGGCTGAATGGACCTTGCATGAATCGGAAACACGGGGTTCACATAGGGAAAATGTCAAAGTAAGCTATTCTTGGGCGGTGGCGATATTGATCTAGTCTGGGGGCGAAACTCATCCATTGTCTGGGCAATAGGTAACGCCCCTATTGGCAGTCAGCACCGGGGAAAATGGAGAAAGGGCATTTGCTAGAAAAGGATACGATGAGGTCATTAGACTGTTCAGAATTCACGGTGGGGGGAAAAGGTTGCGGGGAAACTCTCCTACCGGCCAACTACTAAGCCTTGTGCCGATCGTAAAGGTGTATATCATGGTCATGTTCGGTGTCAAACCAGTCATGAAAAATCGACATCTCCATGCATAATGCCGACTCAATTTCAAGTCTCCGAAGAGTCCCTCGGTCACCATTATAGTGTGGTCATGACCGACGATCAAGGGGGCGAACATCATTTCTATATAGAAAATGCCCCAGGGGTTTCGGAGAAGGCGGATCTCACGTTCTACGATGGTGATGACTGTACCGGTCCCCTCATTGGACTCTCCAAGTTCCCGCGCGTTACGAAGAACTGCAAGGTCAGATTAGTGGACGAGCTCTCCACGGAGGACTGGGTACCTGTGAGGAAGAAAGGGTTCATGACGACGAAATACACCTTTCGAATTCCCGCCGGACATACGCAGGGGCTTTTCACGTGGAAGAAGACACGGTCAATGGGCAGGGGCTCCAGTCTGTATGGTAACATGAAGTTGGTGAATGAGCAGAGTCACGATGTTCTTGCCGTCTTCTCTTCGGATCCTTTTTCGATAGTCACCGGTCAACTTGATATGTATCAAGATCACGGGGACTCATTCGATCGATGGGCGCTGATTACTGGGATGGCTGTGCGAGAGAAACAGCGGCGTCATACCATTGATGCGGTGAGGTCGAAGGATAGTGTGTACACTGTGGGTGCAATGGGTGGTCTAGGAATGGGTGGAATGGGTGCCATGGGCGGTGGTGGAGGGTGCTAGTCTGAATAATATGGCCAATGTACTTTTACGGGTTGTATACGAGCTGTCTGCGTGCTATGAACTGAAGAAATAAGTTCCATATAAGATGAAACCTGTAAAGGAGGTTGTTTGAGGGCAACATCCTTCCGCTTAGCCAAAAGACCATTTATGTCGACCCTTAAAGGTCGACATCCTCAAATCCATATATATATACCCACACCTGCATATTAAGGAATAACCACACATTATTCCTTAACAAAACCCTTGAATTATCTCATTCAAGTCTGTGCGAAGAAGAGAAACAACTGAAAGCATGACTGTTACGTTTAGCACGAACATGAGACTTCTCACGCTCGATTGTTTGACGACGTGCAAGATGAGTAGTAGTTGAGCGTGATGTGACTGGAAGACTCAGGGGTCGAGGCTAAGCTTGACGAAGGTGAGGTTTGAGGTAGATGAGGATGAAGATGGAATCAGTGAAAAGACTCCGACGATGTGGTCGAGATCGACGACTCTGAGTTCTCTAGACGAGTTATGATCATCGCCTCCATCTCCATCTCCATCGCCTCCTCCTCTTCCTCTTCTTCCTTCTTCTTCCTTCTCCCCCTTCACCACCAACATCGCCCCCAGACAGCCCACCAAGGCCAGACAAAATGCTGGTCAAGCCGCTGCTCAGGCCACCGACAGCTGTGCTATGCTCCTGATGGCCAAACAAGAAAGTGTTCTTTAGAATCAACCTTCTGTGAAACAGATTGATCAAACCCCTTGAGGCGATTCCAGATCCTGGAAACTTGCTTGTAAAACCTCGACCATCGAGATTAGGATCGCTATGTTGGGATGAATAAAATCTAGTCATCGCTGTCCATCGTCTTGTTGAGTTTCGTCGTATGGACATACGACGCAGAATAATCAAGGACAAATCTACTGAAACATACTGGTTATGTATCTGTCGTTCACAAATCCGCGATTTACACAGTTCATCTCGGAGCATCTACGCAGCACATACGCAAGTCAAGCCATCAAATGACCAATACAGAGCTCCATGGCAGACTACTGGAAGCTAATCCCTTCCTTTGATGTTTCACACTATCCTAAATCCCCCTGTGGTAAGTATCATGCTCACGTCACCTTTTTTTTTCTAACTTTGTTGCCGAAAGACGGGAACCTAGTCCTCTTCATAGAGTACTCTGACTAAGATCCAACTGATGAACGCTCCATTTCGGCCCCACTTGTTTAATCCTTTCGCGCCGATCGTCATACGTCGGAGGCTATCCACGCATCCTGGGCCCAGTGAGCTTAGCTCTGATCGTCGCAAAGCTCCTGGTAATGAGTGCTTATTCTCTGGCCAGTTCTGATCCAGAATACGCACCCCGGAGTAAGTAGCGCCGGTTCGACGTGAAAGAGATAATCGAATTCAACAATATGTTTTGAAGGTACAATTGGGCACTTTTCATTTCATGCGGCCCACTTGCTCCACTATCATCTGAGCTGCTGCTTCAAAATCAGCATCGACAATCACGTTATCCAAGCCCGAGTGTTCGATCTGGGTGGAACATTAGTCCCGCTAATACTGATGAACCAAGCATATATGAAGACTCACTAGCTGAAGCGCCTGTTGGCAATTGGTTCCCTGTAGACGGACTACAACGGGGACTTTGAAGCCACCGGTAGCCTCGGCGGCCGCGACGATCGACTCGGCGATCATATCGCAGCGCACAATACCTTGAGCTCCATTAGTGAGGTGGTCGTCATACTTACTCAGACAAGAGCTCACCGCCATAGATATTCACGAGAATCCCCTTGATCCGCGAGTCGTTGTTCAGTATTTCAAACGCCTTGCTCAATGTCTCTTTAGTCGCCCCTCCCCCCAACATCGAGGAAATTAGCGCACTTCCCACCATATAGACTGATCAGATCATTGGTTGCCATGGCAAGACCAGCTCCATTGACGATGTTGCCGATATCGCCGTCCAGTCGAACATAAGACAACCCTAGTTTCGACGCTTGGTACTCGACTTCTTCCTCCGGGGACCTTTCTTCCAGACTAAAGAGTTCTTGTTGTCGGAATCTCGCAGCGTTGTCAAAGCTGAATTTAGCGTCGAGGCAAATAAATTTCCCATCATAAGTGCGAACCAGGGGATTGAGTTCCAGGAGCGTTGCGTCTTTTTCTCGGAAAAGTTTGATCATCTGATGGAGAATTTTGTTGACCACGATCATCTCCTTGTCAGAGAAGCCGAGTTGTGCTTGAATATACGATATTATTTCTGTGGTGAGGCCAGTCGGCAGATGAAACCAGAACTTTTGCAATTTGTCAATGTTGGACTCGATGTTTGTGCCTCCGACATCTGAAATCAGAAGGACTGGCATGCCTCGATCGCGATCAAAAGTCAGCGCAAGATAGAATTCATCGGCAACGTCGACGGCTTTGTATATGTATAGTTTCTTCACAAGTAGGCCCCCGGGTGGTGTTTGCTTGGTCGTGAGATAATAGCCGAGCATCTGAGAGGCATTGTCATATGCTTCGCTGGGCCTGGGTTCGGCATCAGCTTTGGTCACTGGCTACATTCGTCTGGGGCTAACCAAGTAACGATTCGAACCCCTCCTTTCCCGTCGCTATCGTACTTTCCTTTGCCTCTCCCTCCAGCAAGTACTTGGGCCTTGAGGACCGATGGTGCACCTAGTCATGGTAAGCAGATGCAATCTGTGTTTCGGACAGGCAAAGAAAGGCGCCTCACTGATATCTGACACCACATCACGAGCCTCCTCGGCGCTGGTGACCACTCGTCCGTCGGGCACAGGTATATTGAACTGATGGAATTGTAAGCCAAGTCAGATCATGGCTGAGTGTCCCAAACCCAGCTCACATCTCGAAGCAATTTGTGCGACTGATACTCCAAAAGGTTCAAATGTCGCACCTGTATTTTGGAAGGGCCATGATGCTATACACTGATCAGCAGCGCTCTACTTGAGATGGCGGACTCCTCCCGTACCCCTTGGAAGAGACGCGCAAGTGTGCGTCGGCCAATCATCTGGACTCTGACTGATGATCGAGACTTTGTTTCCAGTTATCTTTTTTTTTTTGAAGTCCAAGTGAAGAGGAATAAAAAGTAAAGTCTACGATGACATCAACATCAAGGTCATCGGGTTCGTATTGAGTTTTTGTGGAGTGAAAGCCGAACGTGGAATCTTGGGTCAACCACGTCTTTTACTCGCATCACAACACCGATGGAATTGTTACCCGGGATGCTTTTTTTCATATCGACACCCTTCAAGTATTTGTAGTCATTTTTGAGCAAGATGGTTTTGGGACTGATTCTCGGGTTTGAGCCCGGAAGAACAGTCATCGTCAACAGCAGGAGGCTCACTGCACTAGCGTTTAGATTCGACTATACTTTCGAGGCACATTCGCGCACCTTGCCGTGGGCTGCAAACGTGCTTGCAGACTCTGAGCCGTCATATTCCTGGCTGATGGAGCTATACGTGAATTTCAGGAGCTTTCCTGACGAGTCTGTCATCTAGTCAACTCGATCCAGTCCCCTCTAGAAGCTCTCATTTTGTCTACTGGGAATGTTACCGACTCTGAAAGGAGTACGTTCATGAGCTGATAATAACTCCCCTACTTCATCCCGGTGGGGAAATTCGAAAGCATTTCTTGGAACTCACAAGGATTACTTGAGGATGGAATGGATTTGCAAGTGAACGGTGCCCTGGATAATGAAAGGTTGATTCAGTGCGGCGACAGACACCTGGGGGCTGCCCAGTTCTTTCTGCTGTGGAAAGTGTTTGTAGCTTTGATAGCCTACCTCTCCGATAGCACTAGTTCATCGCCCTGAAACATATTTTCAGAAAGAGTCTCGTCCCCTTTAATGGGAAGATCCAAGATTCAAAGATCCCCGCGACCGAGGAATGATTGCGGGATGGGCCAGACTCAATTCCACAGTGAACACCAAGTAGAGGAATTGGAGCAAAATCTTTCCATATCAGGCCTTCGGAAGATTGCGGAGCCTATTCTAATTCCTTTTTTTCTTCTTCAGCAGCACTAAGGATCAGCATCCACCATGATTGCATCCCAGGCAATATGAGCAAGGCAACTCTGCACAGCCGTAGTCACTTCAAGTACATATGACCTGTACATTCAGGGGTTTACGTGCATGACAATGCAGTCCTCAGTCACCAGACCAGAACCATCTCAACCTCGAAACTTCACTTTCGTCAAAGATCCAGGGAAATGCAGGAACCGAGTGCTAATCAATCGACCACCGGAACCACGCGAGGAATTAGGTTCACCCCGTATTCCCCATATGTCCTCGGTTAGTCGCACACGAGTCAAACCCAGATGAACTCCACATTCTTCGTCACAAGTTTCCTGCTACTGCATGCAGTTATCTGCATGAGTATCTGCATGAGTATCTGCATGAGTATCTGCATGAGTATCTGCATGAGTATCTGCATGAGTATCTGCATGAGTATCTGCATGAGTATCTGCACGAGATTCATACTTGGTCGTCCTCGTCCATAGCAAGGAACAGAATTCGATCTGGGGTTCGTGCCTCGGCTCCACTTAGCTGAGGGCGAGGTGGTAGCTCAACATTCTTGATCGAGCGCTAGCCAGTCAATGTGATGGTACTTTTGTCCGATCTCATCTGAATACCATGGCAGGTCCAATCAATAGAATGCTATCAAGTGGCGGTGTGCCAGAACCGGGCTGAGAGTAGCGTTCGATTCTGCATTTTATGGGTTTTATCTCTGACTAAAAGGTGGAGCTGACGATAGACCCAATTTATGCGGGACGCTCTAGGTAAACGGTCTCTGTGTTATTTGCGGGATTCCCTGCTCCCCTATAAAACACGCCTGGGGCAAGGGAAATCCGGTAAGATATTTGATATCTGACTATTGTTTCTTTTTCTTCCCGCCAGTTGTTGAGAATTGCACTTGTCCGTTCCATCATGCGGTTTTACTCTGGCTCGGGAGCTACTGTTCCTCTTTCCGCGATTTCGCACAAGGAAGACACATTGCGGTCGTGGACGAAGCTTGGTTCAATTGTTCAAAAGGGCTGTGTGGACTTGGACGGAGAAACCCTCGATATCGCAAGCGTGGCTGCAGTTGCTCGGTATTCAATCATCAGCGTCTCCTTAAGAAAAAAAGAAAAAAAACATCATGTCTAGCGGATAGCTGACGACTTTGGAAAGGAATGGCTGTGGTGCCCAAGTATCCAATGAGCCCCGGGTAGCTGAAAAGGTTCTCGCGGGTGTCCAGACCCTGAGCGAGTACCTTGCCAAGGGGTACTCGATATACGGTCAGTTCCAAACAGCATCAGCGGTCATCGCCAGCAAACTAATCCATCTCTAGGAGTCAACACGGGCTTCGGGGGTAGCGCAGATACCCGCACAACAGACACCATGCGACTTCAACAGTCCCTTCTTCAGCTCACTCAAGCAGGCATCCTGACAAGCAACGACTGTAAACCCTCAGTGGGAGATTATAACCTGGGTTCTCACGCGATGCCAGTGTCATGGGTACGAGCCACCATGCTCGTGCGATGTAATCATCTCCTCAGAGGCCACTCCGGTGTGCGACTGGAGATTATCGAAGCAATGTTGAAGATGCTCCGAGAGGGTTTCACACCTATCATACCCCTGCGAGGCTCAATCTCTGCTTCGGGCGATCTGATGCCTCTTTCCTATCTGGTTGCGGTGCTGGAAGGGAATCCAGATATCAATGTTCACTGGCATTGCAAGCCAGAGGCTAAAGTGGTGTCAACAAGCACTGCTCTGGAGATGACTGGGATTAAACCCTTCGTGCTCGGACCGAAGGAAGGACTGGGTCTGGTAAATGGAGCAGCTGCCTCTGCAGCTGTTGCTTCTTTGGCGACGCATGAAGCGAGTCAACTTGTTCTTCTAGCCCAGTCACTCACTGTGATGACATGCGAGGCCATGATGGGGAATGCGGAGAACTATCACGAGTTTCCTGCACGGATCCGGCCCCATCCAGGCCAGATTGAAGTCGCGGCCAATATCCGCCATGGGCTTGAGGGTTCGAAACTCGCTGAAACTTCCGATAGAAAGGATCGCTTCCGGCCGGGCCTCATCCAAGATCGATATGCGTTGCGGGGGGCATCGCAGTGGCTCGGGCCCGTGGTCGAGGATCTTGGATTGGCTGTGCAACAAGTCACGATCGAGCTCAATTCGACGCAAGATAACCCGGTCATCGATTCAGAGACTCAGGAGGTATACTCTTGCTCCAATTTCCAGGCGGCGTCTGTCTCAGTGGCCATGGGAAAAGTACGCGAGGGCTTGCAAATGGTTGGGAAGCTTTTGTTCAGCTACTCGTCCGAGCTTATAAACCCCGATATGAGCAAGGGTTTGCCGCCCAACCTGGCGGCGGATAATCCAAGTCTGTCATTCACGATGAAGGGTGTCGATATCTCCATGGCTTCATACATGTCGGAACTTGGATTCTTGGCCAATTCGGTCACATCACATGTCCAGTCTGCTGAGATGCATAACCAGCCGATCAATTCCCTTGCGCTGATCTCTGCGCGCTATACTCTGCAGGCCGTTGAACTTGTTTCAATGATGAGTGCAGCTCTGCTGTACGTCGTTTGCCAAGCTCTTGATCTACGGTTGCTGAACGAGTCGTTCCTGAATGAACTGGACAGTTTGGTGCAGACGACGCTACCAGAGCTGTTGGTCTCAACCAACAAGGAGACCATGGCATTGCTCCAAACTGGTATCATCAAGGCAATCCGAGCATCATGGAAAGAATCCGCACGTGCAGACTCAGCAATTCGAATTCAAGAGTTATCTAATGCCATGGCCCCTGTCTTCCTGACACAAGCCAAAAAGCTGAACGTCGAAGACCCAATCGCCATGATCGAATGGGCGCAGAAGCGCATCTCGCAGGATGCACAGTCGCTATTTGAGAAGACACGCAGCCGGACAATGTCGGGTGAACTCAACGCTGAAGCATCGCTCGGGCCGGCTTCGAAATCTCTCTACTGCTTTGTGCGACGTGATCTGAACGTGCCGTTCCACTGTGGTCTTTTGGAGCATCCTACCATTGATAGCAAGACGCCAGATGTGCCGCAACGCCCGCGGAAGACCATCGGCTCGTGGATTTCCATCATCTACGAGGCTATTCGTGATGGGAGAATTCAGGCTCCTCTGAGTTAACTGACGATAACAGCCTTGCATCCTGCATGCATGATAGAGATTACATGGATCGGTCAAATTCTACGATTGGATGTATAAATGGAATCAAGATTAATTTTCCGCCGTATCTACCTGCTAAATTTCTAAATTATCCCAAGATGCACCTTGTATGAACAAAATATCCAGACCCAAAAATCCCAATCAGTGCCGTGCGCCCCATCCAATGGTGTGTATGTAGAACCCAAAAAGAAATTATAAAGAGCAAACAGTTCACGCAAGAAATCGACCTTACTTGATGACGAACTTTGGCTTGCGACACCTACTTCTCTGTTGAATGGCGGCATCGACTCGCCACAACATCGTTCCTGACATGATGCCCGGTCTAGGAAGTCCACGGAGGGCCCAGCCGGACGTTGTGCAGCGACCTCGCTCGTCGACGCGATATTGCATGCAGCCTGAAGAGCGGGCGCAGTGCTCGGCGCATTCGTACATGGAAGCTGGCGTCGACGGGCCCGAGTAGGAGGCGTGGTTGTCTCCATCGGGAGCATTATTATCCCAGTCATCGCTGAGGCTTGTGAGCATAGGACGGACGAAGTTGATGAAGAGATCCCCGTAGGTGAGGAAGGTTCGATTGGCCTGATTTTAGAAATGTGAGCAACCAGGACATGAATCAGTCCAAGCTAAGAAAAAAAAAAAATTTCAAATCTTACATTTGAGAACCACTCCTGATCAAATGTCCACATTTCCTCGACATCGGCTGGCGTCATATGGTGGAACGTGAAAGGTGGATAGCACCACTGCGGCATGCCGAAGCCCTCGCCGAGAGCATCCTGCTCCCAGACCGATTGGGTCGTGACATGGGGCCAGGACCAGGTCAATCCGATACCTGCTTGGGCGAGAGCCATGCCCAACACACAATCGCCGGCCCATTCGCGATCGGTGACCTCGTTCCATTCTTCCACGTGCTCGGTATAGAAATCAGCGACGGCATGTATTGCGGCATTGGAAATGACGAAGCCTGATCCGCCATGCGCAAAAGTAGTATCCCCGATCATCATCTGGTTCCCGAGATACAACTTTTCGTTGGAGTCGTAGTTCTCCAGCCAAGCCAGTAGATTCGGCCAGATCGGGTAAGTGTCGGCTTCGAGGAAGACATACCACTTGGCATCGGGCCGGTGGGCCCGAGCCTCTTGGATCATCGGCAAGAACTTCCACTTGTCAAGCTTCCAGCCCGGGTTGTCGCTCATCCCAAAAGCACTATTAGTCACTTTGGTATGATCCTCATCGAGCAGAGCGGCACGACCACCTTGGCGGGCGCGGTTATACAAAGCAAAATCGGTATTGGAGTAGAGCGATTGAGAGACGTTGCGGAAGACGTCCAGCGTTCGCAGGCCATCAATCTCCTCCTCAAAGTCCGATACGATTAACTTGTTCGGAATGCATCGAAGTGTCGTGCGGATATGCACTGGGAGTTTATGTTGCGCTTCTGTGATGCCCGTCTTGACCACGACGAGGATATCGTCCATGCCCGGCAGCGGGTGGCATGTCGAAGCTTTTTCGGCAGGCGCGGCTTCGGTAGCGGCAACAGTAGAAGTCGCTTCGGTTTCATTGACAGTCCCGAAAGAGGCCGGCTCGAGTATAACCTGTGTAGTATCGCCAAAGCCGGCGTTCAATTGCAAAAACAAAGTTATGAGAGCAAGTGGTATCAGGATGGGCACCCAGCGCCCATAGCGAGCGGGGAGGGTCGGCATCGTGCGGGGGAAGAGAATGGGAAATATGAAAGAATTAAACCCCCATTTCCGATGCTCAATATGGAATTGAAAAAGAATCAAGAATCGATCTGACAGATATGACAAGGTATGACAGGGTCGTCCAAGACCCTTTAAGTCTTGACGGCCCGTGGGGGGGGGGGCCTTGTTTCGGCCTGTCTAAGCTGATCTCTGGCGCGACTGCTCCCGCTACGCTCGGTTCAGTAATCAATGGGTCAATCCAGAAGATCCCGGTTTTTCTAGGGCGTTACTTGATTCTGGCACCGAAATCTCTTCGCGAATATGGGCTTTCCATGGACTGGAAGAATCGCAATTGCAACCGTCGGTGTCCTGGGTCCTGGTGTCCCGGAGTCTAGCTCCATCGATTTCTCCTGTCTTACGTAGACCACGCCACGAGGGCCCCCCTGGGATGTGGGGCTGGCGATCAGTAGTCGTCATGCTTTCTCGAGTAGCATTCAAGTCAGACTAGTGAGTGTAGTTAGTGTAGTTAGTGTAGTTAGTGTGATTTATTTTAGGTGCTTGGGTCTATTTCCGGCCGTGGAAAGCGTGGGGATACACTATTTTACTAGGTATACACATCGAGAGGTAGAGAGGCATCATTCTTCAAAGGCCTCAAACCCATGTGGCAGATATGGAACATCATAACAATTGATACGTTTTGAAAGACATCCCGGGATTTTTGAATTTTTGTTCATTCCAGAGAAATGTTCTCTTGCTTCGCCCGGTGACCAGACATAAGCCGCACATGGCATGCCATGCACAATCCTTGAAATTCGTTATCGCCAGAGTGATATTATCACTACCGTACAAAAACCCCGACCCTCTCGTGCACCTGCAAATATCACACCGAAAAAATGAAACAGAACTTTTGGGTTCATTCCATTTAAGCCTCGGTGGTGACACGGCCCTTGGGGTTGGTGACCTTGACACCGAGAGCCTTGGCCTTGGCGAGGATGTCGACGCGCTTGCGGGAGGAGACGGCGTGGCCGATCCTGTGATATTGTTAGTAGATGTTTCTCAGTGGTAGTTGCGCAGACACAACGTACTCAGCAGCGTAGGTGCGGTTGTGCATCAGGAGGAGCTCGACGTCCTTGGGGTTGTGGACGAGGAAAGCCTTGTGGCCGGAGGGCATCATGTGGCGGGTCTTCTTGTTGGATCCGTAACCGATCTAATTGTTGGTTCGTTAGCGATGGTCCCGCAGATTCTGCATGGGAGGGATGCGTACGGAGGGCATGGCAATCTGGCCCTTGAAGCGGCGGCGGACGCAGTTATCGATACCCTTGGGCTTGCGCCACGAGGCGCCGACGCGCATGAACCGATCACTCTGGTGGCGAGTGAAGCGGTTGGTGCCTGTAGGGGGTCATTGTCAGTCCTTGATTGGATATCCTAAGTCGTCGTCGTTTTTTTCTTTTTCATTTCGAGGTCCGTGAATAAAATCGCCCTTCAACCCAAAAGCGTGTGTCGCCCTGCTGAAAGTCCCCCGCGGTGATGTCAAATTCCTCCTCTGACTCTTTCTGGGCTCTTTATCTCGTTGACGGGTCGAAGGGCGATGCTATCCAGGTGGAAAACGGGGTCGGTCGGGGATCGGTAACATACGCTTCTTCACGATGGGGATGTGCTTCTTTGCGGCGACCATCTTGGGAAACCTGTCAGTATGCGAGTTGAGGACAGCGAAGGAAGAGTAACGGGACTCACTTTGGCGGTGTTGTAGGGTCTCGCCGGGCGTTCGAGAGTTGTCGAGTCGGATTGGAATCAATCTCGAAAACTTCACACTGGCGCGGACGAGTGGGCGGTCCACACTAGTGCGCTTCCAGCATTCTAAGCGAACAAGATATGCTTATGTCATCATAGGGCTCGAGTGGAGTGTGCCCTGCCAAGACTTCCTGTTTGGGATGCCGTAGTCTTGGTATACATGGAAGGACTCTGCTAAAGTATGGCTTTGATTCGATATTCTTGCTAGAAATGTATTTATACCTGCAGGTGAAGGCTCACTTTCTCTCCCTGTCGCTCACCGCTCTTGAGCATCTGCTCTAAAATCTCCAAGTCCGCCAATGCAGCCTCGGGTGACTGTCTCTTCTCAACCGGGCGTCCGTGAACAATGGCTGTGGCAAATTCAGCAACTTCAGGGCCAACTCCCCTGCCATCAAATTCAATGTGGTTCACCACACCATTGACGGTCACATCGTCATCTTTCAATGTCACGACGCCCTTCTCGCAGGCAAATTCAAAGGTGCTATCGCTGAATGGCGATCCCCAGGAGAGAGAAATGATTCCCGTAGCACCAGATCTAGTTTGAGCGACAGCGTCCACTGTATCAACCGGAGGAAGGTAGGCTTGCTGCAACTGGGACTGTGCAGACAAGGTGGTGATATGCTCTGAGCCCAAAATCAGACGAAGCCCAGCAGTCATATGCACTCCTCCATCCAGGAGAAAGCCGCCCTGATACTCCGGCACTTTACGCCAAGCAGTTTCTAGTCAGATGTAAGCATGTTTGCATCCAAGCATTTGGTGAGACATTTCAAAAAACATACGGTAGTACTTATTGTCCTCCTTGACCAAGTTCTGGACATTGACTCGGAAGTGCTTGACTTTGCCCATCTTTCGCACCTGCTCAGCCGCGAACAGATACTTGGTCGTGTACCGAAAGTTCTCGCCGACGGCCCAGAATGTTTTCTTCGTGTCAACATTGGCCCCGTACCACTTGAGGAGTCCTTGGGCAGTCGCAAGGTCCTTGGCGATGGGCTTTTCAGACAAGACATGCTTGCCAGCGAGAAGCGCCTTCTTGATGAATTCGGGTTGAACAAGGATGGGAAGACTATAGGCCGTTAGCTTGATCACTTTTCAGCCGTTTGAAATGCCATAATGTATGACGTACGCAATGATTACAGCGCCAATATCTGGACGAGACAGTAGATCGTCAAACGAGTTGCCAGCTCCAGCGTCCTCCGAATAGAGATCGATACTGGATGTGCCGTTTGCAAGAGTCTGTGCCGATTTAAGAGACCGCGAGTAGATGGCCTTGAGCTCAAAGTTCGGGGCCGCTTGAACAGCAGGCTATACAGCATGTCAGTCGGGTGCGAACTAACAGAGATCATTCTTTACATACAAGATGCTGCTCCTGGGCGAAGAGGCCTGTCGGTTGGTTATTTGGAAATGCTCATGACGTTGTAGATTAGGCACTTACCACTTCCGATGATTGCTACGCCGATAGACATGGTTCAGACGAGGCTCAAAAATGTACAACGAACTTCAGGAGAACTAGAAGACGAGAGATTCAAGATTGTTCAGGATTATTCACTCAGACGTCATGCAGGGACTAGCCTAGAGTGGTGGGGTTAACTGGGGAGTCTACTGGGAACCCGACGTGTCCACCCTCGCCGGGTCTGGGAAGGTCCAACCTACTCCCGAATCTCGGCATCCTCAACTCCACCATATCGGAGGTTCAAGGTGGAAAAGTTGTCCCAGTTCACGTTCCTCTCATACTCTTGTCACTGAAATGAATTTATTGGACCTGTTGATGACCTGCCAAGACATGGTCTCCTAGTTCCAAGATTTGGAGTCAAAAGTCTAGGCCTTTGTTGAATATGCAACACTTGCTGGACTGGCCTCAATCCAGCATATAACTCCTTTACATATGCATCAGTTGTGTACGAACATTGACATAAGTCATGAATGTCATGCCTCAGGCCATCAATATACCATTGGGTGTTCATGCATGACGCAAATTTCACAATGAGCTCCCGGGTGATCTGCATGCAGCTGGATATAAATGTACCTCGTGAATTGACTACATGGCTTTCTTACAGCAACTCTACGATATCTGGAAGCTCTTAGCTTCAAACATTCAAAGACACTGTTCTACTTCCCATGCAGGCGCTAATGTTAATTGCAAGCCGTGGGAAACACTTCTCCATTCCGGGAAACTGTTACCTGCTAATACGAAGCACAAGAAAAACAATCCAGCACAGGTGCCTAGCCCCCCCCATGTATATATCACGCCAATCAAATAAGCCACAACGCAAGCTGGGAATCGAAAAATCAAGGCCTGTCGAATCCAAGACGCCCACCCATATCCATCATGAAAGAGTCCAATCATAGCAGTCATAACGCAGCAAAACAAATCGACGCGACAAGGACCCTCAGTTATTAACCAGAGCCCGTAATCGATCCACACGGGCCATTGCCTGCTCCAGCCTCTCGAGCCGACTCCGCTTCTCGACATCCCGCCGCTCGAGCACCGCAACCCGTTCTTCCAATTTTGCGCGCGCCTTCCGCTCCTGCGCCACCATTTCGTTCGCCTGACTGAACAACTGAACCGTCAACTCCTCCAGCTCCGAGCTCGCCTGCGTGAGCTGCGTCTCGGCCGCCTTGCGCAGTCCCTGCTCGCGTGTCAACGCATCCTGCAGCTCGGAGGTATTGTCGCTGCTGGCTGGGGACGCCACCTGCGGGAGTGGGGTGATGGGCACGGTCGGGGTGGTCGGGACAGGCGCGCTGGTAGCGGCACTGCTGCGGCGGTAGGGAAGCAAGGAGGTGAGAGTTGCGAGGCGGCTCTGTTGCGCTTGCGGGGAGATATGCAACGGTGTCTCGGGGGACACGGGGGTCGGGACTCTGGTCGGTGAGAGGGCGCGGTCTGTGTGGGAGGATGTTGGTGGTTGGGAGGAGCTGCTCCGAGGTGAGGCGTAAGCGGCGTGTGCTGAGCGTAGTCGGTGGACTTCTTCTTCATAGTCGGCGAGTTTGCCGGCTGTTTGGCGTTAGTCAATCTGAATATGGGTCCGCTAGTCTAGTAAGGGTTCTTGATTGGGCTGAAAACGCCGTCTTTCTTTGCTATCTTTGTCGTGTTGTTTGGGTATGGAGATGCGCTTCAAGATCGAGGTATGGTGCACACTTACCAGTAAGCACTGCGCGCTCGTTTAACTCCTGGACTTGTCCCTGTAGCTCCAGGATCCGTTGCTGCACCTCGGAGGGATCATGGCAGTCACCACTGCCGCCACAGGCCGGACAGAGCTTGTTCGAGACATTCGTCATAGCAGTGGGTGATCCGACGAGAGTGGTGGTCGTGAGGGTGGTCGTAGCCGACATGACAACATGGGGAGATTACCCCGACTTTCAGAAGTGAGATCGAGTTGAGAGAAGGACGAGACAAGCACTTGAGGTGCAAAGCAGCCAGCAGATAAGCGGTCAGAATACCGTGGTCGTGAAACACGATTCATTTCCAGCGCCGGGCGAGTTTGTGAAGGGGTTCATCAACTCCATACCTGCGCCACCGGTTTATTTACCCAATGGGCTGGGCTGCCCAGCTCTGCGTGTCTCAGGCCCTGGAATCTTTTTTTCTTTAATTTTTTTTTTTTTAATTCTCATTCTGACATCGAGATTATGTTCATTACCATCATGGCTCCATATTGATCAGATTCACAAAGACCAGACTCTCACGTTCTCTAGTTCTAGCGTCAACATAACAAACCCCCGCCGTGGGAGCAGGCCCCCCCCCTTCCTCCTTCGGGTGACTGACATTCCAACAGACGTCAAATGCACCACAACTTTCACGCTCGTGGATCTTGGACTATTCCGAATTGGCATATGGCTGGGTCTTAGGGCCCTCCACGGCTATTTATACCACCCTTGCTGGAATTATTTCTTGACCAACTGTCTTTGAGGAAAGTATCCCCATACCCCCTTCAAGACACAAGAGTAAGATGAATCGACTACTGATATGCGGGGGAGGACATATGCAAAGTTCAGTAGTTTCCTCACGCCCTCTGTCCTTATTCTCCTTGTCCTAGCAAGGGGTAATTAGGTCCACGACGGGCCTGGCGCTAGCGTGTGTTCTCGACGCTGCGACTCCACAGCGGGAAACCGGTAGGGCACGTACCTTGTCCGGGGTGCATGCTCGTGGAAGCGCCGCGATGTCCTAGAATTTAATTGAGGCGCTCTGCTTTATCCTTGAAACTTGAACGATACTATCGTCCGTAACTTTGAGTCATCTCCCTACCTATTTTTCTTTTCCTGCCAGTTTTGGTCCAGTCACGAGCTCTAATGCTACGGCAAGCAAAATGTCTCTGTGCGAGAGCGATTATCTGTCAATGAAGACTGCATTTCAATCTAGAATAAGGACCAGAAGGGGTTAAATGGATAGTTACATCACTCCTCGGGCGAATGACATGACCGGCTTTAGAATCACGCGGCTTAGGGCACTGAGAGGAGAGGAAAAACGGAAGAGAACATAGAGATTCATTGTCATGTCATGACAGCTGCGTGATCATGTAAATTGCTCATGGTGACTACCTCGTCTCTCATAGACTCGTTCGTATTCGCATCGTTGACCGAGAGGAACCAAAGAGGACCGAGAATCGTGGACAAAGTATTATGACTCCACGCTCCCAGGCCCACAAAAATCCCAAGCACAATAGGTAAGAGGACAAAAGAAGATCACCTAAAGACGATCAGAAAGACAGAGGAAATTAAAGGAAAGGAGAAACGGGTAATCTTCATTTCGCATCGGCTGTAATGATCATGGTCAAATCACTGTAATCACGCATGGGAATAGGAGCTAGATAGCAACGAGGAAGACATAAGATAAACCGCGGAAAGAAACTTTTCAGACTGTCAAATCATCAGGAGCGAGGACTAGATGTAAATCGAAAAATCTAGCTCGAGGGGAAGGAGGAAAGATCATCAGAACAGAGACAAAAGAGGAGTGAAAGTTGAGAAAGAGGTCGGATAGGACAAACACCACCTTCCGTACTCAGCGTGCAATGCAAATACAGGGAGGGCATGGTCCTAGGGTGACACCAGAAGAAAGACTGTGAGTTCCAAAAGGCGTGTGCCGGGGATCAATGGGCGAGATGCATCCTCGAGTTCATTGGCATATCAGAGGCTGTGGTTCGGGTGAAAATTGTGGTGCTTGGAGGGTATCGAGAGATCTATGCACGACCAGCCTGGCCACGACGGTTGCTGCGCTGCTTCGTGCCAACGGTGCTCCATCCATCTTCATCTTCAGCGGGAGCGGGAGCGGCAGCGGAAGGCTCAGCGGCCCTCCAGTTGCCGTTGGCGGACTCCTTGGGAGCCTCTTCGGTAACTGGGCAGCGGCAGGAGTCTTCTCAGCGGCTTCCTCATCAGTAGGCATGGTCTCTTCACCATCAGCCCGTCGCAGAATCTCGAAGTTCTTGGCCCCCTGGGGAGTGTCGACGCCGTCCTTGTTGGAATCGGTGCCAGGGGTCTTGGCCTTGGCCTTCTCCGCCTTCTCAGACTTGGCCTTCTCATCGCTCTCCTTCTTCTGGCGAATAGCAAGCTGGCGCTTTTGCTCAACCTCGCGCTCACGAGCAGCAGTGTCGATCGGACGAGCGGCACCGAAGGGGCTAGCCTTGGAGTCACCGCCGGAAGTGGTCCCGGTGGGTGCATCGGCAACAGTGCGCTTAGCCAGGTTCAGCTTGGGACGAGTAGCGGGAGTAGCGGCAGGATCAGTGTTGTTGGTCTCATTGGCCTGGTCAGGGCGCATTCTAGCGCGCCACTGGTTGTCCATATCAGCAGCGGTAGGGGCGGGAGGAGCGCGCTCCGGGCGCGGGGACGAGATCCTTCATCTTGCGAACGACCCTCACCCCAGGCCGGGGAGGCTCTCCGGAAACCAGAGGAGCCAGGGCCATCATTGTCGCGAGGACGACCACCCTCACGAGCGGGGCCAGCGGAAGGGGAAAGAGGGCCCTTACGCTCCCAGTTGCCAAAGTCACGGAACTTGCCGTCACTCTCGAAGTTGCTGCGACGGCCACCACGGTCGCTGCCAGCATCAGAAGCAGCATCCATGTTGCGGCCAAAGCTGGAACGCTCAGGCATGCGGCGCTCAGGCGGGCCGGGGAGGGGACCGCGGCGGGTCCAGTCGACATCACGGGCTTCAAAGCGAGACTCCTTGGCTGTACAAAATCAATTAGATGATGGGGTTGACAGACAGATTCACGGGGACTCACGAGGCTCTGCGACGCTAGTACGGATGGTACGTCCCTGGAGCGAAGTACCAGACAGATCCAGGGCCTTCTGCAGACCCTCAACCGTCTCGAACTCAACGTAGCCGAAGCCCTTCGGGGCCTTGGTCAACTTGTCTTCCACAATTCGAACGTTTGTGACACCACATCCGGAGAAGAGATCGGAAATATCATCTGCAGTAGCTTCGAATGACAGGTTGCCGACGTGACAGGTGAAGGGAGGCTCGGTGGGAAGGTCGAGGGGCTCGCGGACGGCGTAACCACCGCGCTCAACACGGTCTAAATCACAGATGTCAGATATTGTCTTCCACACAGAAGCCATGTCATTCTTCGGGTTTTGAGTATCACCATACCGGAGAAACCACCACTGCCACCGAAGCCCATGCCGCCGGAGGGGCGGCTAGCACCAAAGCTGGAGGTTGCGGGAGCTGTTCAGCATCAGTCAAATTGTTCCAGACTCGAACTCGGAGAGCACGAGTCGTGTTCAGCGCGAAGAACATACCGGCTACAGAGATTGTCAGCCATGATCAACATGCGTAGCGGGGATTCCTTTGACTTACATGGGAGGGGCATATCCTCCATCTCGTCAGCCCAAGAGCCAAGGCCTTTTCGCAGTTAGTATCGAGATCATTCTGAAGCCTATAGATGTCTGCGACAACTCACTCTCATCAGCCAAGAAGTTCCCGAGGGACATCTTCTGGGCCTTAGACTTAGCGGGCGCTGGTGGGGGAAACTCGTCAGCTGTGCTCAACCACCACGAATGCGCCGAAAAGCAAGAAGTCACTGCTTCCAGCAGCACTCGACTAGAGAAAGAGAAGGCAATGACGAACCCATGATTGCGGTTAAAAGTAGTCAAGAAACGCGCGAGCGGAGTCTTGCGCGCTTCTCACACAGACGGGTTTGAAGAGAGGATAGAGGAGGAAAAAAATTCGGAGACACCCGGTAAAAAGGCCAGGAGTCGGTGTAGGTGGAAGAAAAGGATCAGAAGGATGTTCTGGTCAAGAGTCAGGATAACAGTCCACCGTGGAAAAGTTGGTTAGAGGGGAAGTCGGCAATCGGGACTGCACCAAGCGGCCTTAGTTAATCCGTGATAATTTTTAGTTGAGTGCGCTAGTCCAATCAGAGCCTCTCCCCTTGTATATTCACTTTCCCCCAATCTTTCACCTCTTTTCTACCTTTTCTCGGCTTCGTTTTCGAAGGCGAATTGATATCGAGGCTCTTTTTTCGAGATGAGTTCTGAGCGCTAAGTTCACTTAGGCCTCTTCATGATTTCGAAGTGAGCCATTCTCCTGGTGTTTTGCAACCTTCGGATTTCGTTGCCTTTTTAGTTTGATATTTTAGCTACTACCAATTGGGAGAACCTTTTTAAGGTCTCAATATTACCGAACCATCGGTCATCTAATCTGATAGTTGTGGTTCGCATTCATGCATTTCTGCTGCGTATACTGGCTTGAGAGGATCTTGTACCATCTTGATTCAATAACTTTCCTGCCCTTCCGAGATTGTGGGCTTTCTCTTTCCAATTGCATGATACGTTGGATTTGGTGCTCTAGACGTGGGAAAACTGAGTTTGTGCGATCTTTCTAGCCACACAGGCAAATCGTGACTTGGGGCCTACCTGGCCCCTGCTCAATATATGTTAAGGAATCCTCAGGGCAAAGTACCTACACGAATGTAATAATTGGACCCCGTGACCTTGAAACAATCCCGAGCAGCAATAGAGAATGCTTCTCATGCCTACTTCAGACCACGAAACAAAAAAAAACCTTGAAGAGAATAATAACTATTTCATCCACGGCCATCTCGAGATCATTACATAAACAGTCACATGACCGGTGTCTGCCATCAATCGCTTCGACTCTTCACTCTTGATTAAAGCAATGCTCACGCGTCCCTCAGACCATTAGCAAAATGAGCGGTCAGGAAAGCTCCGGCAATAGTGCCGGAAGCTTCCTCGAGGACTCTTTCTGGGCTTCGGCTAAAGTGGGAGGCCTGACTGGTTAGTCGGCTCTTCTCCAGGCTGAGGTCACCTTCGCGAACGCCATCTCTAATCAGGTTCACAGGAGCTGCGGGTATCATCTACGGAGGAGCTGCTGGTGTCATCAGATCTCGCCATCCACTGGTGCATTCACTGGCCCATGGTATTCACTGGACTGTAGCCGGTTCGGCCTTTTGGTGTATGTCCAATAGGCCACCCTTTTGTGCTTTTGGCACAAGAAACTAATTGTGCATTGAATCTAGTTTTACGAAGTAGTATCGATCATATTTATTTCAATGATCAAGCCTCACCTCAAGAGCGGGCATATGTCAGTGCCCTCTCCGGTGGTATTTCCGGTGCAGTGGTAACCAGGATCATGGGTACTGTTCCTTCCTGAACCATTCCCAATACAGAGTACTCACTTTATGCATAGGAGGCCGTCCACTGCCTGGTCTCATCATATTCTCATTACTTGGCTACTGCGGTCAAAGTGCCTTCAACAGAGTTGATAGATGGCAGATGGAAAAGGCCCAGAACCCGGGAAAGCCGATTCTCCAGCGGATGGCTGAATCCAAATGGATTCCGCTTCGGCATCTGTCAGACGAGGACTACCGGGACATTCTAGGCGAGAAGCTACTGAGCATTGAGGCTGAAATTGCTCTCTTGGACGAGAAGATCCAGGAGCTAGAGAAGACCCGGCCCGCGCCGAAGACTTCTGACCCCGACACCCCTGTCAAATAATGGAGGGTTCGAAACCCTACCCACCATGGCCCTAGTGCTACGCTGCCTCTCGACAAGTTGAGTAATTGGATGCCTAGGCAGTGCACGGACAGTGTCGTGCATAGAGCTTTTTTGACCCCAGTGTGTCAGACTGCGCCTTAACAGGACCACCTAACGTGCACATGTGCACACGTGCACATGTCAACGAGGCCAAATTTTGTACAATTCGTGATACCAAGTGTAATATTATCATCTCTCCTGATTTCCCATACCGTCATTCTGTCAATCTACTCCACCGAATTATTTGCATAAATATAGGGGGTCGAATCAGGGAGCGCCGATCGTAGTCAAGAGAAAAGCTGGCCCCACGTCGGCTCTGCACCGTGAGTTCATCAGGAGGTTCTCTACCCCGAGGGCCTTTGCACACAAAACAGGGCAGGGAAATGGACAATTCAGCGAGCGAAAAGCCAAATGAAAGGGAGCCAGATACCTGAAGAACCCCAAGAAAGTTGACGGCGTACAAAAGATAAGAACGTAGTGACGAATGCCGAGAAAAGCCGGAGGGAGATTAGCGTTCCGCTGGTGATTCTCCGGCGCGTCCGAACCATGAATCTGTCTTTCTCCAAACTCCACGTCGTGAACTTGGCAGCTCCGACATGCTTCAGCTGCACCCTGTCATTCCCTCCGGTGTGTGCGGCTCTAGCTTTTGATATTGCGACTACCGGATTTTGTGGATTTTGTCCACGTCAACAGTTCGCTTTCCCCCCTCCCCCCTCAAAGGTCAAAAGTTGGGATCGACAGTGGAAAGCTTACTCAGTGAACGGAAACAATTGATTTCGATCGTGTGACACTCGATGTCTTGTGAGGTGCTGCTTATTTCAGCTCGACAGATCAGCCTCTGCTGATCGCGACCCGCGATGACCCTTTTCAATCCGACCTCCATTCTCGTGGGATTCCTCCTGCTCTACCTCTCGTCTTTCTTCGTCTTCGCTATCGTTCGCATTGCAACCGGAATATCGATCCAGCGCATCGGATACTTCTCCCTCCGCCGCATCGCTTATACCCCGAAGGAAGGCCTACACATTGAAATCCGCGGTCTCGGGTTCTCGTTACATCCCCCATCCTTTGCGCAGCCGACATGGATCAGTGTTCGGTTGACGGATTTGAAGGTGACGCTAGATACGGCCACGCTGTCTAAGGGAAAGCCTGAGCCATCTCGAGATTTGCTGGGATCACCAGTTTCGAGCAGCCCTTCCCCGAAGACACAGCAGCCTTTGATTCGTCCACCCCGCGGAGCAAAACATGGAGGACCCTGACCCGGATAAAGGAGCGTCTCAAGCGTCTCCACAGACAAATTAATTGGCTTGCTCTAGTCGACCTCAACGCCGTCAATACCACCGTCGCCTTCTCCGATGCCGGTCAGATTCAAGTTGGGTCACTCTCGCTAACCGTGGACACCCGAAGTAAGATGGTGGAACGTGGCAAGCTCTTCCGTCGCAAGAAGGATATGTCTCGTGAACAGCGTCCGGCTGAATGGATCATGAATGTACAAAATGTCCTTCTTGCCGTTGACGGCCGCGACCCGATTGAGATTCTGGATAACGTTGGGGGTGAATCTCCATGGATTGCTATACAAGGATCTTGAAGGACTTCGCGATGCCTCGGTGGCTCTCAAAATTGGACGACTACACGTGCCATACGATGATATCCGATTGCTGATGCAACGCATCAAGTCGTCTCAGAAGGCAACAGAAAAGGGATCCACGAACAACGAGACGGACGACGTGATGTCCTTCGCGGACTTTGTGGAGGAACTGGACAAGCCTGGCAGTCGCAATGATAAAATCGTTCAGACGGTGGCAGATTCAAAGGAGTTTGCAAGCTCTCTTCTTCGTGGTATCCAGGAGATCCAGGTAGCTTTGAGCTTCTTTCGTCTCTCCCGTGGTCTCGAATCCCTTTCCGCTGGCCGAAATCCCGTTTATTTTAACGTCGTTTCACACGAGATTGGTGTCGATCTTCACCGAATGGATCAGAAGGGCCCGGAGCATCGCATGTACTTCCAGCGAAATGACGTTGCTCACCAAGCACTGCTCGCCGCCATCTCCCTTTCTGTCAGCTTGGACGACGACTCCGGAGAGACCGACAACATACTTTACATACCTATGGCCACAACGACCATCAAAACCACACTTCCGGCGAAGACCGTGAGCGCTTTCGAAGAAGCAAATGCAGAAGAGCGCAACTCCAATGTCTTCTTCGCTAATCTCGTCATTACATCACCTTCTCTCGACATGCAGCCCCAGCATGTCTCTCGACTCTTGAAACTGGCACAGACGCGGGCGTCTCATCCTAGGTCGAAGAAGCGGGACAACCACAATCTGATCTCACGTTTGCTGCCAAAGGCAAGCATTAAGCTGTCTGTCCATGAACCGGTTCTTCGATTTGTCTTGCCTATCGAGAAAGACGCTGGCAAATCTGATGACTACAATCTCCTGATCTCTTCCATCTCTTCGATTTCACTTGACATCGAATCCTCTCACTCTTCTGATGGAGGTGCACACTATTCTCTCTCGGCTGTTTATCGAGTGGCGTCCCACAAATTCTATTACCAGACACCCGCGGGTAACAAGCACAATCTGCTGACAACTGAAAACATGGAGCTCAAAGCTCATCTCAATGCGAGCCCGGAATTGTGTGTCATTGCCTCGGGCAGCTTGAACGAGTGCTCAGTACACATGATCAATGGTGATGTCAATCGAGGAATTCGCCAAGTCCTTGAACAATTTCGAACGCATCTGCAGCCGCAAAAGCGGGCTGCAATGCCATTTGAACGCAAGATGAGCCCCTTGCGGCGAATTCCGTCATGGCTACTTCAATTTACATTCGAGTCCACAGGCTTTAGTTTGGAAGTCGCTGGTGTCGACAATTCGGTCTCCGAAATCTCCCGCGGCGTTTCTCTGCAACTGCAATCTTGGACAGCCGAATACAAAGCCCAAAAAACCGAGCACGCTACTGGTAGCATCGCCCGGCGACGTACATCCAGCCATTCCACAATTGGCGACGAGTCACCATTTAGATTCACGCCAACGTCACCTCCGAGAAAAACACAGCGCGGCGCCACAGACGGTCGACGTCTGGCATTCCATGTGCGTGGGTTTGACGGATTCGTCATCGAATCGGATGATTACCTTGAGTCTGAGCCGTTCTTCTCCCTTCCTCGCTTTGAAATCGCATTGAGCACTCAGAGCGATCGAATGGGACCAGTCCTTCATATAACTTCCACTTTCAAGGGTATTTATCTTCAATACTCGTTCTATCGATTCTATTGTTTGGGCGTTGCGATTTCGGTGATTCAAGATGTCCTTACGCCTTCGCCCCAGCATGTCTCGCAGTCTACACCGAAATCCAGAGGCCCCCCGAGCATATCGATGCCTCCACCGCCGCTATCATCTCCCTCTCAAAAGGGGGAGCTGATCACTGCCGATATCAAGGCGACAGTCGTCCAACTCAAGGCCTACCTACCCAATGACCCTCCCATGATGCTCCAGATTTATGGATTAGCTGGTAGCTCCCATCGCCTTTCCACCCCTCACATGAAAGCAAACCTTGTCCGTCTACATGCCGAGGCGCCCAAGCTCAAGGGTGTATGGGCAAGAATCGGAAGCATGAACAATGTAAGGCTTGATTTCCGCAGGATGAAAATGAAGCAGTCCGGCCTATTCACTGAGGAGAGATCCATTGATGTGACAGCTGACTTCATTCGGCTGGGTGTTCCTCACCACATGGTAATGCACCGCATCTTCGATAATTTGATCAACACGTCCAAGGCCTTCAAACAGTTGCACCACCGCTTCAAGAAACGGTGCAGAGATTTCGGATCCGTCCGAGAGCCTGAGGGACCAAAAAATGTGCCCAGAATTTCACTTCGCAGCAAAGCTCTCCTCTTCGACATGGAAGACGATGCTTTCGAATGGAAGCTGGGCCTCATCTATCGGACCGGCTTGATTGAGCAATCCCAGCGCATTGCTCGTGAAGAGGCGTTTTCACTGAAAGCATCAAAGATCAGGGAGTCGGATCAAAAGCGTTCTGCATCAAGACTGCGTGCTAGATCAAGTCACCGAACTCTGCGCAGTGAACGAACGAGCCAAGACACCCGGAGAAGCAGAAGTGCCGATTCGCGACCAAAAGAGGAAAAGCAGCCTCCGCAAAACCATCATGGCCGGGGTCGAAAGTTCCGATATGACACGGAAGGTGCGACCTGCCTGTCTTCAGAATACAAAATTTCCACCGAGACGGCATGGAACCGACTGCAACACCACAACAGTCAGGTTTGGAAGGAGAAGATTGATGCCGCACTTAAGTTCCAGGGAACATCCATCAAGGAGGTGCGCAACCTGTTTTCTGGTGCCGATGAGCCACCCGACGACGCGAAAGAGACGGAGACCATTCTTGCTCTTCCAAATAGACCAGGTCTGATGTCAGTCCTCATCAGTGATCTGAATCTTATTATCGACAAGCCTTCGTTCCCCATTGACGAGCTACCCACATTCCTCAACCACATCGGGAAGGGAATGCCCTTGGATATGAAGTATGGTTTGCTTATTCCGATGAGTTTCAATCTCGAAATGGGCGAAGCCCGAGTAAATCTAAGAGATTATCCTCTGGAACTGCTGCATGTTCCAGCCCTGCGACCTGGACAGTCTCCAAGACTCCCTAGCTGGTCATTACGGACAAACTTTGTCATCGCCGAAGAATTTCGAGACCACGAATCCGCAAGACAAGTGGAAGTGGAACTTGTGCCTTCAGCTGAATTACCAGATAAGTCAAAGACCGATCCTTTCTACATCAAGGTCTGGCGCTCCGTGTCACCGGTCAAGACGTATTCGGATCCCACAATTGAGATCAATACAAGCCTTCCAACGAGTATCTCATGGGGTGTCTCATACCAGCCAGTCATTCAAGACATGATGAAGATCATCGAGGGTTTCACCAAACCAGAAATCGACCCTTCTGAGCGGGTAGGCTTCTGGGATAAGATCCGTCTAAGTTTCCACTCCCGAATCAGGGTTCTTTGGAAGGAGGACGGCGACGTACATCTGCGCCTGAAGGGTTCACGCGATCCATACGTTGTGACAGGATTCGGAAGCGGCTTTGTGATGTGTTGGCGGAGAGATGTCAAATGGGAAATCCATACCAGCGATGACCCTATGGAGTTCATGAGTGTCACCAGTGGCGAGTATGTACTCGCAATACCTGACTACAGCGCAGAAGCTAGATGGGCCAACGAATCGACGTCGGCGGAAGATCTGGACAATAGTTCAGCATCCAGCGAGCAGAAGAATGCGGCTCATTTCAAGAAGGTTATCATGAAGCTTTCAGGTGACGTGAAGTGGTCAACTGGATTGGTCTTTGAACGTGATTTTGATGACGATTCACGGTCCTTCTCATTTCGACCACACTACGATGTCGTTCTTAAAAACCCCAAGTACGTCAACATTGAGAAGCGCAAGAATTACGATGCGTTCCGTGGTTTCCGCAGTGACCATATTCACCTGTCTGTTTCGATCGTTGCGCCTCAATTCCGGAATTGGACTGTCGATGATGTCCAAAAATCGTCAAGCTACAACACCATCCACCTTACTCCTCGCTTCTTCACCCACTTTTTCAACTGGTGGTCCCTCTTCTCCGGCGTTATGTCTCTCCCTGTTCGCCAGGGTCCATTGTTCCCTGGTATCACAAAGACAAGCAAAAAGTTCAATCGACATTTGGCAACTGTCAAATACAAGATCCTGCTTGCCCCTCTGTTTGTGGCCCACATGTACAAGCACAAAGACCGCGAGGACTATTCCGAGAATGCTGTGACTGCTACTGGCCTCAAGGTTCGCCTAGACTCCTTGAAGCTTGACATTCATCAGCGACGTGAAATAATCAAGACCCACACTCGTGGCCGCACAAAGCAAACCCAGACAACTGCGATGCGCATGAATGAGGCTCTGATTGATTTGCAATCTGCCGATTTCCGGGCCGTCTCCGCCACTATTGAAGGCACCTCTGCTGACGATATTGAGAAGAATAGCGATGATATTATCTCCACTTTCCAGAATCCGCTGCCATCTGTTGATCTCTCCCGGTTCACAATCCCGGATCAGAATTTGGATTGGATTGACATGGATGATTTCGTGGAACCTGACTGGATTCTTCCTCAAGAATCAAATCCAAAGACCCAAATTCTGCCTCTTGCTTTCACACCGCGTTTCACCTACTTCCGTCAAACAGACCACGGTGATATAGAGCCGGGGCAGACTGGCTACAGTACCTTTGGGCACGAGCCAACCCACGAATGCGTCATGTCAGAGACCAACGATCCTCGCCGCGTACAGATTGAACTGACCAAGGACCGCCTTGCAATCATTGAGGGCCAAATCCGCAACTATGAGCGAATCATTGGCGAGCAAAAGTTGAAGCTGACAATGGATGTTGACCATGATCCGGCATTGAAAGAACAACATGAGGTCTACCTCCGTCAAATGGAATCCCTGACGAGGCGACGAAAATTCTTGAGCTCTACTCTCAGCCGACTCGAGAGACATTTGGCGCGCGATGAGCGAACTCCACGGACCAACAATCTGGGCGATAACCCGGCTCCTAGCAATGCTTCGTCTCGGACGGGCTTGACGGGCATGGATGGGGAGGATGGTCGAGCTTCCGGAATTGACGGTCTATATTCCTCAGCCGCCGATGACTTTTCAAGCGACTTCAACAATCGTTTCATGATCCACAATGTTCAATTGAAGTGGAACAACTCACTTCGAAACATCATTTTGCGGTATAGCCATCAGGTCAGCCAGCGGCGTGGTTTCGTCTACTACATGTCTCGACGCGCGGTTAAGTTCATTCTCGACATCGTAGACGAGCAGAACAAGATTAAGCGAAAGCACCGCAAGATGTCCAAGACCCAGACTCGCAGTGACAACGATGAAGAGAATGTGGATGACCGTATCGAGCAGCTGCTCAACGACGCCAAGCGCTATGTGAATGCGGATGAGAACGAGCCCTCAGACTCGAATACTCAGACGCCCGAAAACTCGGACGGTTCCAGCGAGAACATCGCGTCAGAATTCACGCCGCAGAATAGCTACTACCTCCGACTCATTGCACCTCAAATCCAGTTCATGAGCGAGAAAAACCGCAGATCCGTCTTACTGGTGGCTGCCAAGGGTATGGAGCTCAAGGTTGTCTCCATTATGGACAAGGAGCGTGTCTCGGACGATGTTAGCGGCTTGGTGCAGCGTCGATTCTCTCTCGAAATGGATGGTGCCCAATTCTTTGTCGCAACGCAGAAAAATCTCATGGCCAACCTACAATTATATGCTGGCAACAAGTACGGCAATGCACCGGGATCCGCGTGGCCTCCTTGGTTGAATCTGGAGGCCATGTTCGACTTTGAGCTCAATCCTTTTGGCTTCTCTCGCATCGTGCAGAAGACCTCCGCCAGTCTCCGTTATGACAAGTATAACAATCTTCGATTGAAATACAACGAGGAAGTCGCCAAGGGCCACCAGGGGCCACACCCGGGCGAGGAATCTCGTATGGATCAGATCAGTGTCGACTTCCCCCACTTCCGAGCCATTTGCGACTCGGCAGAGTACTATTCCATGTACATCATTGTCTTGGACCTTCTACTTTACAGCGAACCACTCGAAAAGATCCGGAACGAACGCCTCGAGAAGATAATGCTCACTTCCGACTTCAGCGACCTTCGCGGTGCTCCAGAAGCCGTGTTTAAGCTTCAATCGCGCATCCGTCAGCTTGAAGAGATCAAGGATTACTTCCAGATCAATGCCAAATACCTGGACAAGCGGGGCTGGGAGGACCGGTTGGTTCTCGAGCGCGATCTCTCTCAATGCGAGGATGAGTTGTTCTTCATGATGAAGGCGATCACTACTTCCCAGCGTCGTGCTGACCCCAGCTCGTCCACGAATGGGGTGTTGCGCTGGAGCATTTCTGCGAGCGAAGTTGTTTGGCATTTGATGAAGGAAGCATCGGCGCCATTGGTTGAGTTCCAACTCAAGAATGCTCAGTATGAACGTAGAGATAATACTGATGGCTCCAATCACAACTTTGTAGCCATTGAACGTATCAATGGCTTGAACTTGCTTCCAGAGGCTATATACCCTCAGATCATCTCGCCGTATGAAGAGCAGCGAGCTTTGGACGACTTCATGCTTCGAGTAAAGTGGCACATGCTCGAAGCTGTGGCTGGAATTCCTGTCGTTGACAACTTTGAGGTGTCATTGTTCCCACTTAAGATCCAGCTCGAACGTGAGCTTGGCCAAAGGCTCTTCGAGTACATCTTCCCGAACATGGGCTCCGGCGCATTCGAAAGTGGCGGCTTCTCGCCTTTCATGATCAAGAACATGAAGCCGCTCGAGGATGGTGGCGATGGCGAAGACAGTGATGATGATGGCTCGAACAACCCGTCACTGGCTCAGTCCATCACTACTGATGATGACAGTGTGTTGATGGATGACATGCAAGGGTCCAAGGGTCCGGCCTCCATCGAGTTGAGACTGCAGCCAACTTTGTCCCTCTCTGAAGAGGGCAGGTCTAGTCGACGCCCGAGTCAGCTCAGGGGCCTTGCCATGACGCCCATCCAGAGAAGTAATACTGCTCTATTGGGGGTCTCGGACAGCACTCGACAACTACCCCGTCCAGCAACCACCGGTGGTCTCTCGAAAAAGAAATCCGCAGACAGTCTACGCATGCTGGGAAGGCAGCCTACCGAAAGATCTTTGTCTGCCCACAGTACAAGTGCTGGTGAAGAAAAGAAGAAGTTTAGCCTAGGCAAGGGCTCCCGACACACCAAATCCAAGGAACCTACAGACGACCTTTCACAGATGATGTCCCGTGCCTCCAACTACATGACTTTGGCACGGGTCAAGGTACATGACGTGGTTCTGTGCATGAGCTACAAGGGCAAAGGTGAACACAATTTGGAAGACCTTCACAACTTCGTCTTCCGCCTGCCAGTCCTCGAATACAGCAATAAGACATGGTCAAACCTGGATCTTGCTCTGCGCCTCAAAAAGGATGTGATCAAAGCCCTCATCTCCCACGCACCTGCCATTCTCGGCAACAAATTTTCGCACCACCGTCCTACCAAGCAACAACAGAGGAAGTTCCGCGAGCTTGCATCGTCGTCGCAACTCCTTCCCAACGCCAACAGCATTCCGAATCCCCAGCAGAGCCAGGCTTCCATTTTGACAGGTTTCGACTCTAACAGCGAGTACTCGCCGTCGCCTTCACGAAAGTCATTACAGTCGGACGCTTCACCGTTGGCGAGATCAACGTCTCTGAACTCGGATACACGTGACGAACCTGATCCGGACCCTCGTGGCGACTCTCGATCCGCCAGTGAAGTGGACGTGGATTCTCGATGGGAGGAGTCACGCCGATTTGTCAATACCAATGCTCCCCGACCCATGACTTCCGGCCAATCCGTGACGTCGGTCCAAGCTAATGGGGCTGAACAAGATGACAGGTAAACATGATCTACTCTCCTCAGCATTCATCAGCATCGAAGCTAACATTCCCTTTCAGTAACAAAAGGACCATCCGCAGCTTCGGCCGGAGATTAATGTCTCGAAAGTGATCACCGCCCACCAATTCCCAAAACCATCTACCTCATTTTAATCTTTTTATCCTCAATCGGGTTTGAAGAACCCCCCTCTGTGACCTCCACCCCCGGGTCACGTCCTCTGTAAAGCACCTTTTGTTTGCGATTTGTCTCCAGGCCCCGTGACTTCTCCAAGATACCCTCTATGTGCCAGCGGGTCCGTAAATAGGCGTTGAAATCTGACTTTGTTACTTGTGCTCGGGTCTTGGGAAGGTGGAGAAAGAGGACATTGTATTTCGGTTGGGTCTGCATACAAAGAGGGAGTGGCGGCCTTTTTTTCTCCTGATTTATTACATCTTTCAAATATCTTTTTTTCACCGTCTTGACGGAGTATGAAAAATTCTGCTTACCCCGTAATGAACGCCGTAAGATGTCTGTCCAGACTTTACAAGTGATGGGACTGCAAAACGGATCGCTCGGTCCGGCTGTTGGTCTCGGCCTCTCGACCCGTATGCCCAGATATAGTCGGAGACTTTGGGGCCGACTCCGCCGAGAGTACACACAACCCTTGAGCATGCCGGCCCTTGCCGTTATCCGCTGAGTCAGGTGTGATGCCATTGCCAGATCCCATTTCATTCCCAGCGGCTGTACTTCCCTGCTGAACTATACGATGAATCGTGTTGTCGTAGACCAGAATGGAGGAATCACTCCCTACGAACTTCGACTGCTTTGATAGCCACCTCCATTCTTATCAGCACCTGTGAGATGATGGCCGTGCGGTGGTCACACGTCATCGAGCATTGGTTGTCCAAGTCAATATAACATGGGCTGAGGACGAGTACATGGATCTGCGCGCCTCCAGAAAGCCTCGGGTCATCTTCAGCTTTGGCGATGATCGGTAACTTGTTTATCCGCTTATTCATCCACGAAAAGTCATCTCAGAGCTGACGACGGTTATGCGCATAAACCCAAAGTCGCTAGATCGGGTGACTAGATCGGGTGGTCGGCAACGATTCTTTGGCTGGAATCGGCGACCGAGTTGCTTCGGAGTTCCACGTCTTTCAATCCCGATTTCCTGGTTGAATCATGTACCGAATTAACCGTTGCACTTGCCTATTTGGGAGAAAGGGGATCAAGCGTTCATGCTTCATCCAAGGACACTTTTGAGTTGAGTCGGAACTGCGTTATCATACAATATGCGCCTTTCCGTGTTGGACTTTGCCAATACCTGTGTGGCATGCCAAGTTATCAGTGCCGGATCTAATAGGCAGTGCACATTTGGTCCGGCCATCTGAGCACCCTTTTGGCATCATTGCGTCTCCTTGAAACAAGAGCTGGGGCCGAGATATTACCAAGGAATCAAGTCACTACCTAAGATCATTGGGACTATAGAGTGAATCAACAGAGCCGGGGAAAGGGGGAAATAAACAACCACAAAGAATCAAGTTGAGGCAGGATGACATCACGAGGTTCACCTTACGTCAGGTACCTGACCACGCCCACATTTGTAAGGGCACTGATATACCGGTGCACCCCATCGTTTCCGGCATTAGCCAAAAAAAAACTAGTTCAGTAGTCCCTGATCGTCTCGCTCTTCTTTAATCCTTTAATTTTCTGGACTCCCATTCCACTAGTTGCCTTTGACTTGTCAGACCCGTCATGTCCTGAAATCCCTCACCGGAACTGCGCCTAGATCTTTCAAACCCTCGAACTGGACCCTGCTCCTCTGAGATTTTCCCCCACAAGTCGCCTTGCCCATCCCGATGGAAGAAGGAACCGGCCCTCTGCCCTCCGAGCCCCCTCCGCTCCCGTACTCGCTGCGCACGCGAAAGAAGGCCATCGCGATCTTTTGGACCATCTTCGTTATCGATACGATGGGCCAGCCCCTGATCTTGTACTGGACGCTATGGTACCTCACCGATCTATCGCACAACTTGGGTATGCCCTGACCACATCTTCACCGTGGGTTCATACGTTCAATTGCTGATCAAGCCACCAAAGTCTTTTCGATCGTGACCGCGTGTTTGGGGGGTGTCTCGGTCTTTGAATACTTCTATCGTCTCTACAACCTGTTCCGCAAGGACTCCCGCGCCCGGCCGCTGAACGCAAAGAAATCACGGGTAAGATGCGGATTTTTCGAGCTACCATGGTCGCTTTACTGATCGCTGCTAGCTGGATTTTTTCCACTGGAATTTCACCATTGTTTGGCTCTTCCTGGCTGTTGAGCTCATCGTGTAAGCCCAAGTCGCAATTGTGTCCGAGCCGTGGTGCATATGTTTACAACCATTCAGTGGAACCGTTCCTACGGAACCCTATGTCCGCCTTGTCGCCATGATCCTACCGACCGTCATGTTCTACTTCGGAATCGTCCACCTTTCCCTTGACATCCTGCGCGTGGCCGGCTTCAAAGCGCCCTTCCGAATCTCCTCGACTCCCAAAGGCTCCGCCATGCCAACCGCACTATATGCGCTGATCGAAGACGTAGTGGCAGTCGACGGCGGAGGCGGTCAGATCTACCGGTACGCGCTGCGCATACGATACCTGTCTAGTCCTTACTTCCGACGGATGCTGTTCGAGATGAATTGTTTCTGGAGCGGAGGCTCCATCATTTTCGCCGCGGCCATCACAGCTGTGATCTTCACTGTCTCTGAACCTGTGGCCTTTACGGTGAGTATTATTGCATGTTCGTACCAGGATTTGAATCAAACTGACGTCATATGCATAGCTGGGCTGGACCCTCCCTTTTGCCTGGGCCGGCGTTTGGACGTTGATCACCATCCCTTGGGTCCAGAGTGACCTCCGCCGTGAGAAAAAGGCCTGGGCCGAGAATCGTGGCCAGGGTGGTATTCTCTGGGTCGACGATATTGCGGCGCCTACTGCGCGTACTCGTTTCGCGTCCGTGCAGGAACGCTTTACCCCGTGGATGCGTGACAAGCACAGTGCACCTTCTACACCCTCAGCTGATGGCGCGGATACCGCGTCTCACGGCCCCGAGGGCACCGCCAACGTGACCGATAGCGTTTCCCACGACCTTGAACACATGCCGGACGGCGTGGACAGCTTGAACAAGGAACAGAATGAGGGCAACGACTCGGAATCGAAAGGAAACTAATATGTACAGTTGATGACTTGATGATCCACCTTGCAGAGTTTATTTGAACATTTGGATGACTCCATCTGATTTGCGAATTAGATTTCCGGTTTAGCATTGGCATTAGCGATGTCTTAATTTGTTTTTTTTCTCGGCTGTGTTAAGTATATAGATACCCTCTGGCAAGCGTGATTGTATATCTTTTCACATCCTCCATAATGTTTGAGCGACGAAGACGAAGCAAATCAGGTATTGCTATTAGCAGACGAACCCCATGGGTGCTACTTGAATCATTCGACGAGTCTTTGGCCTGTATATAATCTCAGAATGTAAATGAAGCAATCCTGTCCCAGCACACAACGCCTGATTCACACAGTCTCCGATTCAAGTCCATGGTTGACAATCGATTTAGACTAATCTTGGTAAAGTCTTGTTGACAATGAATCCCCATTTTGATGCCACTTCGGACGTATATTCCCCGAGGCTGAGAAGTGAAGTACGGCCATGTAAGGCTCAAGTTGTATACTTCCTCCAATGGCGGTGGAATGGACGAGGCAGAAGCCGGATAGACGAATCATTAGTCGTACAACATGTATGAGATTTGGAATAGCTAAACTTTCATGGATAGCCAGGCCTGCTAGTTGCAGTTTTAGGCCTGATTTCCAAGGCGCACAAAGTCAACAGACACGTGATTTCCCGCGCTCGGAAAGTGAAATTCAAGTGACGCGAGTTCGAAGCACACTTTTCACTTTTTAAATTCCATCTCTGCCAGTCCTTTTTACCCCCTGAAACCCCTCTTCGCCTTAATATTTACATTTCGCACCATCATGGGCTAGCCATGGCGCCAAGTCTCCAGGAACTGATAGAATTCTTACTCAACGAGGTCGCGCTCTGCGGAAATCAAGGTGCGTGCTCTATACCTGCACTTTAGAGCCTCTCAGACCCACTTTACTCAGCAAGATGTATACCCCATCGTGCATGCCCTGGGGCCAATCTCATCGCCCAAAACGGGCAATCGCCTGTGTTTGCTCGGAACTTGGCGTTCTCGATTAAATTTAAGGGGAAAATGCTGATTATGATACAGGCACGACCTTGTCGGAGGTTCTCAAGTCCATTGACACTTTCTATCAGACTCACTCGGGCGACTCTCAGCTGCAACAGACTGTAGATCGTGCCTTCAAAGTGAAGGTCTGGTCATGGCTGACGCGTAATCCTGAAGTGTCCGTGGGGAAGAACGGCGAATGGAATCGTCTCAGTCTCGATGAAGCGGAAGAGCTGGACGCTCAGTCCCAAAAACCCTCCCAGGCGGGAGATACCGATGAGTTCCAAGATGGCGCCCCCCCAGGGCTCTCTTCAAACCTCCGAATCTTTGTGTCCACCGAGAGGATGTGGTTTGCGATCGCCGGGCATGAGCCTGACGACAACAAAGTCCCAAACTCAGAGTTCGCTTTACTCTCTATCATTGCGTCGCACGGCGTTAATGGCGTCGCGCAAACAGAGCTCGTAAAGCTTAGTGGCCAAGACAAACGTTCTGTACCGAAACGAACTGATGCATTGGTGCGCAAGGGATACATTCTAAAGCGAGCAATCCAAATCAAAGCGGCACGGACAAGTCTCTGCACTCTTCGTCGTTTTTCACAGTCTGTGATCGGTGAAAACAACGATCAAACTTCCCAAGATCGGCCCATGATCGACTTTACCGAGTTTATCAACAAGCTGTTTGGAATTCTCAAACAATATTCAATTATCACTCGCAATGACCTCAAGAGAAAGCTAGAATTTAATGACAATTGGCGATGGAGAATTCTTTCTCGTGCGCTTCGCAAATTTGAGCGCATCGGCGTTGTCAAGCGTGTGAGAGCTCAGTCTCAGTACGACCGGCTTCACCCATGTGTCATGCTGCTTCGAGAACCCACGGAAAGGGATATGGAGAAATTCCATGACTACAGTCGGAACGATATTATCAAAGACGACGGTGATACAGTGGAGCTCGACGACGACATTGAAATGGACGATGCCGGGCAAAACGCCCCCTTAGGCGCAGAAGAAGACGAAGTGGTTGTGAAACAGGAGGAAAATCTGGTGGATGCCGGACGCACCATACCAGCTTGGACGCCGGACCGTATTGTCGGGAACCAGCTCTTCGAGCTCATTGACCGGGCTGGAACGACCGGTATAACCAATGCGGTATGTTTGAACTGACCATCTCAGAGTCCCAAGCTGATGATTGCGCAGAATATCAACCGGTCGTTATTTGGATCCTTCTACCGCAGACCCTCTGAAAGTATTTTGCATCGCCTGACCGACTGCTGGCAGCTCTCTCAGCCACTCCACATTCGTCATTTGGCAGTTGTGCGAGATACAGCTATCGAAAGGACTGTTTTTTACTACATCAACTATTCTGCAAGAAATTTCGCCAAGATGGTCGAAGCGGGCCATTCTTCATGGGAAGCCGTTGAATTTGCGGGCAGCAAAAAGGGCAAAGCAAACAATGCGAGGCTTCCACCCCCCGATGCCAAACCAGAACTCGATGAATACGGGCTTCCCAAGGTGCAGCCTATCTATCCGTTGATAAAGAATGGCGCAGCTAGTCTGTTCGAATGTGTCGCAGCTTGTAGGCCGTCAAACTACCTGCTATCAAGCGCTGACCCCAAGGCATTCAAGCTGTCCGATGATACCTTTGGTAAGATTTTCTGTCAAACTTCCAGTTGATGACTGGCAACTTAATTTACAAGTCTATCGCTGACACAATGTAACAGCGGTGCAATCTGGCCCAAGAAAAATCCTCAATGGAAACCTGATCCAGTCGCCAATCCCATCTGGCCATGCTGGACGTCCAAAGGGATCTTTGAACCGATCAACTCGGATCAAAATGGCAAGTCAAACCCCTCAAAGCTTGGAAACACGAGTCATTGAAGAGCCTCCCGAGGCGATGGATTTCACGCCTTCGAGGACGGTCAAAAGCAAGCTGTGGCAAGTGGAGGGCCTCTCCAAAAAAGAGAGATTCGAGGCCAGAGGCATGGATGAAACCTGGACTGAGTACAATGTTCTGGTCATGGACAGACCCAATGCTGGTGTTTACGTTACACCTCAGGGGAAGAGGAGACCGGCAGGCAGAAAACAAGGTCGCCCGCGACAGAGTCGGATTGCAGTTTTCAAATCCGACAAATTGGCCTCTTTCACTTGGTTTGTCGAAGATTTGAATGACTCTGACAACGACAAGACAATAGACGCGAGCGCCCCGGCGTCTGTTGCTCGTGAAATGACTCCTATGACGCCCACAACATCTATCGCTGGACGATCCAAGCGAGCCCGGGCCGCTCTGGAGCCAATCAGTTCCCCCATTTCAACGGCGAAAAGCGATGCCGGACTGTATCGTGGTAGGAATGCCAAAAGATCCCGTACTGATGCCAATGAAAAAGATCAGAGCGAATCTGATGATACTGAAGCCTTGCTGCAGGCCGAGCAGTCAACGGCGCAAGAACAAGCAACTTCGACAATTGGTCGGGACAAGAGTGCCGCTTTACACCCACTGAGCATCGAAGTTGGTCAGGAAGTAATCTCAAAAAGACGACGAATCACATCTCCAGATCGGCTTCACGTCGAAGCTGCCTCTTCGGAACAGCCAGTTGGCTCCGTGGAACAGTCAAAGGAGTCGGCCGATTTCATGAATCTTTCAGAAGATTTGTCTAGGCAGCCTTCATCATCTGTTGCACCAGACTCGGCAAAGATCGCAAAACGGCATGCTGCGGCTGATAGAGGCGGCTCTATTTCACTCATTCGGCGAAAGATCATCATGGAGCTCGTGGAGAAGGCCGGTGGCGCATATCCATCTGGTAATGAGATTTGGTATCCGTTTGTGACGTACTGGATGAAATTCAACCGCAAGGAGAGGCCAGACATGCGGACCATAAAAACAGCGATCAAGAATATCGTTGATTCCGGCAAGCTTCGCCAATTGACTTTCAGCGGCAAAGATATCAAGGGCGTGATGGTCACCAGGACTATCTTGGCGAAACCTGATATGTCCCCAAATGATCCTTTAATTAAGGACATGCAGCAACAAGTACTGGCAACTGACCCCCGCAATCCGAGGATCTCCTATTCACCTCATGTTGAGGTGGACCCTGTTTTGATTCGGACAAACGTGCCTATCACCCAGAGATTCAAACTGCCTGTCGTTGCTAGTGCCACTGTCCAATTGCACCACAAACCTGCATTCGCTCTCTATGAAGAGAAGAGACAGGAGCGCCAGATCAACAAAGCGCTGATGAAACAATTGGAGGGCGACATCGAATCTGGAAAGTCTAAGCGTCTTTTGACAACACAGCGTCGACCGGCACCGGATTCATCAGGCTCTACACATACATCGATTTCTCGACCCGCACCACGACCAAGAGGAAGGCCAAGGATCGAACGACCGATGAAAATCATTTCTGCCATTGGGTCTACCAGCTTGTTAATGAACCCGGGTCAAACTTTCCATCCGCAAACTGGCACTTTCGCCACTGGAGCTCGACTTTCCAGAAGTCGACAAATAAAGAGCAAGCCGCTACCCATGCTACCAATTGAGGTCACGAACTCTGTTCAGCACCTGGCTCAACTCGCACGACAAACAGAAGACCCATCGAGAGCATCTGATAGGATCCTTAAGTGGGAGCTCAATCACGAGGAGTTCTTTGATGCTGTTCTTGAACATCAACCATATGTTGACCAGGCCGTTGACCAGAACACTTTCCATGCAGCTCCGATCGAGGGTGATATTCGCTTTGCGTTGGACCAGCCAGTCGAGGCAATTCAAGCAGTTCGCCAGCCTAACGAACCCAGAAGGGCGCGCCGATCCTTTAAACAATCTGCGCCAAGACAACGTCGCCTGGATGCGGTGGACACATCACTTGACGCTCGCAAAGAGACCCAGCGAGATACTATTAAGGCGCCACTTCGCCGACAACGGATCACGGCCGCGGTCCCTGACGCACTCTACCGAAAAATTATGGCGGCCATCGTCGTTGTCCGCGTTTTGGCCGGTGGATGGGAGGCTAGAATGGTTGATTGGGATCTTGTGTCAGCAGCATTTCCCTCCGAAGACCCAACTTTCATCCAAGACCGAGCAAAATCGATTCTTAGCAATAATCGGCTACAGATCCTCAAAATGCAGCGAGATTTCCAGGAGAGATTCCTCGAGGCTTACAAAAAGGGCCGAGTCCCCTCAATCGACTACTCGAATCTCGAGGCTTACAACTGGCCGGCAGTCGTCGAATGGGCCAACATCGAGCTCGACGTCACCACATCTCAGAAGGCTCCTTCTTTACCAGCGACCCGCGAGCAATTCGATAGCATTTTCGAACTCCGCGAGGATCCTGTGACCAATGGTGATGAGTTATTTGGAACAACATCGATGATCACCACGGTCCACAAGCGTGCTCTCACAGCCCGTGTGCCGTTCGCCATTCCTATGGACTCTAAGAAGGCTTCTACACCCGGGCCTCGAAAGGAAGAGCTTGCGCGCCTGGAGGTCGCCAAATCATGGGTTCGTGCAAACATAGTCACACCGGAACAGGCGTACCGCCCGGAAGAAGCGAGAAATACCCTGAGTCGCTTCGGTGGACCACTCGTCGAGTCTGCCACACAGTCTTTACTGACAGAACGAGTCATCGGCATGGGCAATCGGGGCCGCATCGTTCCGGGTCGCAACTACGATATCACCGATCATCTCCTTCAGCAAATCAACCGTAAGCGCACGATCGAATGTACCATCCTCCGTCGGGCAGTACATTACAAAACAACCATGCTCGACCCACAGCTACAAACCGGAGCCAGTGCCGAGGTCAGTTACACTGCTGAAGATGGCGACATTCTCGCGCTTATCAACCTTTCTGCGGCCGGCCATATCACTTTCAAGCCCCGCGACCCGCCCCGAGACAAATGGGGGCTACTTGACGGCAGTGGATACCTCACCCGGCAGATGGACAAGAACAAGCTTCGTTTTGCCATTGATATATACCCGACCCCTTCATACATCTACGGGAACCCGGTGCAACCTAAGATTCAATCCGTCGGTCCACCACCGTCACCGGTATTCCCAACCGACAGCCTCCCCCCAAAGGTCCCTCTGTGGTTCGACATCCATGGGAACCTAATTCCACACATCTGGGATATGGCGATCGCCTCCGTCATCGGCTGCGTTGCCATACGAGAGGGCGCTAGTGCCGAGACCATCAGCGGAATGATCAAGCCTGCCTTAGGTGCCTGGGAGATCGAGTTACTGTTGAGTTGGCTGACTGATGTGGGTGTTGTTTCTCGAGTAGAGACTGGAGGGTACACGGGCTGGAAGGTGCTTGAATTCTGGTGGATGATTCTGGGTTGAACTCTGTACTAAAAATTAGTTTTTTATAATTTTTCGTGTATCTATAAGAGATTCCTCGAATATTGAATATATTCTAACTCCATGTACTTGTAAAAGGTATCTATTCCAAATATTTCCCAAACGCCGATTTCCAAACCCCATTAACGCCGTGCTGTACTCTACAAATATGAATGTTCTTGATGGTGATGATCATAGCTCGTCGGCGTCGGTCACTCGGCGCAGGACTAGAAGAATGAGAGCGACGACCACACCGATGATCGCTCGATCCAGCCATGGACTATTCGCCGGTTCAGTGGCCGGGGCAGGAATAGTTGGTGTCGGTCGAGGGCGCGAGACGGCTGATGCTGGAACTGGAGCTGATGCTGGAGCTGGAGCTGGCGCTAAGGTCGAAGGTTGTGATTGTAATTGGGGCGCTTGATCAGGCACAGGTACAGAAGCAGGAGCAGGAGAAGAAAACAGACACCGCAGCAGAGGCTAGCTCTGCAGATTGCGCGGCATCCAAAGTCTGAATCCCCTCATCCTCCCTCTTCTCTGTCTCCTCCTTCTGCGCATCCTTCCCATCATCCGATCCCTCAACATCAACCTCCACGCCCTTCTCCCTACACATCGCCCAATGCTCCCTCATCACCGCCTCATTCTGTACCCCACACTCGCGACACACCCACTGCTTTGAAAGACGCGCATACTCCTTCCTTAGGGTCTCACTCCCCTCCATGCCCCCCACCTGCCCTTTACTCTCGGACCCGAAGATCTCACTTCGAATAGCGAGTAACGCCGTCCGGACGCCCCAGGCCGGTTGCCACGTTTCCTCGTGATGGCCGGAGATACTGAGGCATATTTCGCGGTTGACTTCGAAGCGCGCCGAGGGCGTGAGGAAGCGGAAGGCTGGAGGGCGGAGGGGGTATGTTGCGGGGAAGGTGATGCGGCCGTGATAGAAGCCGCCGGCGTAGGGGCTTGGAGTGGGTGGACCGGCGAGTGTAAAGTGCCAGTCGTGGAGGTTGGATTCGTCGACGGGACCGGCGGTGAAGTAGGGACTTGGATTTTTAGAGAGATCTGTTGATTCTTTGAGAAGTCGCCGTGTGGATGGGGAGGTCATTGTTTGGGTTTGTTTTTTAGGGAAAGGTAAAGGTAAAGGTGATAAAGGTGGATGTTGGTGACGTGGAAGGGTATAAGATAAGATCCGCCGAGTCACTTTCTTTAAAAGTGTTTTTCGGTGGAGTCCGGGTCTTTGTTCCTTGGAGAACCTGGTTCAACGGTTTCTTTCATTATGCTTCTATTCTCCGATAACTTTCAATGTACATAGAATTCAGCCTAATCGTACAGGAAAATAGCCAGCCTGGCCTTACGGCGGCTCGACTTCGAAACTCCGATCTATGCAATGGAAATACAGTTCAGTCCCAATCGCGCCAATCATCTGCCTCTTGACGTCTTTGACGTCGACCACTTTCCGGGTCCAGTAGTCCATTGCCCTCAGGCTCGTCTTCAAAATCACTGTCGCCAGGCCGAGGCCGTGGTGACGCCGGTGCCAGTGTCTGCATAGATACGCTGGTCGGCGGACGATCGGGGGTTTCCTGTCGTCGATTGGGCGACCATGTAGGTTGCGGGCTAGCGGTGCCTGCACCGCCAATCCAGTGGTGTGCGTTATTCTGGTTTCGCAGGTACAGATCGCGATAGTATTGTTGCTCATCGTTCGCATCTTGTTCGCGGCGCTGGCGCATTCGTTCTCGTGCCTCGAGGAAGTGTGCGCTAGGCTCCCAGCGCCAGCCATCACCAGTGGTATTACATACTGGGATGCCCCAGAAGAGCGGCCGCTCACCGAAGAGGTGAATGAGGTTGCGCCGCCAACCGAGGTCAAATGCGTTTGGCATCTTCTCGCTATCTTCATCATTGAGATATTCTTGGTAACGTTCACGTTCGCGCTGTCGTTCGTTATCGGCGTAAGATCGTGAAAGAGCTTGTTGGGCAGGGGTAAGGTGCTGATTATCACCCAGCATCGGCCCGTGGCCAGGCGCATGAGGTAGCGGAGAGAGACGCTCCTCGCCTTCCTCAGCGCGAGTAAACCCCGGAATGGCATTCGCGTGTGCATCTATTATTTGGTTTCCGTAGTCATGAAGACGCTGGCTCAGACTCTCCTGATTCGCGTCGCCGTTGTGGACATTGTGGCCATTGTGCGGCTGCTCAAATCGTCGGTCGAGCGCTTTGCGCAAAGGCGAGACATACCGCGTCTTTTCCAAGCATTCAATCGTAGTCGTACCTCGTACAGCGAGACTGATATGCCATGCCGTGAAGCCAGTCAATACCAGCCCGATGATACCGCCTAATATAGCCAGGAGGACCACGTTAATAGGCAGGTATGTGTCCATGTATTGTGTATCGTTGAGGACCTCAGTCCACGTCCAGGTAGCTGCGACCGCGAAATCCACCCAGCAAAAGAGGCAGGTATAGATCAGAAACAACAAAAACGCCTTGTAATTATGCAGTCCGACGCATGTCGCAAGCCAGGGGCAATGATGGTCCATCTTCAGAACGCAGCGTTTACACGTCGAGCAGTGGTGTGCACGGTCTGGCTTCGGGCACTGACATTTCTTGCAGTACCGTGATGAGCCTGTGGAGCTCACAGTGTAGGATGTGAACTCAGGGAACTCGGATTCAGTGAGTGGCAGCGCGCTGTAGTTGTGCCGCTTATTGCCGCGGCGCGTGGACAACGGCGATCCAGGGTCGGTGAAGACGGCAACGGTATAGCAAGCATTGAGTAAAGCGTAGAGTATGACTCCAATGATCGAACTGGGGATACCTGGACGTCACGAACTAAGCCTTAGCGATTCGATCTCCACCCGAGCATGTACTCCTTCCATACCTATCCAGCCGTTCCTTGACTCTTTAAATCCGATACTAGCTTCGACGTAGACGGCCCATGTGGTTAAGCCGTAGACAAAGGCGAGAGGGAAGCAGCTTGCTGCGGCGCAGCAGTACCGCTCACAACGGAGCGCCCAGGCGCGTGGGCTTCGTTTCGGCCAGGATGGCGATATGGGGGATGACGAGGCCAGGGTGGCCATGATGGATACTCGATCGCACAGGAAGAACGGCGAGGGGCATCGAGGTGTTGTCTTCACAGAAAGAGCGACATCGTCCAACGAGCTGGAAATGCGGTGTCGTCGTCTGTAGACTGCGTAAGCGGAGGCACTGACTCAGCCACTTTGAGGTACCCGGTTCCAGCCACTTATGTTTTAGCGGAAACTACACATCACCATGGGAATAGATTAGGCATCGATACAAGTGTTAATGAGTCTTCATTGCTCAATCTCGATGATTTGTACGCTTCAATGAACAAGGGCAGAATCGGTAGAAGCTTTGTTGGAGCATTTCTGCCTTGTGATTTCAAGTACACCAGCGCGGCGTTTCTATTGTACGAAGCCGAATGAGACATGGTTTAATATGTTCTCTAAGTTTGATTCGAAAAGCCATATGTATATGTCTCTTCAGAACGTTCTATTTACAGATGCCCCGTACTTGTGGTATCACTTCAAATAACCCGAAACGCCAATTGGAGGGAAGACAAAATGAGGGAGCTCAGGAGCTATTACCGCTGCTGATAGTATCCTGATCGCACCAGCCGTTGACAGGCTATAAGGCATGTTAGCACAAGTACTGTGATTGAATATGGGCAACCCAAACTTACCAGGCAACTCAAACGGTAGCACCAGGAGCAATTCGAGGTGTGGTATTTGTAGAAATCGACAATCAAAAGAATGAACCCGACGAGCACGGCGACCAAAGCGCCGGCACGGACCAGCCACCAGGCCCACCACAGAGGCTTGCGGCCCTTGAAGAAATGGAGCGGGCCCTTACTTTGGTCATTCTGGTCATTCGACGCAATCATGGCCTTCTTGCTCTTGAAGAAGTCCATGGGGTTAGTTGTCTTCCGGTTCTCACCGGCCGGGGCAGCCTCGCTGGCGCCGCCAGACATGGCGACGTAAGGCTGACGAGCCAGACCGATTCGTTCCCGCAGAGAGTTGGGAGAGCGTAGAATTGAAAGGCCAATGGCCAGGCCCATGATGAATCCGCCAATGTGGGAGAAGTTGTCCAGGCCAGGGAGCAGGCCGAGGACAAAGGAAACCGCCACTCCCAAGACCATGATGATCAGTTCCACCCACGGAGATTCACGCTGCGGCCAGTCATACAACAGATCCAGCAATTGCAGGGCCAGAATACCGAACAGAGCGCCTGAGCATCCATCACTGGGCTGTAGCTGGGCGGCGTAGTTTCCACCAAACACAAACCCGAAAATACCACTGGCCATATAGGTCAGGCCGTACCGCCAGAATCCAATCATTCGCTCCATATCCGCGCCCATTGTCATTTGTACCAGGAGGTTAAATCCAATGTGGACAAACCCAGCATGCAAGAAGATAGGGGTGATGAACCGCCACCATTGGTTTGGGGCAGGACTCTCATCCAATGAGCCACCCGGAACAGGATTGGGTACGCCGCCCATTCCGCAAGCCTGTGACAAAGTGCATTCAGATGCGCTGGTAGTAGTGTTCGGGCAGGGGAAGGTGACAGGAACGGTATTGTTCTGAAGGTTCGGGATAGTCTTCATGCATGGGTCGTATCGAGCGCCAAGGTAAATTTGCACGTAAGGCGAGGGTCCGATCATGGGGTTGAAGGTAGGCTTAGTCTCAATAGGCGAACCGGTCAATTGAGCTGGAGCACAGAAAATGTTAGTTTACACTCTGCCGGTTTCGCATATCCTTCGCGCCACTCACCACTTTTGACCAATTCCACGATGAAGACAATGACTTGGGCCAAAGTCAAAATGTAAGTCACCCAGGCCGGCTTCTTTTTGAAGAATCCCTTCTTCTTGTGTTCACGCGGCCGACGGTCCTCCAGGGCCCCTGGTGAGGGCGGATACCGAGTCTGCTGGTGCATCCATTCCGGATTATTTCCATAAGGCATCTGTGCCTTTAGGGGAATATTTTCTGAGTAGTGATCGCCATCTGTGACCCGCCCCGCGCTCTGGTAGGCGCCGTTGTCTGATTGCAAAGATTGTTGACTTTCGTGGTAGGGGTAAGGAGCGGAGGGGTCGTCGTGGTTGTGTGCATTGGCGCCGGCGCCGTAAGGGTAGCCTGCAGCGGGCAATCGATCTTCAAAATGTCCTGTGACCTGATCGTAGCTCGGTGGCTCAGGGATGTTCGAATGGTAATACCCACTTGCGGCCATGCTGGGCAGCGAGCAATCGATAACCGAGGTTGCGGACAGCTTGGTCAGGGTCGTGAATTTGAGAGACGCGCTTCAGTGAGAGACGAAGAGAGCGAGATTTGAGAGACTTAAGCGATTGTGAAAGGCAGAAGGAGTGTTGTTGAAGAGAAGTCGTTGAAAGAAAGGTAGGCAGTCACGTTTGAACAAGGTTATTTTTGGGTGACCAACACAGCCGCGCGGCGACTTTGCGCCTTGGGCACTTTGGCAAGTGTTTGATCTTGACTTGGCAGGTCTCCCTGTCCAATTGGTCTTCTATTTCTCCTAGCATTCTAGCCACTTCTATGCTACTCCTCAGCCACGGCTGCAAGATCCCGGGCTCTGACGCAGAATCCTTAGCCTCAGCGCCAAGGCGCGCTATGGTAGCGCCAAGTCTGGCTCGGCCGTGGATGACGATAATTACGGGGCATTTACAATTTGAGAAAGAAACCGCGAGCGCCATAAACATTGATATTAATAATGAATTATATAATGAGTAGTAGCAATAAGGCCACGATACTGTCCAGTTCCCATAGCATGAAAACACGGATCTTCCTTCTCTCCGGTGCCCGAGGGCTTGTGATGCTCATGATGCTCGTGTTGGTGTCGTCGACCACCAGGTGATGCTGGCGGTGCGCGTCATTATAATTTATCGCGCGACCTGTCGCGAAACGAATGTGATGTGGGCTTTCCAAGCACCGCATGTGTACACATTCCAAGGTATGTAAAGAACAATAGTCAAAGGCGTGGAAACCCGCAAAATCCAAGAAGAAGTCCGCAATGCGACCTGTCGGTCCGCTGAGCAAAAATTCCAGAGCAAAAAACCCCTCGAGATGGATATGCTTCGGGGTGTGAGATAAGTAGTAGGTGTACACGGAGGCACAACGCCCGATGCTTGGTCACGCGAAAGCGCTTTCAGCTGCAGATGAGAAAGATTCCTCATATTGGTCGAGGGTACTCAGCGCAGTGCATACTTCGTGACCGGTGTGGCCCGTCAGTAGCCAAATCAGGCCACCCGCCTTTTTGTATAGCAACGATGGGAGGTATAGCAGTGCCCAGAAGAACAGAGCCAAGGTGATGAGCACAAAGGCATTGGCCACCATCTTCTCGTTGGGAGTCATCACATAGATGCCAAAAGTGACCTCATAGCGATAGTACTCGAGCTGGATGCGGTCGAGCACGCGCTGGAAAGGGTTGCGCCGCGGGATGCGCCGTGTCGCACTTGAGCCCATGGTCGACGAGTATTTGCTGAGGAGATGGTCCATGGCCGCCGGTGCTCGCGACATGTGAGAGGTCGATGGGGTATAGAAGGATTGCATTTCGGTCGTCATCGCGAGCGTTGCGACTATTCCGTCGATCGTGTACAGGGAATAGATCCGGACGTTTTGTTTCCCGGGGAAAGGGTTTCGCAGGTGTGCAATGAATTTAACAAAAAGGACTTATAACGTAATGAGGCTAACTGGATTTTGTAAGGTCAGAGGTGTCGATCCGGAAGTAGACGGAAGTGCACGAGCCACACGAAGTCAAGACCAGAGCCAGGGAAAGAGCTTGGGAGAAGAGACCACGGATCAGAGTAGATGACTCTCGAATGACAGGGTCACATCCCGAGACTTTAAAAGCTTTCCAAGGGGGAAAGCAGGAGACGAAAACAAGGAATCCAAGTCTCAAGAATTAGATCGGGTCCGGCAAAAAAATGACTCGGGCGATGCCCGAGACCCAGACATGACGTTGTTGAGTCCCCCGTAGCTGCGAGCAGTAATGGCCCGTTACTTAACTGATTGCCATCTCGATCGAGTGCAGGAAACCCGGTCCGGATGTTCGGCATCATGGAAAAGCCAAGTGGGGTGGTATACTCGGAAGATATTTCCGCTAGGGAAGGTAAGGCTGAACCATGATCGGCCCGACGTTCCCAGGATTTGGAAGAGCGCCAAGATTTGGCCAACACTTTTTGCTTTTTCATTTTTTTTTTTTTATGTTTTTTGCCTTGTTATTAGACTATCGCGAGCTGTGAGAGGGTCATCATGTGGTTCACTGTCGTGATGCTCTGTCTAAAAATGCCAGTAGTTCAGTCTTGAGTTTTCTACGTTGATCTTTGATTTCACCATGGCCCATGTTGGAGAATTGATGCCCGCCGGGTGGCTGAGGAAGTGATGTCACTGGTTTCGCTTTGACTTCCCCGCGCTAGACTTCAACCTCACCCTCTACACCAACCATGGACCCCGAAGACCCGCTAGTCCAGGCCTTGCCGCCAGCGACCGACTATCTCACCTACCTCACGCTGCTGGAATATCAGTTGACCCCTAAACGTCTGCCGCTGTTGCACCAACTGCTGCAAGATGAGCGCCTTACCACCAACATCGGTTGGGATCTCGTCAAGCTCCTCTTGCCAATGCTTCCCGCTTCCACCGAGTGTCTACAAGATGTCGCTCGACTTGGAAACCCACGAGAAGTTATCCTGCGTGTATCCGAAGCCTTGATGCAGCTCCAACCCGAGGAGGACGAGGAGGATGAGGAGGCCGCGGATGACGCGTTGGCGAAACATATCCTGCAGTTCAATTGTCTCCTGTCCATGCTATCAGTGCTTCATGGAAGAATCCAAACCAAATCTCCCAGTCGTTTCATCGCAACCTCGCTCCAGGCAGCACTCGAGGCCTACACAGCCATGCCTTGCGATGAGACCACCCTGGCCCTGCTGGAGTTCCTTCGCGACCTCTCTCCCAGCAAGCGACCGGCCCCACCTCCACGAGCCCCGAGCGAGTCGAGCGTGCTGCGGACAGCGAAAGCCTCTGCTCCAGATCCCGAACCAGAGGTAGCGGTGCCGTCTCCGTCGGCAACTAACGAGACCTTGTTGGTGAGGAAGTTCATCCAATTTGGGTTGATCGAGCTGTTCAAGTCATACCTGTTGAGCTTCTCGGGCCCAATGGACCCTGGCATGTCTTGGACCGTTCGTATGCAAGAACATTTGCATCCGTCTCTGCAGTTACCAGAACAGTCGCAGACACAGGCATACTCCACCACAAAAGAGCTCAAGGAGCGGGACATGCTAATGGGCAAGATCGTGGTATGTCGCCGACTGTGTGCTTTTTTTTTCCATGTTATTTTCTAATGTATTGCTTTGTCTTAGGCACTGTCGCGAGACATCGGAATCGACAGCACTGAGCTATTGTCAATTGTTTCCCGCTCTTCAGATGAACACCGGCCTCCGCTGGATTTTGAAGAGCCCCCCGCTTCCCCGGACGAGATTCCTTTGGAACGCCACGGCTCACTGTTGCTTCTTGCAGCCCGTGCTGCAGGGTCTACTCTCTTCATATCTGGCAATATGATGCCGCCGTTATCTGTTTTTCCAGATATAGCCGTGATCTTCACAAATTTCTTGGGAGCACCCGAGAATGTGCATGAAGTAACTTATGGCGAGCCCCAGGCACTGCTAGACTCCTTGCTGGCTCTGACCGTGCATGCCATGCAAAACCCAATTGTAACCCCTTCGAGCGAGACAGAATTCAAGAACTTTGTCATCGCTTTAACCGCATGCACCGCGCGCCAGACACATGGCATTGTCCGACAAATACCGACGACCATCGTTCATAGCCACCCGTCTTCTTCCACGCGGTTCAAGCTTATTCGCTCTATCCTAGAAGCGTCCAATTTGACAACTATCCGTGATAGTGCTGTGACATGGCTGAGAGAGGAAATTATAGGCCACGTTCATGAATCGGCGGAGACCGTCTTCCATGACCCGCTCCACTTCTGGATTCTGTTCCAGTCACTTTTCACGTCTGTGAATGCAGCTTCCTCGGCAAGCATACTGGACAGTTGGACGTGCCTGACGCAGACTCAGGGCCCTGCTTTGCATTCCGCTTTGAATCTGTACTATCTCCTTCTATCATCGCCTTCTCTCAGAGATACTTTGCAACTGGAAAAGACTGTGGTGTTCTTCCGCAGCCAAGTGCTCGAACCTCTATACAAGCTGTTTCGTGCCTTCGAATCCGACCTTACTGCCAAGGGAGGCGACGGCATCATCGAGTCTGCGGTCGGCGAGGAGATGTGCCAAGTTGGCAATGCTCGGTCCGTTGGGCTAATTGGTCTCACACTTGATCAGATTGAAGAGGCGATTCACGATGCATATGGAACCGATGACTCGGACCTGAAGACTTTTACGCAGGAAGAGGAAACCCGAGCGTCTGAGATTCGGAAAGAGACTGAAGGCTGGCAATAGGTCGATCCACGTCGGGTAGCATCTGTATGTAGGGCATAGTCGAGGCTGGCTCGGCGAATCGTACATACCACTCACTGCACATCTCCAATAGGATAGCTCAGCCTTCCTTTCACCTTCAAGCCCATGCCATCAGAAGTCTATATTTCAGAAAGAATGAGGAAGAATTCAGTAATTCATTCAGCTGCCACGACCAACTTAACTAGAGAATCCCGAGTCAAGACACTTCCCAGCACGAGAAAGGGAAAACCAGAATCATGACCACAAACGACCGAGTGCGCACCAACAATCCGTACCATAAGGGCACAGTTTTTTTTTGTAGACTTTAGAAACCATCTCGCGAAAAGCAAAAATGAAAACACAAAACCCGCCTCCTTTGTAGATTCCACACTCCCTCGCCCACAGTCAGCAAAAGGTCGCATCGGACTCGGCCCGACATCGAGCTACCCACTCGCCCTCTGGGAAGCAGAACGAAAGGTACTCGACGAAGAAACAACCTCACGACCTCGATAGAAAAAAAGAAGGAACTGGACGAATCCGCAAACACAAAGTAGATGAGTCGCTGGTCGTGTTTCGAAAGATGGTCAAATTTTATTTTGTTTAGATTGATGGTGTTTCTCAGCCGTAAGTAGTGAGGATTGAATCATTGAAGTTTCCCATTCAACCGCTCTGACCGGCGAACAGGGTCATAGAGATGGTGTGGGATGCTTTGACTCGGGTGGCGTGTATGTAAGGAGTTTACATAACAACGCAGCCACCACCGGGGGAGGCTTTTATGTGTTAGTATGATGTTCAACGTCGCGGTTGTGGGTTGGGGAAGTTGGACAAGATGCTTACCCTTAACAACAACAGCGGTAGTCTGGAACTCCATTGCGAAGATTGAGGGTTTGCTTGAAAAGCGAAGATTGGTTTGAAATGGTTGGATTGGAATGATGTTTTGTGAGAGGATGATGAGGAGAAGTTGTGTTTAATGGGAGAGAACGGTGTACTTATACTTCTCACTGCAAGGCATCGACTTGAGGTCAATTGGTAAAGAAAGTCATGGCACCATTGATGTTGATTGATCTGCAACAGAATTCCATCTATTTGGGCCGATGATATTGTTCAGGTGCGAGGTGGCGTTTCTTGATATTGTCACTCAGGAGTCCACGCCTTTCGTGGCGACGTCTTCAATAAGTTGGTGGCCAGGCGATTGATCATTATAGTCGGGTGAGTACAAAGGGCATCGAAAAAAGTTTTTAGGAAGCCTTTCCCTAATTAGCTTAGATTGGTAGAAGGCCCTGACGGTGATGGTCGCCAGATTTTGATGGCGGATATGTTGATATTGTTGCTCGCAGGGACAATATCTACGGGGGTTCAGGGGCTCCTCAAAGACATTCCTCGTATGATTGCGCCACCACGGAAGCACAAGGCCACAAGTCTCCATCAGTGAATGGGCCAAGAAAGTTTTCGAGCAGGTTTAGTAGACGTTGCTGTCGAGAGCTATCCGCAGTGGATCGAATGTCTCGGTCACAATATTAAGTGGAACCTGCGGGAAGGCCCAAAGAGGCTTAGCAAAGTCAAGTAACAAAGAGTCGCTCTTTGACAAATTCATAGTATTGTTCCTTCCAGGAACACCAGGAACAATACTAAGGAACAATACTACCGGCAGAATCAGCATTCCGCGCTCCGAGTTTTTTAGGTAGAACAACACATTCAGTACTTCCGGAAATCGGTGTCACCACCTACACTCTTTGATTGTTTCTCGAACCCTAATGCCAAGATTTACCGTGCTATATTAAGAATAGCGCCGGAATAGCAATATCCCTGTATGGCCATCTACACAGTATTTTACAGTATTTTACTTCAATCAACACATGACTAATGTCCCGTCACAGTATGTGCAAGCTATGAAAACTAGAACTTTCATTTCCATGGTAATTAATGCAAACGAGGAGCTGGAGTGGGCCTTGAGATTATGGCAAGGTGTCACTTACCTCTGCCACTCCGATGTCCAAGTGACTATCTCAGGGCTTACCCAATACTAGACAACGCAAACAGTGACTTCACAGTGCTTTGCTTACTTACAGAATCCTCACGACCCTCCTCGTCACTATACTCAGCCTGTCAACGGTTTTTCTTACAATTCATGACACCTTCCTGGTATAAGCTAACACGCAACATGGTTTCTAGGCTCCTCAGGAACATTCTCTGCTGTGGGATGATGATTTTCACTCCTTTTGACGATGATGTGTACCTACTGGCATGAACTGCCTGATCTATGGGAACGGACTCCCCCATGTGCTCCCATTCCTAGTTACCTGGACTGCGAATTCACGCCATCAATAATCTGCCCTTCCCCTGATCCTGAGGAAATAGTTGATGAACATTCATTCTCGCATTAACAACCATTAGATCAACTAGAATTTCTTCCAGTAGTTGAACAGGAAGATAGAAATGTGTGGGATAAACAATCTCCAAATGGAATTAACTGCCAGATCAGGTGGAGGGCTACTCTGAATAACTGGATCGTGACAAAAGATACAGAACAAGACCTCATGTCAGTTTCAGGAATCTAGGTACTTGACTAGTGGTCTGGGTGTGACAAACAAATCAGCTTCAGGAGAACATATTGGTCACCCCTCAGCATTGCACCAGTTCAGGTCTCCAAATTCCATCGCGATTGGCGATACCAGATTCCGCCAGCATACTTCCAGGGTGGTATCATGTGGTATCATCCTGTCACAAGTGTTCTGGGGCTCAGCCAATGTGTGGGGCTTTGAGGATTTCACAGAGGAGTGCAAAACCAGCTACACGAATTTACACAGGTTTCTTCACTCATCCATCACTCTCGAGGGCACATTAGACCTTGCTAAATGGCTCCGAGACTTCCCTCGCCAAAGCTTCATCTCGTCCGTGCTATGTTAGAGAGCCAGTCACTTACCACATCTTAAATGGCTGAAGAAGCTGAATGTAGCCAAGGTACGATTACAAACATTCGCACAAATTTGCGGCAATTTGGAAGTCTCCATGCACCCCCAACTCGAATAGGTCGTTCTGCGCATGGTGGTAAAGAGCATATGTACAGAACACATTGCACTCACTCCAAAAATCCCCAAATGTTGTTCAGACTCTCTGCTAGAGTGGGATGGGCAAAGACTGCGTCTCGCAATTTTTGGTAGGGAACATTTCCGATCATCGCTGTTTCCACGATGCTCATGATTTCGCCACCCTCGATGCCCAAGCAGGAAAACCCTAGAATCAACCCTGTATCACCGTCCACGACAGCTTTCATCATGCCTCTCGACTCGTCCGTTTCTAGTGCGCGGGCGACGTATGCCATTGGCATTTTCGCAGTTTGAATCCTCTTGTTGGGGAACTTTACACGAGCTTCCCTCTCATGGAGGCCGACGTGCGCGAGTTGGGGATCGGTGAACACCACGTACGGGACAATGCGGTCTTTGGTAGAAAGCTTGGTAGGTGGTAATGAAAGCATGTTAGACCGGATGATGCGAAAGTCGTCGTACGAGATATGCGTGAATGCCGGTGGTCCTTTCACGTCGCCTATTGCAAAAATAGAAGGAGACGAAGTTTCGAGGTATTCGTTTGTCACAATATATCCTTTCTTGTCGGTGTCGATACCTGCAGCTTCTGGCTTCAACCTGTCTGTATTTGGAATGCGTCCGGAAGCGAATAGGATGTGCGTTCCTTCGACGGTTCGATCGCCATTATTGGCGTGGAAATGAAGACTAAACCCGCTAGGAGACGGCGCAATTCTGACAGGGTCAGAGTTCAAGTGCACCGTGAGTCCATCCTCCTGAAAAATATTTCGCAGCAGGTGAGCAATCTCTTCGTCCTCGAGCGGTAGTAGTTGTTTTCCACGCTGGATTATGGTGACTTGTGCACCTAGTCTGCGAAACAATTGTGCAAACTCCACTCCCACATATCCTCCTCCAATCACCACGAGGTGGCTAGGAACCTCGTCTAGCTCTTGAATTGACGTGGAATCCAAGACTGCTTTTTGATCAAGCAAGCCGATCCCTTCGAGGAGTGGCGGTGCAGGTCGTGCTCCGACATTGATGAATATCTTCTGGCCTTGGACAGTTCTCACGTCGCCACCACTATCTTTGCACTTGAGTGTCTTCTCGTCCACGAAAGTCGCTTCACCTGTCAGGACATCCACGCCAGCGTCTCTTAACTTAGTCTCACTACCACCGCGGAATGAGGCAACGACGTCGCGTTTCCGTTGGCGGACCTTGAGCATGTCGACCGCGGCCACATTCACATCGGTCTCGTGCTCGGAAGTGTGTATACCATAATCTAGTCCCCTACGAACTAGATAGGCGATGCGACCTGATGCAATTAACGTTTTTGTCGGTGTACAGCCTTCATTAATACAGCTTCCACCGATATGCTGGCGTTCAATCAGTGCTGTTTTTTGTCCTGCTTTCGCAAATGCGGCGGCCAAGGGCGTGCCGGATTGGCCAGAGCCGATAATTATGACTTCATACTGTAAGATTGTCGCCATATTGCAATAGTGCTTCAGCGAGTTGAGCACAGCCGGGCGGCGAAACATCAACTACTAACCGATTCAAAATATGAGGTCGGTCCGGTTCGAGCAGGTCAAAGGGGGTCAGTAGTTGATCCTACGCAGGTTCCAGAACAATACCTAGAGTCAACCGATTCAATGATGCATAGTCTTGCGTTATTGGTCGGAATGTCGAATGATGAACGCACGACGTTTCAAAGGCAGCAGATAACGTAATCCCTGGCTGAGTTAGCCACCGGCTGATCCGGCCACTTCGCTCATTACTGTACTATTTTCTAAATTAGCATCTTTGGATCCAAACGCTATGATGTGTTCACATGTGAGTAGCTGCCTTTACATTGATTTAATCTATGCCTAATCGTTCTGCACCTACTACCCCTAAGGCTGCATGCGTTTGGGCAGCGGAAGTGGAAATATCGGCTACTGAGCAGCAGCTGGCGGAAGTGATTGAACGCGTTCGAATGGTTTAGTCGGAGGCTGAAGTAGCTCCTGTCCCACCGAGGTAAAATCGCCTTGTCTACTATCTGCAAATTGGGAAGTGTTTGTTTTTGCCGCTTCTTCTCGGTCGTTGATCAGTCATACGCTGTGCCGAAAACTAATGTTCAGCCGCTGCTCCGCTAGCGGTCGAGAACCACATTCAAAGGTACAATTGCATTGAACTGTCGAAGGCTCCACACCAGCGAAAGCGGCGAGGCCGTTTGGGGACTCATATTGTGTGGTACTGGGGGAAGTCGTGGTGTCATTGGCCGCATTGGTCAGCAAGCTCATGCACCGAGCGAGAAACTGGTATACTCTGTCCCATAACTCCGCTGGAATATACGACCTAGTGGCCCCTTCCCGAGCAGCTCAAAATATATTATTGTTTGTCACAATGAACGGAAATGAGAGTGCGATGAATTTGACCAGGAAAGCAATCGAGGAACATTGGCGGGCATCGGATGACAGTGACATCGAAGCCGAACACGCCATCTATGCCGTAGACGCGATCCTAGACTACCCGCAATCAGGGGAGCGTTTCAAAGGTCGTGCGGCAATTTCTGCACAGCGTGGCGGACACCCGGCCGACCGGCATTTTACGGTGCTACGGATCTCAGGCGACGGCCATCTATGGGTGAGCGAGTGCATCATCACCTATGACGGAGTGCCAACATACTCAGTCTCCATCATGCAGTTTGCTCGCGAGCTTGTGGTGCACGAGACACAGTACTTCACTGATAAGTTCAGTGCACCTACGTGGCGGGCAGCGCTCGCCGAGCCTATACCAGGCAGGCATATCGAAGAGGCATGATCACGTCCTTGGCTCAAGCCAAATTTTGCTCCTTTCTGAGAAAAGTGATTCTTGACAAATCTCTACAGTGGTAGTAACACCTCGAGCGTGTGTTATAAGCACTTATGTATCTGCGCCTAAGTTTTCAATATGTATTTGGATTTCGACCTTCTTGCTAGACCTGGCACTCACCCGCCCCGCGGGTCCAAGATCAGGAACCTCCACCCGCACCTCCGAGGGTCAGGGTCTGACCTCACCGACCCTAACCCTGACCCTGACCCTCTAAGGGTCCCTTGAGGGTCACCCGCGGAGGGTCCGTCAGACCCTTAAATATATAATTTCTCCGCGCCTTTCCTAATTCGGATATATAAAATTAATGATTTAGCTTATAAAAATACTATTATTTATGGCTATTCTGGTATCTATTTCTATTATTCCTTAATTATATACTAATATCTACGAAATTCAAAGAAATTAGCTTATATATAGAAAACTTATATATTATTACCTTAGTGTTCTGAAATTTGACTTAAATTATATAGTAGGTGGCTAGTTTTTAAGGGGGGTTATAAAAAGTTAAGAGTTTTGTTACGGAAATATATATTAAAGGTAGAGTGAGAGTGCTATATTTATATAATAGTAAATATATCTTTTTTTTTTAATACCAAAAATGCCCTAAATCGAAATCTTTCTTCGGTTATAAAATAAATAGAGACTTATTTAAATAATTATGAATTTAGATTCCTCGTAGGTATTCTAGTTATTATACGAAATAAGTTTAAAGATCTAGATTATTAGACTTAGATATTTTTAATCACGAAACTTAAGACTATATAATTAGAGGGTCACCCTAAGGGTCTTAAGGGTTACCCTCTCCGCGACCTAATTAGATAAGAGAATTTTAGCTAAGTAGGGGCCTATAGGATAATATATTAACTTACGTCTTCGCGCGACCGGGGTAAACGGATTCCCTCTATATAATAGCTTTTTTTTATCTAAAATCTTTATAAGTCCTTTTATTCTATCTCTCTATAACCTATATATTTATTATATCCTAAACCTCTAATATATACCTATTGGAATATAGACCAATGCTACATAGAAAGATCTATCCTTATATTTAACATATAAGATCAGCATTGCATTGATCACGTGACCAGATTTTTCTTCTATCAAAATGATATTTTGACCACTTCTGATTCTGGCCCGCGGCCCTCTCCCGAATGATAGGCAGGACCATTTTCCTTCAGAGGTAAATGGTCCGTCTTCAGGCATGAATGGTCCGTTCCTTCGGAGGTGCCTTCGGGTATATCTTGCCTGCGGACTTCGACTATGGTCTTCGGACCTCGGTGAATAGACTTCCACCCTCGGTCCCCTTAAGGATAGGCGGACCACTTTCTCTTAAGGATAAAATAGTCCACCTTTGGGCATGCATAACCTGATACTGCGGGGAAACTTTCGGGGTGGCTGAAACCGTCGATCCTTGACATCATTCTTTTGGCTTTTCTTCGGTTCCCTTCTTTGCCACCTTTATTATGTTGCTGCCTAGTATTTGTATGTTATTCTAGACATTATTTCTAGGCTATTTTAGCCTATACATATGTCCTTCTTTTCTAGCAGAAAGAATCAAGTCAGTTCTACTTTCCAAAGTTATCTCTACCTTCTTCCTTTGATCCTCAGGACTGTGGTTCTGCCTTCGTTTAGGCTATATCTGCTTATAGTCTCTCCTACGACCTTTGACCTTCTTCCTTTGTCTGGCACCGACTGACCTAGCCGGACTAAGGTTGATCCCACGGACTTAAAGGGGCCACGAAGTGCTTCGTGGTAGCTTTACCCTTATAGCCCGACAGTATGCGGTTATATATCTTAATAATATCCTAATATTTTCCTATAACTCAGAAGAATACTATAATTATATTAACTAAGTATTATTATTATTAGAAGCGCAGGAGCTATACACTTAACCCTAAAAGTATTAGTTCGTAACCTAAGAACTTAAGTTTTATAGATATATTATTAGGAATAGGTAACTTCGCCCTATACCGGAAAAGGTCGCGGCTATACGCGAATAGCTATAATTATATAATATCCACGAAGTTCGATAGTTCCTTAGTCTAGCCACCTACTACCGACACTTTATTAAAGGCTTTATTTTAATGTATATATTACTCTATAGACTATTAAAGGAACTAGATGTATTTATCCGAAAAGATAAGTTCCGACCTATTTAATAGACAATTAGTTGCGAAAGTGCCTCTATATAACTAAAAGAGGCTTTAATATAAGCGCCTATCCTAAAATAACCGGACCGCGATAAGCCTTTCCGGATTGAAACAGATATATTAGAATAGGCTATTAATGTAGTTCTGCTCTAATCGGACACAAATAAACGCTTTCACCCAGTAGCTTTCGACGGAAGAAAGTTACAAGGTGCAGAGCTAAATTACTCCGTTCAGGAAAAAGAACTATTGGCCATTAAAGATGGAATCTCACACGCTAATGCCCGCGCATAACCCATAGACTAAAAGGTCATAGCCAGATCTCTCGGTACGAGAGATCGACTGCATTAGTATATATACTAGGTGATAAGCCTCAGTTATCACATCCTCCCCCACTTAATTATAGCTAGACATTGACATAACCCATGGGTTGGGTCCATGGGTCGAACCCAACCCGTCCATGGACGGGTCCTGGACACCTACCCCGAACCCATGGACGGGTCAGGTCTGGCTGCCCATGGACGGGTTAACCCATGGGTTTCTTGGCAACCCATAGTACCGTAAGACATAAGTTATACAATTTATGTAGTATTTAATGTATTAGAGTGGTAATATTTAGACAGAATATTACCGCATTTATTTAGGAAGTGAAGATCAAGTGAAGATCAAGTGAGATTAATTAAATACTAAACTATTTACTAATTTCGAACCCTTCATGTATCCTCGGCGCCTTCCTTACCCTTCCAGAATGCCGTACTTGGCTCATTAAGGGTAAACCACTATTATCATTATCACTTTGCTCACTTTCATGATCAGACAAAACACTCTTTCGTCTCTTCCCTGCCCTCACAGATAGCCTCACTTCATCGTCACCTTCCTCAGTATCGCTGATTGGATCAATCCCTTCTAACGAAGGTGAAATCTTCTCATTTTCACCTTCTTCAGGGATCTCTAGAGCCCGAGCTAGTTCAAGCTGTTCATCTTCTATCTCAAATTGAGTAAGGCAAGAGAACATCATTAGATCCTGGATAGTTGTTGAGTTCAGACGACCTCGGCGATAATGACAAACATCGCGGGCTGAATTAAATAGCCTCTCTACCCCCGCACCAGTAGCGGGAATAGAGAAGATATCGCGGGCTACCCGTGCGAGGGTAGGATATTCAAATTGATGGTCTCTCCAGAAGGCCTGAGGGGTAGTGCGTATAACACCTAAAGAGAAAGAGAAGTAAGCAAAGAGGGTAAAGAGGCTTAATAAGCGAGCAAGCCTTTAAATAGGAGTTAATCGGACTCGGGGGAGGAGTCGATCAGACTCGTGGAAGGAGTCGATCAGACTTGTGGGAGTAGTCGCTTAGACTTAATAATATAAGGGATTAACCTTATAAGAGGAGTCGACCCAACTAAAAAGAGGAGTCGACCTAACTGAAAAGAGGAGTCGGTCTAACTTAAAAGTGGAGTCGAGCTGACTTAAAAGAGGAGTGGAGGAGACTTAAATAAAGAGGCTTACCGGCTTGAAGATACCGTGCGAGTTCATCCCGGTCTAGGTTAGATTCACCTTCATCTTCGAGTAACCGATCAAGTTCCGACCCTTGTGTATAAGCTTTAGATAGAAGGGTGTTATTCTCTTCGAATTGATAAGCTTTAATCCGATCTTGAAGGGTGCTGTGATAGTGTTCGGCCCATGTCTGAGTAGAGCCCTCTGGCCCACCAGACCATTCCTTGCGTTTGAAGTACTGTAACTTATCCTTTGGTGCGAGGATAGTGCTATGCGCATACACATTACCAGCCTTAGGCTGATCGGTCTTTGCGTAGTACTCACGGAGCTTCTGTAGGCCTGCTTCAAGAGCGACAAGCATCTGTTGCTTCCATTTAATCTAATATTCGTTAGTATAAGGGTAAATAAAAAGTAAGAGAGAAGTGAGAGAAAAGTGAGAGCGTACCTTCTTCTTTTTGAGCTGACTGATTGACGCCTCGAGGTGTTTAAATAGCTTATTGTAAAGCTTAAACACCTGATGGATAGTCACGTCTTTTGTCTTTGAGAATGTGCTTGTGTATAGGAAGAATGGTCTTGTGAGGCAAAGAAGATAGTCAACCTGTCGCCATTCCTCGGAATCAAGCTTCAGGTTGTCTAGGCACTCAATATGGCAGTACCTATTAAAGTATGGCTGTAGTCGTTTAGCTCTTTGTAACATCAGATAGGTGGAATTCCACCGTGTTCGGACGTCCTGAATTGGGACCAATTGACTAGGTTCCATCGATTGAAGCCTAAGGAATTCCGCACGCCTTTGTGGGCTTCCGTTAATATATATTGCAAGCCGGCGTACCCTATCGAGGGTGTTTGCAATATCCCCTTTCTGTCCTCGCTGGGTAGAAGCCTTCTGTAGCTCATCGGTCCACACTATATTCACTGTGTCGTTCTTTGGCTTTGCTTTGATCCGATGTAGGAGCTCATTAAGGCTAAGCTGAATCACATGCGCCATACACGGAATATAAACAATAGAGATGTCTGGATAGATCCGTTGGACCTTATCAAACATTGTCTTATTGTTTGACGCATTATCAGTGGTGATAGCCAGAATCTGATCTTTAATCCCATGTCTGTCAATAACAGCACATAGGGCTAAAGCAAGGTTCTCCCCAGTATGTGTACCCTCGAGGGGTTCGAAACCGAGTAGGATCTGCCTATATTCCCACTGTTTATCAAGGAAATACCCAGTGATAGCCATAAACGCCTGATGAAAGGGCGACGTCCAGCAGTCAAGTGCAAGTGATAGCTTTGCGTCTGACGGAAGCATATTTAGTATGCCTTGCTGTTGGATTTGGACGGTGCTTTGAAGCTGACGAGCAAGGGTTTTACCCGTTTGGATAATAGGGAGGGAAGGGGCTTGTTGGGTCAAGCGTAAAAGGTCTCGAAAGTGCTGGTTTTCGATGATCTGGAATGGTAGACGAAGGCTAGTGATTGTGACCAAAAGCTGCTTCTTCTAATCGTTTTCATCCCATACGTCGGGCGGGGGAGCGCATAGAGCCTAGTGATTCAAACAAAGGAGTATTAGTCTTACTTCTCTTTCACTTTTCTTTCACTTCTCTTTCACTTCTCTTTCACTTCTCTTTCACTTCTCTTTCACTTCTCTTTCACTTCTCTTTCACTTCTCTTTCACTTCTCTTTCACTTCTCTTTCACTTCTCTTTCACCTTTGTCTTACCTGGGTACGGATAGCCGCCTGGATATTTCTCTGTTTCAGCTTACCCTTTGGTAGGCATCTTTCTCTATGCCTTGTCATAATATTCGTCCCATTTTTAGGACTATGCGCGTAGATCTGGCCACAGTCCTTACAGGTAATGCATGGTCTACCAGTAGAGATCTCTGCGCCCTGTTCAAAGTGTGTCCAAACCTCGGATATTAAGCCCCTTTTATCCCACCGGGGATGTTCCGCTCGTGGTTTCTGCCCATATGTTGTTGTAAGCCACCATTGGATGTATATAGCCTTATTCATATCGGTCCATAGGATATAGTTTCTCTTAGGTCCGACGCGTTCAAGGATCGGTGGGGGGCTCGGTAGTAATAGGCGCGGTAGACTGGCTTTTAGGAACCGAGGAGGGTGGGATAGAGAAGCAGCAATCAGATAGAAGAGGGTCGATACTATCACTCGTGATAGAATCAAAGTGTTCAGATAAGGATCTAGCCATGATAACGCGAAAGAACGTAAAAGTAAGGGTGAAGTAGGGAGGAAGTGAACCATGGAATAAATAGCGGGTAGGACTATACACGCGTTAATTGGTTATAACGCGCGTTGAGCGGGTCTTTTGATCTGATGTCATTGGTCTAATCCTTAGGCACGGACCCACACACCTATTCTGCAGAATCAATCTCTCTAAGGCTGTGAAAGGATTAGTCTTTATCTTCACTACTCACGCAAATCAAATGTATAAGCTCTTAAACTAGGAGATAAAGTAGAGATATATATAGATAATACGTACACAAAATATCATAGCTTAATATTGACATTTGGGTGAATTAAAAATTAAAGAAGAATCTCCAACAGAAAGTGGTAGTACACTTATCTACGGGAAATATATATTTCTGCTCTACACCACTAACATAGACACAACTACCCTATTATAGACGATAATAATTAGTCTTCTTTATGCGACCGATACAAAACGTACTAGTCTAGGTATAAACGATCATATTTCATATAAATACAGTAGGGAAGGATGAAAAAAGAGGGAATGGTATGCGTTTAGACCAGAACTAAGGTAGAAAACGGTAAATAAGCTAAAAATTATGCAAAAAGTTCAGGCTGAATCAGGCCAAATCAGGCCAAATCAGGCCGAAAATCCTAAATCAGGCAGGATTAGGTGTCCATGGGTTGCCCATGGGTTAACCCAACCCAACCCATGGACGGGTCAGGTTCCGCTGCCCAAGCGTGGGCAACCCATGGGTTGGGTCATGGGTCGAACCTTCTGCCCATGGACAACCCATGTCAATGTCTAATTATAGCAATAGCCTTATTGCTTATTTTTATAGGCTTGATCCTTATACCGAAGGAGTCAATTTTAGGCTATTCATAGTAAACCCCGCCAAATCGATATGACGTAGCCTTTCCCTAGCCAGTATGATAAGAAGTGGATAAAGGATAGTGCATAATATATATTGCCCTCAAATTTTCCTTACGTGAATTAGGGTTTAGGGTTGATGAGGCCTAAGGTGCAACCTAATGATATGAGATTCGTGCTAGGTGTACTAGAGTCACGTACTTATTAATAAGCAAGGCTATCAGATAAGCAATCAAGCGGCATGATTATATGATAGGTCGGTAAAATCTCTGCGCACCCCACGAATCGAACCGGCAACCTCTAGATTCCTAGTTACCGAGAGATCTGATGGAATCTCACACGCTAATGCCCGCGCTCAACCCAAGAAGCTCTGCGCGTATGGGACGTTATATCGAGAACGGCACCAAAACAACTATTGTCACGGATTATGCAAGCCTTTAATACTTACAGACAACTACGACCTATAGCAAACGCTTAGCTCGTTAGATCGCCGAATTCTAGGAATATAATCTTGAAATTTAATACTATAAGGGTTCAGAGGCAATCGTACCTAATACTATTAGTTAGCGGCCGGATTTTCTAAGAGATAGCCTAGCTAATATATCGGAGACCTAACTAATATAAAACGCTTTATTAAGTATAATATATATATTTATAGGTATTCCCGAGGAGAAGTGGTTAGTAGCTATAGAATAATATCTCGAAAATTATACTCTTCCGGATAAGAAACCTATTATAAGAGCTATCCTAAAATATATAGGAAACTTAGGCTATTAAGAGCTTTCGGATCTAAATTAGGATATAGTAGCGATTACTCACTAATTAATCTTTACCTACGGGGATAAGATTTAAGCGCCTTATTTAGAACCTTATTAATATAAAGAATAGATAAAATACTGTTGGGATATAAGGGGAAAGCTACCACGAAGCAGATCGTGGCCCCTTAAGTCCGTGGGATCAACCTTAGTCCGGCTAGGTCAGTCGGTGCCAGACAAAGGTAGAAGGTCAAAGGTCGTAGGATAGACTATAAGCAGATATAGCCTAAACGAAGGCAGAACCACAGTCCTGAGGATCAAAGGAAGAAGGTAGAGATGACTTTTGGAAAGTGGAAAATGACTTCAGGAAAGTAGAACTGACTTCATTCTTTCTGCTAGAAAGGAGGGACATATTTATAGGCTAGGATAGCCTAGAAATGATGTCTAGAATGACATACAAATACTAGGCAGCAACATAATAAAGGTGGCAAAGAAGGGAACCGAAGAAAAGCCAAAAGAATGATGTCAAGGATGGACGGTTTAAGCCACCCCGAAAGCTTCCCCGCAGTATCAGGTTATGCATGCCCAAAGGTGGACCATTTTATCCCTAAGGGAAAGTGGTCCACCTATCCTTGAGGGAACCGAGGGTCGAAGTCTGTTCACCGAGGTCCAAAGACTATGGTCGAAGTCCGCGGGCAAGATATGCCCGAAGGCACCTCCGAAGGAACGGACCATTCATGCCTGAAGGCGGACCATACCTCTGTGTGACGCATGGTTCAGGGAGAGTTCGAGGAGAGGTCACATGTGGTGAGCTAGTCCCGAATAGGACACGGGGGGAGGGTATTATTTGTAGTTATTCTCTTTCTCTTTCTCTCTTCCCTTTCTTTCTCTATTTTAGAACTTTTCGAATAGCACACGACTTCTTTTGTATTAGCTTATAATATAGTTCTAAACTTGTCTTTTTCTCTTTCCCTCGCTTTTAGAGGCTTAGTAGCGTCGATATATTATTATTAACGCGTATAGGTATCCTATAAGTGAGACCTATAACCTAAAACCCGACAAATTAAATAAATTATAAATAACGCTAAGATAGCGAACCGAACCCTAAACCGAATCCGATAATATAGATTAGTTAGCTAGCAGAAATAAGAGCTAGGAGAAATACCGTACTATAAGAGAAGTAGCTTATCTTCCTAATACTAATAATATATAATAATAGGAAGATCCTATAACTAAGCGATATAGGAGTCGCCCTAATTATAGGGAATTACTAACTTTCCTAAAGAAGGAATAAAATAAGATAATTATTATAAAATAGCTAATAAAATAGATCCGCTAAGAACCTTAGACTACTTAGAATATATTAGTAAAAAGATATAACGAGATCGACTAACTTAATACTAAGTATATTAATAAGATTACTTAGCTATAGGCCTAAGTTAGTTAATATAATAATCTTATTTAGGAATTACGCGAGTAGCTCGTAAGACGTCCTATAACTATAGCTAAGGACCCTAAATATATAAATAACTTAGTAGCTAAATATTAATAATTACTTAAAGAAAAATATACGGTTAACGCGCGATTACTTAAGGTAATTAAGGAATAGGATAGCCCTATAGTCTCTATCTATTTCCTTAGTATAGGTAATATAGCTATCGCTAGCTCGCGCGTAATATTCTCTATACCTAAGGTATATAAGTCTACTAAAATACCTAACGCTTTAATAATAGATAATAGTAAAGATATTAAATTTAAGGCTTAGAAAACTAAGGTCCGAAATAAGCTTCTATTAAATAAAGACTATTATCTAATAGCCGCTTACTAGCTTATCTATATCTAAAATTATTATAAAAGGAAGGCCTTTCGCTATATTAGTCCTTAAATATAGCCTAACGCTATAAATCCTTATTAATTAATAAATAATATCTTTAATTACCTTAAAAGTATATTTTATAACCCTAATTATAAATAGGTTACCTACAATTAGTACCTTATATTAAATATAAACCCCTAATAAGATTTTACTAATTTCCTAGCTAAGTTTATATATCTCGCTAAGGAATCCGACTAGCTAATAAAATTATATAAATATAATCTTTACTAAAAGCTCCTATAGCTTCTATAGAATTAGATAATAATTTATATAATAAAGAAGAAGGTTAACTTTAACTAATTTATTAAGAAGTATTAGATTATTAGTAGACTAATTACTTAGTAATAAAACTCGCGAAGCTATATATATATAATTATTATTATTATTAGTGTAAAGTCCTCTATAATATTAATTTTTATAACTCTCTCGCGTTAGGGAGCTAGGACTACCTTACTAATAACCTTAGAATATATTACTCTTATAAAGAAAGGTAAGTATTTTTATTACTATAAATCTAGCTATCTAAGCTATAAATATCTAAAGAAGCCTAAGTCTACTATTATCGCTATTAAGATAGCTAATAAGAATTTATAAGAGATAAAGTAGCTTCGCGATAAAGTCTAATAAGGAAAAGCCTAGACCTAGGAGAAGTCTCTTTCCTAGGTAATAAGAAGTTATTACTAAATATATTAAGTTTAAAGGATCTTATTAATATAGATAAAAGCCTTAATTTTATAGCTTAGGTAGCTTAAAATAGATATTCTTTCTTAATCTTAGCCCTTAGTAATACTAAGGTAAATAAATTTATTTTTATTAATAAATCTTTAGCGATATAACTTACGAAAGTACTCTGCCTACTAATATTATAATTATCTTAGGCCTATAAGACTTAGGCTTACGATAGCTATCTAAGTCCTATAATTACTTATACCCTTAAACTTATATTAATTATTAATAGGCGTATATAGTGATAGATTCCGATATTAGTTACTAATCTTAGTTAGTATAATATTATTCTCGGATAAAGGTAATTTAAAGAATATTAGGTTCTCCCGGACTACACTAAGTAATATTTAATCTAGCTTAGTGAACTAAGCTTATAAGATAAGGTAATAAGTTAGATACTAACGCTAATATCTTAGACTATTTTATAGTGGCTAATTATTAACTAAAAGCACCAAAAGGATATAGATTATTATAATCTCTTATTAGAATATAATTTCTTATACCCTTAGTTAACCTAAGGTTCCTAGAGGACCGAAAGTTAAGACTAAGCTAAAGCCCTAAATAAAATAGACTATATATTAAAGGGGATAACTATAATAATAACCCTTATTAAGTAGCCTAGGGAAGCTAAATCCTATATAGCTATTAGCCTAGATTATAATTATAGGGGCGATTAGGTTCTATTAATAATTAAAGAATAAGAGAAATAAGGCCTTTATAATAA